GTTGTTGTTGTTGTTGTTGTTTACAATTCCAAGTAACTAAAACAATGACACTTTTCCGCTCATGCCAACAACGAAGAAAACAGTAAAAGATAGAAACAGGAATCATTCTCTTTGTAGAATTGATGACTATGCCATACTGCACTAGGCTTGGGCTCATATTTGTTGTTGTTGCTGTTCTGGTTGAATTTCAAGTAGTGGCGAATGGTTTGATTTTGCTCAATAATCGAAAAATGTTTTAGGTTCGTGTCAATGTATTTGCAAACCACTTTGATCGTCTGCGTATGCTTTCTAGGAATTATTTACCAAAAGTTGGACTTTATCTTCAGAGTCAAACCAAAAACTCTAGTCGGAAACGACGACATCAATATGTACACTCGTGTAACATTGTAGAAGCTCAACCCATCCTTCATGAATGTCTTTCAGAACTACTTTGTATACTATCCAAACGCAAGCTGTTTGCACAAAATGTGAAGTCTCCTTTTCACTTTTTGACAGCTACAACTACCACTACTTTCAACAGCATGACTTTCAGTGTGTTGGGAAAAAAACAGATCAGCAGCACTCTTGAAAAGGCAAATACTGTTTCACACAAGTCGCATTGTTTCCCATTCACACCGTACTACTAATGTTACCCTCCTCTTCAACTATATAAGGACCAAAGACGATTTGCAATAGATGCCTTTCAGAAACAGCAGCAATACTAGTTCCACTACTATCACTCTTACGACTTATGTATCGTTTTAGACATATTTCACCCTCGGTAAAACCAATAATTCATAAAAACAAAGGCGTTTCTCAAAACGGACTAGTAGCTACAGTCGCTATCGTCAAAACATTTTACCAGGTGGACATAACCATGACTTTCAGCAATGCTCTTTTGCTTGCTTTATTTCACGGTTCCCAACAAGTTGAGTATATTTTGAACTAAAAACTGTTCCCTTGCTTTCAAAATACAAGTTTATTCAGCTTTCGTTATCTAAAGACCCACATCCATAATATTTCAAAAGACATACTCGTATCAATAGAGAATTGATCTAAAAGCACAACAATACAAACAGCCATTAAAAATGTGCAATGATGGACTCAAGACTTTCCTATGCTATTCTGAGAAATGCCTGTTGCAGAGTTACAGACCGATTTCTCCATCGTGAAAAGAGTCATATAGAAGGCAAAAAACTAACATACAAAAAGTAACGCTGTGTACTGAACAAAACACTCAACTGAGTGTCTAACTGGTTTCTTGTTCTTGCAGAATATCTTTGAAATATCAACCCAAAGACTGTTTCTCAACAACAGACTACAAGACTAGACTGTCAACTGCTAATAAATACGCAAAACTGCTCTGTAACAATTATAGATAGAAATAAACAAACTTGTGAGACAACTAATTGATTCCTTTGTCTTTGCTCTCTTCTCGACAACGCTAATCTCAAATTTCCATACAAGACCACAAGTGAAATAAAAACAAGTGTTGCATAAAGTATATAAACTCCAAAGAGATAATAAAAGTTGTAAATACTAAAAAGAAACTACAGTCTACATGGAACTCAGAGCTCAGGACTCGATGGACTGTTATAAAAGAAACATTTGAAGGGCTTAAAAAAGAAACGTAGATAATAGAAATTCACTTGTCCAACTAAAACAAACGAAGAATTCGTTTTAGAAATTAAAGTCTGAAAAGTTTCACTAGCAAACTTGAATCAAGTCCACAGCGTTGACAACACTCACTGAGCCTTCCCCTTTATCCAACAATCAAACCATTGTGTTCATTTCTAATTGGATTGTTATGAGAAGGATTGCTTTGTATTGTCTCCTTTCACTGGAGATATATTACTTTGAGTGACTAGTGAGTTTTATGAAAGAAAATATTCCACTTGGAGATATGTAAAAAGGTTCTGGAACAATAAGTGTGCTAGATACAATCAATCTCACATCTCAGTAATGTTGTGAAAAGAGAAGAACAGTGTCGTATCAAAGGTCCTCTCAACTCCCTAGCGACACTGTAGCCTTTTAACAGAGTTGAGTTTGATCAATCTTGACTCTGCAAGGTAAATTTTAAACTTCTTGTGACCCTATTTTGATAACAAATCAAGAACGGTTTTGCTACAACCAGCTTTTGACTCGTTCTCGATCTGAGAACCTTTCTTTGTTGGTCACTCAAAATTAAGGAAAACTCCATAAAGATGTAAAATGGTCATTTTCCAATTTCAATGACATTAACTCTGTTTGGCTTGCAATGTGAGAACTAGAACCTTTCCTTCTATGCAAATTACGCTCAAGGAGCAATCTTTGTTCGATTACGAGTTATAAAGAAGAATAAATCGTATATTCAACTCTAGAATTGGAAAGTATACAGAGAACAGGACAATAATAAAAAACTGACCAAAGGTCGGGAATACTTTTGTCTATACACAAATTCGTACATAAACTACCTACGACAAGGAGGATCGAACCTCAAACGATTCAAGGCTATTGGTTCGTTCTCCACCTAAAGAACTTTTTGAGACTTTTTGACTAGTATAACAACGGTAAAAGTGGTGATGCTTTCGCTTCTCCTTGCACATATATTTCAAGATTCACCTTCTTTGTTACTTTGCAAAGAGGAGATGAAAGATTCTTATTTTTCCATTATTTCTACGTTTATATTCTTTTCTTTTCACTAGGAGACGAAATTGATCCAATACATTCAAAAGAACAAGACCTTTACCAGTTTGGATAATCACAATATCAATTTGACTCTGCACAATTTTATTCTGCTGAATAATACAAAGTTGAAAGAGACATTTTCCTTCTTTTTAGAGCAATTTGGATAAAACTATAACTTTTCTTCTTTATGTTTGACTTGTCCCTAATGGAAATGAACGTTTCTTGTACATATAGACAGTTTGTTTATACAAAACTTTGAGTTGTCTTTAATTCTTGTTACAAATATCTAAAAAGAAGCCTCCACCAACGTACCCAGCAGGTTATATTTAGCGAGAGTCTTCTGCCTAGTGTCTAACACGAATAACTTTTGTATTATGACTCACTTATTCAACGAGCTGATGGATGAGAGAATGGGAAAAGAGTAGGAGACAACTGCAGCGGAACAAATCTTTCCTTGAATTTGCAGAGCTTTTAAAAGTTTTGTTTTCTTCGTACTGGAAGAAATAAGAGTTCTCTTGGAGTTATCCATGCCCTAAAGCAGCTTTGTGTTTTATATAGTTTGCTTTCTTATCTATGTTCACAATTTGTGGTTTCTACAAAGTTCAAGAGGAGGCAGTGAAAACCTTCAAACCTAAACAGTCATGTTTACCTTCAAAAACACCTCAACTATATAGTCGACTATTGAGGAGAAGGAATTCAACTATGATTCAAATGTTATGCAATGACAATATACGAGAAGAGAATAGATAGAATAGACTCAATTCGACTGAATTGAATTTTTCTTGAAAATATCTTTTCTCCTCTTAACAGAATCCACAGTATCAAATGCCACTATTTTCAGAGGAGAAAGAAACAGGAGTTATTGACTCTTACAGAAATTGAGGATTGATGATACACTTGTGTGAGTCAATGTTGTTTCTGAGATTTGATAAAACCACGAGATATTTTGGATCCTTCTTTGCACGTTTGTTTTGCTTTGTCTTTTGCTATCATCAACTTTTGTAGCTTTAGTGATAAGCTGCTACGTCATGAAAGCGTAAGAAAGGAATTTGATGATTGCTGAGAATAAAGCAGTGCTGTGCTTGCGGGTTTCTGCATTTCTACTAAATAATAATATTTCAACTGGAGCTTTTGAATAGACTACAAAAGAGAATGACTTGGTTCATAATCTAGTTCCGTGTTTCGAAATGAAGCAAAAGTGACGAAAAAACTGTTCCATAAAATACAGAAAATCTAGAGAGAGACGTCTATGGAACAAATTCTTCATGAACAATCTATATTGCTCGGAACTCTCATGACTACTCTCGAAAATTCTGAAAGAAACTTTCTTATCTATGTGAGAATGGGCCATGTTCAATAGCTTTATACTCTCAAAGAGCATAAAAAACTTGTGAAATAAAAATTGGCTTCCTTCCAATCCTTCTTGTACCCTATGAAAGTTACCATTATTTTAGCATACGAGAATAAGAATATCGATAGTTGAAAAAGCCATATTGATCGTTCTTCCATAGTTCAAATCATCTCAGTCCAAGCCATAAAGGGTTTGACATAGTCATCAGTTGATAAAGAGAAGAAGTTGGATTGGTATCCTTTACTGTTTTCCTTGTTGTTGTTGTGACCGACAAACAAACAGTCAATCGTTCATTTATTTATATTTGTACTCCGAAATAAACAGAAGATTGTTTAATTTCACTTTGGCGATGGCGAGTTTGGATGAAAAGTGGAAAGCTGTGGACAAGTTTGAGCCTGTTGTGGTAGATCGTGAAAGAGATGTTGTTCGAGTGACAAAAGAACTGTATGATCTTCATAACAACAGAAAACAACTCAGGGGTGTAACAAGTAGTTGCGACTATCGCTTGACCATACCATTCGCCCCCCACATCTTCGGCTCGGGCAAAACGACCTTTGCCCAAAACTATTTGGAGTTGGTGCAAAGGTTTGGTGAAACTTTTCTGTCGACGTTTGCTTCGGACCCTTCGAGCAGAACCTTTTTGGAGAAGCTGAAAAAGGCTTCGTTGCTTTATGCGGATTTAAGGGAGTTGAAGCCCACAGAACCGAAAGAACGCAACCTAAAGTGGGCAGTATACTATTTATTGTACCGATCAGCTTGTAATCAAATGGGTCTACCGTTTATGAAGCCTGATGAAGCCTACAGACACATTCCTCCCTATCCAAGCTTTCTAATTCCAGAGCTACGGAAGACTTTGGGCATTCCTTCCGATCAATATCTTTTGTTAGCATTTGACGAAGTTGGGGGGCCTGAGACAAAAGTAACGACGAATTTCAACTCAAGAAAAACCACAAAGGTATGAGTTCGACCTTACAACGACTTTTTCGGTATCATTAGTCAATTGTGCAAAGAACCCGACTTGTTTTTTATAGTTGTTGGGAAAAGCAAGGGTTTAAGTATTAAGAATGATGTCGCTTCTGGGCTATCAAAAGTCATACTACATTTTATCCCTTTATCACCTTTGGACGCTTCCAGTATCGTTGAATTCCTTGAAAAAAGTCTTCTAAAGACACCTACTCAAGAACCAGTTTGTAATGTCTTATGTAGTTCTTCATTTTCAGTAAATGAATTGGCAGACTCATTATTGGAATGTACAGGTGGAGTTCCTGGTTTGTTAACTCGTGCAGTAAATATGCTTTTGAATTATATAATAGCAAGAAACCAGCCTTTCATATCGAAAGAAGAATGTTTGACGTGTATGAACGACTACGATTTCCGAAGAATTTGCACTGAACCATTTGTGGAACAAATATTGAATTTGGACGAAGATAGAAAAAGTGTTTTTGATATACTTTTGATGATGGCACTTTATCGTATACCGTTTAAAGTAGATGACAGATTGACCTCGGAGTCCTTTTTATATGATGCAGTAACTGAAATGGGACTATATCGATATCCTATTGACCAGAATACTTTGCAAATCCTGATTCCAAAAGTATTTGTTGGAATCTTCAAGAAGGACCCTTCCATATCCACTTTGGAAAAGATACTTCTCGAATCACTTGATGTAGAACCAGTAGATTGTTTCTTCTATTCAAAGTGTCGTGTATTTGAAGGAATTGTTGCTTTACGACTAGTTTTGATGTTGTCTTCAAAGAATCGAAATGAGTTGAGGGAATTGTTCTGTCAATTGTCTCCAATATGGAAACAAATGAAACTTCCAATCAGCACAATATCACCTATTCACTATATCAAGTCTGTCGTTAGTTCTAGAGAAACAAGAAATGAATCGAACAAGAGTCGAAGAACTTTTGCCAATACTGAATGGAATAAGATTATTCGAGAGACACTTTATTTAGAGACTATTTACATTCCTTTGGACGCTACTTCTCATAGTCCTGATATTATATTCAAATTACAATCTCCTGTGGAACCCAAAGTTCTTACTGTTGGAGTTGCATGTAAAGGACGCTGGAAGTCGGAAGGAATTGGCTGGTCAGATATTATAGATGAAGCCAAGAAATTTTTAGATCCTGTTTATGATCAAGTCTTATCCAGTGCAATGGATTATCATCATTGTATGCTTATTATCGTTAGTACAAAGTTATCATTGAATGTTTCTAATGAGTTGGGTAATCAAAGTCGTTGTTACTCCAGTGGAATGTTTATTGGAAATGATTCTTTCAAAGTACCTGATAATTGTGAACTTGTTATTCTTTGTGAAAGAGATGTCCAAATGCTGATTGACGAAGAAATATTGAGCGGACTTGAAAGAGCATTTCATGTTTCTCATAATCCTACTTTTTGGGATTTTGGATTAGATTTACTTGATAGAATCCGTAACAGTTTCTTAAGCTGGCAATAGATTCTAACTCAGTCCTTCACTTTGTGATTTGTTTTGAAGAGCAAGTAAACTTTTTTTTGTATGTTTGAAACTCGGTTACAACTTATTTGCTTCCACTCTGAGGATTATTGTCTTAATATGGTACTAACCACTAAAATCAAAATAAGCCTATTGTTGTAAAAGTCACTGTCACAGTTTGACAGGTCTTGTTTGCTTCTTGTTACTTCTCAGGAGAGTGTCCCAAAGTGTTGATAAATGGGTTTTATACAAGGTATTGTATTCGTCAAAGACTTTATTTATGGTTCGCCTTAAGTTGAAAGTTCCTCAGCTGATTATTTTCTAATAGCTCAGAGAAGTTGTTTTTATATACAATTGCACACAAACCAATATCCACTCTTTATTACAAAAAAATGAAAAAGATAGTTTTTATCTAAAAGGCAAATCATGTTCTTATCAAGACTTGTTCAAAGCTTCAAAAGACTTTCGTCGCAATCAAGAATTTGAGCATTGGAACTATAAAAGAAGATTGATTGACCATTGTTGTATTTTACTGTCGCATAGTTTACTTCATAGCTTGCGATATGTCTAGTGAGCTTGAACCAGAAACCGTATATGACATGGTGTTAGTAGACCGAGAAAATGATGTTCGTGTAGTAACAAAGCAGTTATTTAGGCTATACACTCTCCGTAAACTTGGTCGCCCTTTCAAACCAGTCATACCCTTTGGTCCCCACCTCTTCGGAAGTGGGAAGACAAAATTCGTACAAAGTTACTGGGAACTGGTGAATAATATGGGTGAAAGTGCACTGATAGGTCTCGATTACGTTTGTGAGTCTAAGAAGGCCAACCGAAGAGGTTTCCTGGAGAAGCTGAAAAGGGCTTCATTGCTTTATGCGGATTTAAGGCGGTTGAAGCCCACAGTCCCCATAGAGTTTTTTCGAAACCTAAAGTGGGCAGTCTACTATTTGTTAATAACGGCTGCCTGCTCTCAAGTTGGCGCGGAAATTTTGCGAAAGAAAGAAGCCTTCGAAAAGGTGGATATGGAACCTTCCAACTTAGTTCCACTCTTACGAGATATACTAAGGATTCCTTCTGATCAATATCTTCTGATAGCATTTGATGAAGTTGGTGTCCTAGATGAAAGTCTCGACGAATTTCATTTCAAGAGAACTCATGACGGTAGAGTTCGACCTTACAACGACTTTATCGGTATCATTAGTCAATTGTGCAAAGAACCCGACTTGTTTTTTATAGTTGTTGGGAAAAGTGAAGGCTTAAATATATATAATTACGTAGCTTCAGTCTCAAGGGTTCAGTTAGTATTTATTCCTCTTTCGCCGCTTGAGAAACATAGTATCATGGAACATTTGGAGAAAAGTTCTTCCTTTTTATTCACTGGGAGCCCAAAAGCTTCAGAAATTCTTTGCCACGAAGACTTCTCAACTAGTGAACTTGCAGAATTGTTGTTGGAATTGACTGGTGGTGTTCCTGGTTTACTTGTTCGAGCAATCAGTTACCTTCTGCTGTATAAATCATCCAACAACAATTTCTCATTATCTAAGGAAACCTTCTTGATCATAATGAATAGCTTTCCAGTAACAAATTATTGTGTTGCGCCATTCTTACCTCGTCTGATAAGTCTCAGTGAGCAGCGTAAGCGCTTGTTAAGAATGCTTACGTTATTATCTTTGTATCGTATTCGATTTGATTTTGATGAAACTGTGCAAATAAGCTCAAATTCTGATGTGTTTTTGTTTGATCTAGTTACAGATATGTGTCTCTATCGTCGATTGGTTATAGAACCAGACCGCAACGAACGCTATGAAGTGTTGATTCCCAAGTTACTGATTGGATACATTGACCAAGGCTTAAAGGATGATCGTTTAGAATGGTTACTTTTACAAACTCTCAAGTCTCAATCTGTTGAATTCTTTTATGAGTCGAAATGTCGAATTTTGGAAGGTCTTATTGCGACACTGTTTTATTTACATTTTTCTCGGCATCCTACAAACAGCTCAATGTTTTCTACTCTTAGTCAATTGTCTCGTGTTTGGAATGAAATGAATTTACAATTTTCTTCCGAATCTGCTGCTTATTATATGAAATCTATACATTATACCAGAACTGTATCAGGAACAGAGAGAATGACATTTGGAAGCAATGATGAATGGGAAAGGATAGTGGAAGAAATATTAGAATTTGAAAAGATATATATTCCATTTCATTCAACATTCCATAGTCCAGATATATTATTCAAGTTGCATGGAAGAACGAATGAGAAGAACTTGATGATTGTGGGTATTGCTTGTAAAGGCCGATGGAGTCGTAATGGTATTCGATGGAATGAAATTTTGGAAGAAGCTCACAAGTTTTAAAAACCAGTGCATGATCAAGTATTGACTAGTCATCCTACATGGCATTGTATGTTGATTATTATGAGTACTCAGTTAGCAACCAACGTATCTGAGGACTTGAATCATTCTAGTCGTTGTTATTCATCTGGCGATGGTGTTGGAGAATTCTTGATTCCTCACAACTGTGAATTGGTTATTCTTTCTGAAGCTGATGTAGAAAACTTTATTGGCAAAGACATTTTATCGAATTTAAGGAACGCTTTCAAATCTGTGGATAATCCACATTCGAGAAATATTGGCATTTCAACACTACAAGAAATAGTTTTATCTCTTTCCAAAAATATTTAGGAATATCTTGTTTTAATATCTTAGAAGTTTTCTAAAACAAATAATTTTCAAAAGTTGTTATAAATCAGGGGCTGTTTTATAAGACACTGTCAAAAACTATATCAAACTTTTGAACAACTTATAATTCTGACCACAGTTGCATGGTTTGGATGACATAAACGAGGCTGAATTCAAACTTTCAAGCTCGACTATCTTTCCATTGAAAACGATGAAATAGATTGGATTTTGGATATCCTTCAAAACTTGACAACTTATTGCCACATATAATCGTGCTTGTCTTGAATCTTCTTTTACTTGTTGTCAGAGAGAATACTCTGTTACTTTTTTTTTCCAACCAGAAGAGCTTATTAAAGGGATCCGCATAATTTCAAGTTGGTTACTTTTTAACGATATATACATTTTTACTTGCTGTTCTCAGGTTCTCATCATTAAATGAAGATGATACTATATATCAATTAAGAAAAATTGAGAAATTCACAACGTATTAGCCTTAATCCATTTTAGGAAAAGTATTTTCTGCGTACTGAAGGATCTACTAGTAAAGCACTAGACGATTTTTCGAATCTATTTATATAACCCATACAAAAAATTAGCAGCAAATTTTTGCATTCATTGATATAGCAAATGAACTTTTTCTGAAAAAGACTCACATTTCCAAAGTTTCAAAACCTGTATATACTACAGAAGAAATTTTGAAGCAAGCTTTCTAGACTGCCTTGGAAACTTTAAAACAACATTTTGGAAAAAGAAATTGCTTTCAACTTTGAAATGGAGCCTTTGTTGGTCTTCAACGATGCGGCATCAATTGACTCTCTTCGCAATTGGCCATGATTGACATACAGCCTTGTTACATATGAATCTCCAATAGTCAAAATTGATAACAAACTCTTGAGAGTTTCAAGGACTGTCTCTTTCAAACATACCATAATTGGACACTTTTTCGTACGTAACCCATAGCTGAGTTATTCTCTTCTTGCCTGAGTCGAAGCAGAGTTCAGACCTTGCCGTTGTGTTCCTTTCGATAAAGTTTGTGTTTTATAAAACAGATATGCTGACTGCTACAATTGCTTAGAAAGGGACTGATTTGACGTTACGAAAGGATACAAAACGAAGAGGCAGAGAATATATTTTGGTCAGTTGTATATAAAGTTTTTGAATTATCACTCGTTCGACCGTTTTTTGTTGTAAGTACAATATTGTATTAAACTTACCCCTTGATACCCTGAAATACTTCTATAATGCTAAACTTTTGAACATTTCCTTGCAAGTATTTCCAAATTCTTCACTAATTCTAAAGGCGAAGATACAAGAAGATTTCTTGGGGTTTCCTTCAACTTGTTTGAGGTCTATTGAATGTACCAACTAAGACAACAAGAGCGAGTTGGAAGACGTGTGACCATTACAGGAAATATTAGTGCACTTTAACCTGTGCAGCTTTCCTATCACTGATACAAAGTTTAATATGTTCAATTCCGAACCATATTAGGATCATAGAAGTTTCTCGAAGACCACACAAAATAATAGAAATTTCATCACAACCTTTGAAAGTGGTGATCAGAGTGATACTTGGACGATATCTTCGTATGGATACAGTCGCCTTCACACACAGTTTCCTTATTAGGACTCCAGATTCTAGATCATGTTCTCACTTGAAAGTTTGTCATTCTCTATCTCCCCTGAAAGGTACCTTGGGTTTCTCAAGTTCTCTATTAAAGTTCACCACTTACTTCGTAGTAAACTGCTTTCGTGATTGTCGTCGACGTAGTCAAGGCCAGGTTAGCTTGGGTAGACTTGATGTTTGTAATCGAACTCCTTTATCGTACTCTTTTAGTATGGTTGCACAGAGTGAAATTGTAAGTAATACTTGATGGAGTTTTTTGCAGTTGATTGTTGAACGTATAAGCAGAAACATCGAATCAACGGGTTTCCAGCAAGTCGTGACTTAGTGCCTTTGAGAAATTATGTTTTGGTAAAGTTTGCAACTCCTGAAGAACAGACCAGTTCGGGTTTGTTAATTGCACGCAGTTCTTCTGATGATCAAGCAGTACAAGGAACGGTAGTGGCAGTTGGTCCAGGCTCATTCTTGCCAAAAACCAAAGCTCGTGGACCGCTAGCCGTTCAACCAGGTGACTTTATTCTTGCTGGTAAATATGGAGGACAGAGGATAGATATTGATGGGCACAAGCACTTCCTTTTATCTCAGGAAGACATTTTATGTACTTTACAAGGAGGGAAAAAGGAAGTTTCTTCCATTAAGCCTATCTTTGATAGAGTAGTTTTAAAGAAAATCAAGTCGGAACAAGAAACAGCTTCAGGCATTGTCATTGCAGCCAGTAACGAACTTCCAACCATAGGAGAGGTAAGTTTTTCTTGTATACTCAAAAGAGCTGATGTGACGCTGTAACTCGTAGGTTGTTGCTGTGGGACCTGGTCGTCTTCTTGATGATGGACAATATGAGCCGATAGAACTTTCGGTTGGCGACCACGTCGTCTATTCAAAGTATTCTGGTAACGAATATCGTTTTGGAGGGGATGATTATATTATTGTCCGTGCTTCGGATTGTGTTGCCAAGTGGTAATATAAACCCTTTTCAATCTTACGTCACCAGTTCTCTTCTTTTCACAGTGTTTACAAAACGTTCGTACAAAACAATCCTTGTTATTTTGTTGGGCACACTTTTGGAACATCGAAATGTTCCGGTTCCTTACTCAACTGTTCGTTGAACTTCTGTCAATTGACTTGGTTCAAAAAATTCGGAGAAGCCAACTAAGAAGAACTTACTTCTACTTTTGAACGATAAGAAATTTGCGCTTCCTTTCTCAACTTGTCTTCAGTACGTTGTTTTCTCTTCTCTTCGAATCTTTTTTCTGCTTCTGTTCTCCCTTCAGACGTTTTAGCACTAGTCCTTATTGGCTCATATACTTCGTTTTTCTTCCTAAACACCAGAATTTTGTCAAAGTCTCAACTCAAAATGTGTGATTAATAAAAACCTCTTTGTTTTGGAAATACCCTTTTTCAGCTTTAAAGGTCCTCGTTGAACATTCTCATAATCTCCCATCTTCAACAACAAAAAAACCAACTCAATTGAAACAAACAATCGACAAGAACAAAAATTTATTTTGTAGAGAGCGTTATTCCAAGTTTTAACAATATAAATAGTTGGATAGAGGAAAAAGTATCAGACCATAGCAGCACACAAATTCTAAATAGATACAAAGTTGTAACTAAAACGGGTTCAAAATATCATTCTTCTTATTTGTTACACAACGATATCTTATATCACATTCTTCTCAGTATCTATCCATTATTATTATTGTTGTTGTTGTTGTTATTGTTGAGAGAAATCGGTTGGTTGGATTTTGACTTGATGTCACTTTTATCGTCGTATGTGGATAAAACAGTTTCTGTAGTTACCAACGATGGAAGAATATTAATAGTGAGTTACTATGGGGTTTTCATATACACTAGTTTTTAGGGATTCTAGGGAATTTTGAAAGGCTTTGATCAATCGTGTAACGTGATATTAGAAAGCACCGTTGAACGAATATTTGGAACAGATGTCGCCATGCAGGAAGTGGCAGTAGGATTGTATGTATTAAGAGGCGACGATATGTATGTAGCATTGCGCTTCAAAAGACAAACAGTTTCCTTTTACCTTTTCGTAGTGCTATCCTTGGTGAACTCGATGCAGAGAAAGAATCAGAGACGGACTTTCAACAAATACAGGTATTCTGATGATCTATTACAGTTGATCTTTATGAACTAATAGACTGTTAGGCCGCCCCACTTCGTCCTGTTGTACATTGATGAGTTTGTTAAGTGGAATTCATGAGTATTACTCTTTTATTGGAGTAGGAAAGTTGGACCATCAGACTAGCTGTTGTCTTGTCAAAGTGTTCAGTTTTCAGCTCACGTAGCACTCAAATTGTACAATCGCAACCATATAGACGTGTTTTTTAGCGCAGATAGAAAGTTTTGCAAATATTTACATATGAACAGTCTGTTTGCTTCGATTCTCAGTTATTTTTAGCAATTACAATAGATAAACGTTACTAGGAAACCAGACCTACAATAAACTAACTAGTAAAGGTTCTTCTGGTAATATCTATACAGAATGGTGTGTAACAACTTGTATACAAATAATACACTCAGGTATAGGGTGTGTCATTTGCTTCGTTCTTGTGAATTTTTACCACTAGAAGTAGGTAAAACTTCTTTCAAAAGGTTTCGCAGTCTTTGAATTTCTTCTTCTAGTAGACGATTTCTTTCTATTGCACTTGTAAGCTCTCGTAATAAACTTTCTTCTCTTTCTTTTCTCCTTTGACGAGCTCGTTCAGCGGCCTAAATAAATGAAAAGTCTATCCAAACTACATTCATAATGGATGAGTCATACCTCGCGATTCTTCATAATGCGTTGAGCTTGTCTTTGTTCTTCTGTCCACTCGGGATGTTCTCGCTTTCTTCCACGTCCTCTTTTAAAAGAAGGAGTGGAAGATGGCCCTGCCTCACTTTCTTTAATACTTTCGGTGCTCTTCTTTTCTTCGTGATCTTCGGTTTCAATTGGTTTGACAACGGCTTGTGAACTAGTGTCGTATTCACCAACTCCTTCAGTCTCTGGAGAAGTTGACGTTTCTGATGATATGAGAGTTGTTCGAAGGGATCCTACTTCTGTGGGGATTATTGGACTTGTTTGTTCTGTTGAGGTGGTAACTGTTGGTTGGAGTCTTTGTAACCCGCCCACTGCTGCTGTTTGTAGACTTTTCACTTTGCCATGTAGGATTTGTCTGCGGTGTCTTCTAGCCTCCCTTGCGGCACTATGTGAACGTTCCAAAGTGCTTCCTTCTTGTGGCACAACAGTTCCCTCTTCAACAAACTTTCGCCCTTCATAGGTTGTTTCTCCCACTCTAAGCTGCTCAACACTTTGTAAAGGATATTCAGCCGTTCGCAGACCAGGAAATGGTGAAACTGGAGATATTTCATAAGGAACTTGGCTCTCTATATTTACATACAAGGGTGCTTCGACTCTCGGTCGTTTTCTTATCTGTATTCGTTGAGTTACCTGAGTACTCGGGGTTTCTTGTGTTGTTGACGACTCCAAAACTCCTTGAATTTCAGCCATAAGATTACGGAAACTGGGTAGTTTTTCTTGTTCTGTCTGCTCTTGCTCAGAAGAAGAAGCTGTTGGAGGTTGTTGCTTCTCTTCTTTCCGTGTTGGGCTCTCCATGTTACCAGCCTCAAGAATATACGTTTCAGGAGAAAAAAGTTATATTCCGAGGGAGCACAACTTTTCGCAAAGAAGAAACGCATGAGAGTTCAATCTTACAAAGTGAGTCGTCACGCCAGTTGTCGTTTTCGTCTGCAGACTTATTGCTAACCTTAAATAAAGACTTGAAGCCAAGAAGAAACTGTTTTTCAGCGAAGAAATCGCAATTATTCAGGTGGATATTCTGTTAGAAACAAACTTGCAAATACAAAAAGCAATAGAAAACCGACAAGACTGGCTCCAAGGTCGGTTCGTTTTCTGAAGCTGTCTGGAAAAATGGCTTTGTGATTGCGTTGAATTTTGGGAAAAATGAAACGACACATCGATAATGATTCGCTAATGTAATCAATTTGATATGCTTTTATCTGTCTGTAAGTTAAGACCAACTCTAAAACCAAAAAAATTAAAACAAGCCACATGAGAAGCGAAGATGTCACTTGTTGCTTGCACTCAGCTCAATTCAATTTCTAAACAGTCCTCCACAAGTGCTTACTCAAAAGAAACCGAAAATAAGATACTGAAATTCTACGGAGGACGCAACTAAATTCAAGAAATTATACAAGTAAACAAGCTTTACATATGAGGTTGAAGAACAGTTGAACGGCTAGGGATCTCCTGAAAAGGCAAGTCACTAAAAGGATATGAGGCCCCCGGAGAAAACGAACTTTTATAATATTCATTGCAAGACGAGACGTCACCAAAATCTTTAGTAGAAGTCAAGTTACCACTGGTGCGGACAACTTCAATCACTGAGTCTGGAATATTGATGTTGTGCTGCTTTAATAAAGCTATGATGACTTCTCTTGTTCTCCAAAGTTCTGCATTTTCCTTGCGTAGACGATTAAGCTCTTCTACCATCATTTCATACCGAACTCGTGAGCGTTCCCTAGATCGACGAGTAGCTTCACGATTTTGTGCAGCTCGAATGGCTTTTCTTTCATCTGCACTTAAATGAGCATATTTCTGCTTCCTTCCACGTTTCCATATGGTGCTCAATTCATTGTTAGTAGATAGCAGCGGATTACTTTTTTCATAATAGTGCTCCTCATTCAAAGGAATGCGTGACGATGCTGAGAAAGCGTTCAAAGGAACTTGTGATGAAGATTCAAAATGCGACCATTTCCCATTCTCGTGACTATTATGTGAAGTTAACGGAGCTTGATTGGAAGAATACCATCCTGCCACTTCCTTTGAGTCACAGCCCTGTCTCTCTGAACTTAGAGAAGCAATTCCAACAGAAGCCGATACATTTTCGGTAGATACACCCTTTTGAATACGCAGGCTCGAAGGTAATGTAAATATATCACGTGATATGTAAGCTTTCGGTTCAACTTCACCGTTGAAACTCTTAATCTGCGTAGAACTTGAGGATGTTGTTGTACTTAAGAGGCTAAGGAGTGCTTGTTGTTCATCGCCAGTCACTGAAACCACTGGTGGTTCCATTGGATTCAGCGTAACGCGCTTTTCTTCTGAGGAGTGACTTGGTTCCACCATCGAAGAAACCCTACTACTCGAACCAAACAAACTTCAAAAATGATTAAAATTGAAGCCTTTCTTTGAATAAAACCCACAGATAAGCCCAAGGCAAAACACCCTTGAAACTCAAACCACTGGCAATATCTCTAGTTGTTGACGACTCGAGGTGAACAAGTCTAACCTAAAACTAGCTTTCTGACCCCTAGATAGAGAATGAAGACCTTTAAAGCTTGTATCAGGTTTGTTTGAAACAGTTGGTGTTCTTTTCACCACAAGTTTCAACAAGTAGACACTCGCTAACAAGTCCGCTACACAAAGCAATTGGGTAATAGAAATTTCGTGCCAATTTCACATGGAGAGTGTCGCCATGAGACAGGCGACAAATTAAGGGGTTGGGTTTCCCTCCGAATTCCATCTGACGTGTCATGCATCTCAGACCCTCTTTCACTCTTGCAGTAGTTCGGATTTGCAAGAGCTTTCCTGATGATTTATGAACGTATCCAATAGTTCGGAAATGAACCAAACGAAAAAACAATTTTCAACGGATAAAATCGCTTTTTCCAACACGAAAAGGACTTTGTCGACAGAATTTACTCTTTTCCAGGCATCATCAAGGACCGAATCATTCGTAACTCGAGGTCTCTATGCATACTGGAAGAGAGCTTGATTATGTCGCAAACATTATGTCTGAATTTCAGTGATATATTTTTGAGAAACTTGTCAAATATGAGGGTTTAAGATTGCGTGACTTGCCATTTAAAAAATTTTGCTATTGTCTTGGAAACTTACTCATAGCAAGTTTAAAAATCCACTTTTAATATTCACGACAAAAGAATTCAGTGAACGTCAGCTTACGCAGCTGGTGTCAATCATGACCAACATGGCATTTGTATCATTCCTTTATAACAAAGATATATTGGTCTCCAATTCTGTATGCGACAATTGAGGCTTGCAGCATAGAAGAATAAGGTTAGTTTCGGAGTCACTTCCTTAAAGTTGCGAATTACAGGAAACTTCAACAAAGTAAGTTTCCAAACATGAGGAAAAGAAGCTTGTTCTGCCAGTTTCAGTTTGACAACAGATTTTCTGCAATACTTCATAATCTTTTGTATAACGAGAATTTTGTAAATAGTGTAATACCCCATGAGTGGTCAGAGAGAAGTTTTCGTTTATTCACAAATTGTTTCCAAGTAAATTTCAATGGAAGTCATGATTCGAGCTAATCACAAGGTTTGAGAATTTTGGGGTTTTATCGACTTCAATAGTACAGCATGACTGCTTCGAATGCTACTTGTGCTGTTTGTAAAAAACCAGCTAGGTACAAGTTGCCAAAAACAGAAGTTCCCTAGTAAGCACGCTACGATTTCATGATGGTGTACTTATGGTTTTAAAAAAGTTGCAGTGTTGTATGCTTTCGGCAGCTTTCTCAACTAGGAAATACAGTAGCTTCCAGTCTGAATCCTGACGGTGAAAGTTCCGTTGTTCCCTTGCCTCCTGCTAGTGAAAGTTTCCAAACTGCAAAAGGGGAAGTAGATGAGGAAAGAGATAAGCAGTTTCTTCAACTTGGTAAGAAAAAAGTGTCTTCCTTTTTAGATTGCTTTATTCAACTTCCAAAGCACAGTCCACTTTTATGCAGGAATTTCTTCGCGACAAAAGCTTTTGTCAAGAACTTCAAGGCATTGCCCAATCAGAAGTATGTGTGCTACTTTTCAAAGATGTCAGTTCTTTGAACGCTCCGCAGGACCCGATAGAAAGTCTTGCTCTTGTAAGAAGGCACGAGAAATTCGTGCGGTTTGAACGTGTAGTCTTTTCATTCTTCAACATAACAGACGATCAAGTATAGTTTATGGCGTTGGAGAGTTTAAAAAAAGATGGACTTCAGAAGCAGCAGCCCTATACTTGTGATGCAGGGAAACTGCAAAGAGCAAAGTTGCAGCGAAGGGAAAACGTCCAGTCAAGGTAGTTGCAACTTGTGTCAAAGTCCATTCATGTTGTTCTTCCCATATGGAAAAAGGCAAACGTTCAAGTAATAACACCAGGTCTGTATATCGCTTCAATAATAAATGATGTGGCTGTAGTTCCAAGAGCGCCGTCTTGAACCTGTCAAGAACCGCTACAATAGCTATTTTTAGTTGACAAACGAGATATTCTGGTATTTGTATCATGTCGGTGTGAAAAAAGATTTGTAAACATTTCTCGGAAGCAGTCTCTTGTATATTCCCGTAGATAATATCAGAAAATAATCCTATCTGAGAATGTCAGAATATAAGACAAGTAACTTGTTTATGAACAATGTACCAGGAATCGTTGCAAATTTTGCCAAAAGATTTGAAGATGATCTTGAGGATGCGGTATATCACAAAGCATTGTTGTTAGGGACTTCCAAACTTGGTAAAAGAGCTCTTGTTTGTCTTCAAAGCCATTTCTTTGTAGACTTGCTTCTGGAAGTTTGTATGTATCCACAATTTTGTGAAGAAGATAAAGAAGGAATGAAATCCGTTGACTGGATGAGACACATGGCTCTTGAAAAATGAAGAAATCTTTCGTGGATTCTAAAGAATATGTGACGATGCTTCCATCTTGGCTAGTATCTATTTTGAATAGAGCCATGTTGTCCATAAACATTTTCCACATGGCCGATATTTCGATGATAGGCGCATCTTCGGAGCTTGTACTTTTCTCTTTTTGTATTGGTTGACGGATACCAGCAATGCTTTGGAGCTGTTGCCATTTTAGGTGAAGAATTTCCCAACGTAATGACCAGTTCTCTTGCAATATTTTAAATTTTTCTGAAACTTGTTCGAAAGATTCGTTGTGTTTTTCATCACTCTTCTGTCATGTCTTGAAATTTGTATATTAGACTTCAGTTTGTTTCTTACCTCAGATTCAAATTGCTTGTCCATTGAATGCTTCTTTTGACTGGTATCTTTCGAGGAGTCGGACTTTTTTACATGCGTAGTTTTAGAAATGGAGGATTTGGATACTTTCCTTTTTCCACATTTACCGTTGGTTGACTTGCTATCATTCTTGTATTTTGTTGAGTTGGATTGGACTGGTTCTTTTTTTGAGGTTGCTAATGTCTTTGGGTTTTTTGACTTGCAGTTGTCCACAAAGTCCGTCTTGTTTGTTTTACATCTTAAACGTATTTTGATGTTTTCCACTAAATTTATAGCCTTGGTGTCTTTGGCAGACTACAACTATTTACTATAAAACCTCATAACCAAAATGTATCTGTACTTACTTCATACGTGTTTAAGGGAGATTCAGGTGCTAATGTACTGGCATCACTATCATGAAGCATTGTTCTCCATGAGAAATGACGACATCAGTTTCTTTATGAAAAACATTTTATTTTGGCGCCATTTTTTGGCTTTCTATTATACAAGGCAGAAAAAAAATCTATCAAAAGTGCTCAATATATGTTCTCCAAAAACAAACGACTTGTTGCCTCAGTTATCGTGGTCCTATCCACTAAAGCAAGTCTCCAACTGTCTCTGAATATCCATTCGACAAGGACGAGAGTTTTCTTTTTTTGACCCGTAAAACCTTTTCTTACTACAAGCGTCTAGCCTTTGGAGGCCGACTACCGTTGTGGGGAACTGGAGTTACGTCATAAAAAGCCACTACATTCAATCCGGCACGGTTTAAACCTTGAATAGCCGACTCCCTTCCGATTCCAAAACCTTTGAGTCGTACTTCTATCAAGGAGTATCCACGATCCTTTACAACTTTGCCAGCTTCATAGCCAACCGTGAATCCTGCAAGCGACGTTCCACGTCGACACTTCTTGAAACCAACCAAACCAGCTGAAACTATTTTCATCACTTTTCCTTTGGGTGTTGTTACCGTGACAAAAGTGTTGTTAGCTGTTGCTAAAACATGAGCAATGGCTGTTTTGGCTACAAGAGATAAGTTGGAGAGACTCATTACCAATCGACACCAATGCACACAACGCACCAATATTGGATCCCAAATGAATGTATACAGTTTATACAACTTGTTCAATTAACAAGAGTCAAAAACAATTTTCACTCTGCTTTGGAGAGCAATCAATCAACTTTTCATTCACTTTGCTCGATCTGTCTCCATCATTGAGACGAATACATGTCCCGCAACAAGTTGGAGAGTACAGCTTGTTCAAACAAAAATACGGTAGCTATGTCAAACTGTGCGAAGAGTACGGGCAGAAAGCGTAAATTGCGGAATATGGATGACTTGTTTTCGTTGTTGACCCAAGTGAAAGAACGAGCAAGGAACCTCGAAGCAAGAGTGAATGGTGTCGAAGAATTCAGTAACAAGTCAAGCTATAACCAAGTTATTCCAAAAGAAAGTTTCATTCATAGCTTGGAAGCAGAGAAAAGCCCTCAGTCAGTTACGAAGGATGATATTCACCAACCTATTAGAGACACTTTGTTGGATCTCACCAAGGGAAACCAGACAGTTCCTCCTATATTGGATGAGTTCCAACAACCTTTATTGGAAACGAATGGGGTGACTATGGAAACTTTTCATGACTGGTTTGAAAGTAGCGTGATTGACCATCTCTAGCCAGTTATTCTCAAACTATTTGTGTATTTTTTCTAGTTTCTGGAATATGTATTTAAAAGTAGTCGAACGAATAACTACCCACATTGTCTGTTACAACTTTGGCCTAGTGTAAGTATTGCACAACAAAAGAACGGGACTATCTCCAACTCTCGATATGAACTGTCATACATGATTTATGCTGTCTCTATCTTTTTCTTCAACATTCCTTTCTTACTTTTCTTTATGGAACTCTCCAATCCCTTCTTCCCTCGTTTTTTCCTTTTCTTCTCCTGTTTTCTATTTTCCGGAATGTACTTTTGGCTAGTTCGTTGTATATTCAACTTTTCAGAGTTTTTACAACGAAATATCCTAACAACTCTGTCTTTCACTTGCACAGATCCATTCATTCTCACTGCAGCAATAACGGAAATAGATTCCTTAAAACATACGTAACCAAAACCCTTTCCAAACCCAGTATGTTTGTCTCTAACAATCCGAACATATTTAACAGAGCCTATTTTGGAGAAAACTTCATATACTTGCTCATCTTCGACGTCAAAAGGCAGATTTCCCACAAAAATACAATAACCAACTGAAACAGTAGGGCGTTCATCTCTATCAATTTTCAAGTGCTTATTTTGAAATACGCTTCCATTCAAGGATAAGGCAATATCTACCGCAACTTTGTTTTCAAACACAACATACGCGTTCATGGAATCCCTCTCAGGTAGCCTCTCACCAGAAAGGACTGCAGCTCTCTTAGGGAGTTTGACATTTTTCACTGGAATAGAACGGAATCTTACACTTTCAATAGGTCCACAATTCTTGAAAAACTTGATAAGTTTCTCACGTCTGGTTTGCAAAGGTACGTTTCCCACAAAGATGGTTCTGGCCAACCTGTCGTCGCTCTGAGACTTTGGATTATTCCCAAAACGAACTTTGGTTCCACTCCATTTCATTGTATCCAATAATAAAGTTTTCTATGAAAATACTAGTGTGAGTTTCAGTATGTGTATCTTCCTTTTGGTTATCACAAAAGGACGACTACAACTCCATCCCAAAACTCCCTTTTGGTGAATACATTTGGATATTTTTATCACATTGAGAGTTGAGGTTTTTGGAGATCTGAGAGTGAATATGTTGCAGCATTTGTCTATCATAGCAAATAGTGGCTTTGTTTCGCCTATATCCTTTGGTAGTATAGAGCATAGTACTCTACAAACAGGTCCCTTGAAGCGGTTGTGCAAAAACCTTGGTTGTTGTCAGTTTGTTCCGAAACGGACATCGTGTCCTTCCTTGTCAAGGACTCGTGTTCCAAATTGTAAATACTTCAAGGTATTGGACTTGTTTTAATACATTGCGTTCATTTTCAATGAGCTCAAGAGATTGTTTGTTTCTTGATATAGACTTTGTTGGAAGCCAAACTCCGTGTAGCAGTAGTGGGTGGTGGTCCCGGCGGATCTTCAGCTGCAGAGTCACTTGCAAGAGCTGGAATAGAAACATTTATATTCGAAAGGAAGTTTGATAATGCCAAACCTTGTGGTGGTGCCATACCTTTGTGTATGATTGAAGAGTTTAGTTTGCCTTTGGATATCGTTGACAGAAAAGTACGTCGTATGAAAATGATATCTCCATCCAATAGAGAAGTGGATATTGGGAAGACTTTGAAACCACATGAATACATTGGAATGACCAGAAGAGAAGTTTTGGACAGTTTTCTTCGAGAAAGAGCTATCCAACTTGGAGCACAACCCATTCATGGTTTGGTTACAGATATTATATTACCTAAAACAGATCGAGAACCTTATATCATATGTTATAGTGACTTTTCTGAAAAAGGAAATGGAATAGGAAAGCCTAATACATTACAAGTAGATATGATTATTGGAGCCGATGGTGCCAACTCACGAGTTGCAAAAGTAATCGATGCTGGCGATTATAATTATGCAATTGCATTTCAAGAAAGAATACGATTGCCTCCAGAGAAGATGGCTTATTATGAGGAACTTGCAGAGATGTATGTTGGAGATGATGTTTCACCCGACTTTTATGCTTGGGTTTTTCCCAAATATGATCATGTTGGAGTAGGAACCGGAACAGTTCTTGATCGACCATCTATTAAAAAGTATCAAGCTGCTATACGTAGAAGAGCAGCATCGAAACTCAATGGCGGTCATATCATTAAAGTGGAAGCACATCCTATTCCTGAACATCCTCGACCACGAAGAGTAGTTGGAAGAGTTGCCCTAGTTGGTGATGCTGCAGGTTATGTAACGAAATGTTCCGGTGAAGGTATTTATTTTGCTGCCAAATCCGGACGTATGTGTGCAGAGGCAATAGCAGAAATTTCTCAACAAGGAGAACGAATTCCTTCCGAATCAGAACTGAAGAAGACTTATCTGAAGAGATGGGATCAAAAATATTGGTCAACTTATAAAGTATTGGATGTATTGCAAGCAGTCTTTTATCGCAATAATATTGCTCGGGAAGCATTTGTGGAACTTTGTGAAGATGAATATGTGCAGCAGATGACTTTTGATTCTTATCTTTATAAGACCGTTGCCAAAGGAAATCCTCTTCAAGACGTAAGACTATTGTTTCATACTTTGGGAGCCTTTGCTCGAGCACCAGCTTTGGCACCTTGAAACAAACAAAATAAAAATGTGGTTTGTCTGATAATCGATTGATTTGGGTTTTATTAATCTTCTTCTTCTTCTTCACCTCCAGCTTCCTTTTTGGATGCTTCTCTCAACTTGCGTCTCTTTACTCTACCAGGACGACCACCACCAAATGGTGAATCCAAAGAAAAGTCAATATGTTTTTGTGAATCCACACGAACCATAAAAGAAGGAACATTGACCAACTGCTTACCAACTCTAAACAAAATAGTCAAAATATTGCAGAGAAAAAGAACGACTGCAAACCTTATGTGTCTTTGACGAATCAACACTCGAGCGTGATGAATGGACTTGGCCAGACCTAACTTCAGAACTTGAGTCTGCAACCTTCTTTCCAATAGATCTTGAACTTTAAGAGATAATACGTGATCGAGAGACTGACGTGTTTCATCAAGCAAACCAAAGCGTGTTAAACGACGCAAAAGGGCATTTCCTTCAAATATTCGACGTGGATCCTTTTCTTCCAGCGTAAGTAGGTCTCTGGCAGCTGCACGAATTTTGGACAATGCAAATTCTACACGCCATAATTCTCGCTTATTTCTTAAACCATATTCTCCAACGAGCTTTAACTCGGCATCCAATCTTTCCTTTTCAAAGGGTCTACGAGGTGTTCGATATGTTTTCGAACCTTTTTATATTTAGCAAAAAAGTAAGATTTCCTCATAATACTACTCACATGTTCTGTAATTCTTTCCCATACTTGACTATATAGTTAATGAGGTCTTCAAGTCTTCGGCGTCGCAAAACCCGATTGATTGATTCTTCACAAAATATGCGATTGGTAGTGGATACGAGTGGTTTGATTCATGGCAATGAAGACATATTTCATAGAGCGACTATAGGACAAACAGAAAATGGTTCAATATTTTATATTTATACAAGTCCACGAGTTATACAAGAAGTCAGAGATGTACGCGCAAGAAAGCGTTTGCAGGAATTAGAATCTGTTCTGATAGTGAGAGAACCCAACAGTTCTTCGCTCAAAGCAGGTAAGATGAGTCTGGTACAAGGTATTATCATTTCTTGATGAGAGGATATAGTTGTGGATTTTGCGCGTCGTACTGGGGACTATCCACATTTGTCTCGAGTCGATATTCACGTACTTTCGTTGACTTTGATGTTGGAACTCGAAAGCAGTGGCCGAAAGTTTCTAAAACCTGAGTTCATTGAACACTTACCAAGTGGACTTGGAGAACCCAAGGAAAATGTGCCTAGGTCAGAGCCTGGTCAATCTAAAGTGGAAGAAGAAACTGCTTCATCAGTCAAGCAGGTAGAAACTGCATTTGCGGATATTCAGATAAAGGAAGAAAAAGATGTGGCAATCAGCAGTTTTGATGTTTGGATTCATAGCGAAAATGTCGATGCAATAGTGCAAAACTCACAAAAGAAATCTATTCAAGGAGAGCCTTCTGCACAAGAGAATAGAGTGGGTTGTATGACTAGCGACTTTTCTATGCAGAATTTGTTGCTTCAAATGGGTCTCATATTGATTTCACCAGATGGTAGACGAGTGAAGAGGTTGAAGTCGTTTGTTCTTCAATGTGAATCTTGCTTTCATGTTACTAAGGAAGTGGAACGACTTTTCTGTCCTCATTGTGGAAACCACACTCTTTTAAGGACAACTTGTAAGACGGATAAACAAGGAAATTTATTGGTTTTTCCTCCAAGAAGAAAGAAGAATAATCTTAGAGGGACTATCGTAAGTGTTCATGATAGAATGTTTCGATTATCATCAAAGGAATAATCACTTATCTGTATTATAGTTTCCTATACCAAAACCTCAGTCGGGAAGAAATGCTCTTAATCTTATTTTATGTGAAGATCAGTATATAGAAAAAGAACAAAAACTGAAAAATTCCAGAAGAAAGAAGGCATATCGAGATGTATTGGATCCTGCTACAGAATACAATGCAAGTCCTTTCTTTCAAAAGGAACAACCTCTTATTATCGGATACAATCGAAAATGTGCCGAACAATTGCAAAGAAAAAACAAAAATGGAAGAAAAGGTCGTAAATAAGAAATAGAGTTTGTATAATCCAACATTACCCATTTTAGATAGAAGTATTGCTCAATCCCCATTATGATATTAGACAATATACGTGAATTGCATACATTATATATATATATATATATATTATTATGATAATGACTTATATGTTCTTATGAGACTTCCAGGAATCCTGAAGATAAGCTTGCTCACTCCATATCTGTATTATAAATTGCTTGGCTGTTCTACCTGAATAGCTATTTTTCCGTTTGGCAAAATCGACAGCCCTTTGTATAAGAAAGTCTAAAATAAACAAAAACTATCAAATATCCATAAACCTAATGAAAATATATACATACCATCATAAGGATTAAGGGAATAACAATGAGCTAAATGCTTAACAACTTGTATATACCTCTTCGAATCTGGCGGCGCAAAAGTTAATACAAGTCCAAACCGCTCTCCCAAACCTAAACGTTCTTCTTCAGCATCCCACATATTCACATCTTCTCCACCACGATATCGATAACTCGACTCTGCTCTAGCAATTTCAGGAAATAGCAAACTTCTTCTATTGCAAGTAGCTACAATGATCATATTCGAAGGCATAGTTTGTAAGCCACCTTCCATTACTGACTTTATAGCACGAATTTCTTCACTAGTCATATCTGCACCAATATCATCCATAAAAATAAGAAATCGATGTGGCAAATGGAACAATTCTGAATAAGAATTGCGCAATTCTCGAAGTTCCAAAGCATCATCCAATTGAATGATACGTAAACCACGCTCAAAGGTTGCTTGTGCAACTGCCTTTACCAATGATGACTTTCCTGTTCCTCGAGAACCAATCAAAAGAACATTGTGTGCTCTTTTACCACTCAAGAAAAACTCTATATTCTTCATCAAAGCTACCTTGTGTTCTTCTATTCCAATAAGCTCATCTAAATTTACAGCATCAAAACTCTCCAAAGGAAGAAAAGGATTATTCGACGTGCCAACATATCGAAACACATAATTTACAGCAAATACACCACAACCTCTCTTTCCATATCTTTTGATCAATTCTTCTACAAGTTCCGGCCATCGAGAAGAAGATTCTTTCATGAGTTCAGCTAGCGCTATATCATCTTTATCCTTAACTTGATGAATAGATGAGATAACATTGCTATCCAAGTAAAACAGCTGACCAAGTTCTGGAGAAACTTCATTCACCCAATAGGAAAGAATATCCGGGTTTAAGTGTCGATAGAGTTGTTCCAGCGCAAACAAGTCACGACAAGCACTGGCGACAATACATGGCTGAAGTTTAGAAGGAATGCCTTCAGCTCGAATACAAGCTCGAGTAAAAGAATTGTTACTGTAAAACAGAACAAGTTGGATAAAATGATCTTCCCATGAGTTGTTGAAATCTGCCAAAACTTTAAGGTATGCTTTACAAGCCTCAAAAAGACTAGCGCTCTTCTTTCCGTGGTGAGATAACGAAACACCCAAAGGTAAAACTGATGTTCGAGAAAAATAACTGTGGTCCATAGAATTGCGATCAGAATGGGCCAGTTGCGATATTGCTGATACTAAATCTTCAGATTCATATTCTTCCAACTCATTTTTTTCCATTTCATCTTCCTCATCGTCTTCACTATCATCATCTTCCTCTTGTTCTTCGTCCAAATTGGTAGAATTCTTTTCCTTATTCCAATGTCTCGCTAAGCTCTCCACTAAATCTACTGCAGCTTCACATAAAGGGTCATTTCGAAGAATATCATCGAAAAACACCAAAGAATCTAACAACTTGACAATATGATGAGGTCTTAAAGCTACTTTGGTGGAGTCGTTGGCTTCTACACTATCAATGCTTCTTTCCAACTTGTCCAATTGTCCTTTTACTGCTATATCGGCTTTCTCTAAACGTAACGAGTCTTGATGTGAACGATTGGTGACTGTCTTGGGTCCATTTGGATTCTCTGTGTAACCATTGGCAGGAATATACCGAAACTCATTGGGCCTTTTGTTAGCTACATGGTCGTCTAAAGCACAATAAGTTGATAACTTTCTTCGATACGCCCCAATAAGGACTTGACCCCAAAAGGAGTCAGAATAGGGCTTCGAGTGGCAGTATTGTGAATTTTCTATTTCACATAAAACAAAGAATTGAATTTTTCATAGTCACAACTCTTGAGAAACTTACTTTGCGCCAATGTCACCCTTCTCGAAGTGAAACAAGAGTGGAAACGGAAGTTGTTGCCATCTGAATAATGGGGAGCTTTGGAACTGCTTTCTTTAATATCTCGAATTCCTCGAAAGACTGATTCACCGTCTCTACTACTCCCACCACTTCCATAGTGAACTTCAGTAAAGCCACATATATGTCTTCTTTCTCTGAAAAGGATCATCTGATCCAAGATAATCTTAGATTCTTATGACAAAATTGTATTTATGATTCAGAAGAGATGCTGCTTATCATTCCTCAACTTGTGTTTGTACCTGAAAAAGAAGACAAGAATTCTTCCATTCAAGCATAATTGCTCTACATATATGTGCCAGCATATACAAATTCAACACGAGTATTTTATGAGAATAGCTTTGGAGTTGGCCAAGCAATCTTTTTATCAAGGGGAAGTTCCTATTGGAGCTATATTGGTTGATGCCAAAGGAAAAGTAATAGCAAAAGGTAGAAACCAAGTAGAAACAACCAAAGATCCTACTCAACACGCAGAACTGCAATGTATTCAAGGTACGTTTTGTTGATAGTGTGGTTTATAATCCTAACTGTAGTACGTACACAGCTGCAACAAGAGTTTGCGGAAATTGGAGATTATTGAATACTACTCTGTATAGTACTTTGGAACCTTGTGCTATGTGTCTCTCTGCTTTACAACTTGCTCGAGTATCTTTCATAGTTTATGGTGCCAAAGATTTTCGACTGGGTGCCATCGAAAGTTGGGTAAGTCGTTATGATTCTTATGTTGTTGTTTGTTCTGTTAGTTATTGTTGTTTTAGTATCCACTCGTACAAGTTAAGCATCCATATCATCGAATAACTCATATGGGCGGTATACTGGAAGAAGAATGTGCAGAATGGATACAAAAATTCTTTTCCAATATCAGAACGAACAAAAGATTTGAAAATGGTGTGTTATGAGTACAAACACTAAAGTCGTCTGAGATATGAATGAACAGAATATGGCAAGTCATTTGAAAACCAACATTTCATATAATCAACAAGAATCCTAATCCATACGTGCTTTGAGTACTTTGGTTTCAATACCATTCAAGGTAATCATATGGACTATTGCACCCCAACCACTAAGACAATCTCTATCTACTGCTGCTAATAAAGACTGACTAGTAACTTCAAACAGCTCTGCAGGTGAGAGATTGGGTTTCCAAAAAGTTTCACTGGTGCCATAAAGACTTTCTGCACAGGTACCGCTCACTACAAAATCTTCTGCAAATAAAGGTGCACCCAAAAGATCTTGAGCACATAGATAGGGTTCACCCTTTTCAGTTAAGCCAGCCACAACAGGTTCCACAAAATAAGGAGAGAATCTTCTACTGTATAAAGTGGAAGCCACCATATTTGCAAAGGATGCAGGTTTGATTTCTCTTTCTTCTCGTAGGCGATACAAATTGAGTCGTTGAACAAAACGGTTATATAGCGTAGTTACATCGGTACGCAACCCAGTAAGACCCAACATAAGTCTATCGTTGATTTTGAATATTCGAGTAGTGTCTGTACCTATCGTTGTCTGCCCATCCATCAATACATCAGTCCATAAACATAACACTCCATAAACTCACTTGTTGAACACCAAATCTTCGATCAGCAGCAATAGCAACACAGTTGTCTCCAGCCATGGCTAAAACACAACCTCCATTATAAGTGAGAATGCTATCTCCCTTTTATTGACTCCCTTTAGTAATAAAAGAAACATTTCATTACTCTCTTCTTACCATTTCTATTCTTATTTGTCAACAACAATGGATTATCCAATGAAATTTATTCTTTGGCAAATGTATTGACAAAAGACAAAAAATGCGACATAGCTTGTGCCATATAAGAAGGTACAAAGAATCCACTAAAATATCCACAATGTCCACCATTCTCTGTATACAACTAGAATATTTCCATATACAAATCATTAGTTATTCTTCCAATCATAAGGCCAACTCAATAATCTTACAAAATGAATAGGAAGAGATTCAAATAGCTGCGGATGTGGCAAATGTTCTGTATCCACAATAGGATCGTTCTTTGACTGAAGAATAAGCAACGGTACTCTTATCAAAGGCAAAAAGAATTCACCTCCATTCTTCCTATAATAATCTTCCTTTCCATCAAAACCAAATACTTGTGAGAATGATATGTGTGTTACTATTATTAAAAGCATAGTCGGGAGTCTATACCTTTAGATATATAATAGTCATCAAGTTCTCCTATGGTAGTTATACTGCGCACTCTTTGAATATCGAACGCTTTGGGAAATCTCTTATGTTGCTCTTCTGCTTTTTGTTTAAAGGAAGATAGAAAGCGTCTCACATATATCACTTTGGAAATACCTCGATCTGCCTTGGGTTGACAATAAAAGGGATTAAGAGGTACACAAGCAACTGTAGCTCCTAATATTCGGCGTTCATATGCACGATTTCCCAATTCACCTAAGAACTTGATAATAATATTCCCTCCTAAACTAAAGCCTCCAAATAAATAGAACAAAGAAATAAATCAAAATCATTCCAAAGACCTACCAGCCAAATATATTGTACAACTTCCTTCTGTCTCTTCATAGATAGTTTTGGTTAATAGATCCACGTCTTCCGTAAAACCAACGTGATAAGTTCTCAAGGTTCGATTGGGTACTCCAGAACAACCTCTATAGTTGATTGCAAACACATTCCAGCCAAGAGCTACAAATCTTTCGACTATTCTCAGAGTGTGAGATGAATATGCAGAAGATTCCAAGCCGTGGCAGACAACCACGTAAGGATTCAGTTTGTTATGACCCAAGACAATGTCAACATCAAAGAAATCTCCATCATGAGTACAAAAACGTCTTCGTTTGTCATATTTTATATTTGGTACGGGAAAAATACTTCCAAAGATGGTTTGAAAGTGTCCACCAAGTCGAGTCCAAACAGGAGGTTCAAAAGACGGAGGATGATAAGTTCTCATCTCGTTCAATTGTGAGAAAAATATGTTTTGGAGAATTTCTTTTTGGATATATACTTCGGTTTCCTTTATCTTACTTGTATGTGCTATTCTTCGAGCTTTCTGGTATCACGTGTATTTCTATAGAGCACTAAACTATTTTTTGGTTTCCAAGTTTTCCTTACTTACACTTGGAAACTTTGTGGCGTCATTGGCGTTATGTGTCGGCAAGGGTCTACAATTGCTTTTATTAGGAAGCCTCCGTTCAAGAGAGGTTGAAATGTTAACCTATAGAACTAAAGAGACTATCTTGGAAACTTTTCTTGCCATGTCCATTTTTCGTGAAGAGTTTGGAGTTGGTTTCCTTGTGTTGTTCGCAGTGCTTTTGTTTTTCAAAATATTTCATTGGATTGCCAAAGACCGTGTTGACTTTGTACGTGGTTTACTTTTCAATTTTGTGGAGCTGAAACGAATATTTGTTTAGGTTGAAGAAACCCCCAATCAAACTTGGCAGCAACGTGTGAGACTTTCCTGTCTATTATTTCTCTTAACAGTTTGTGACGTGAGCTTTTTGATATATTCTATTCAAAAAGTGGCACTCAATGGTTCGTCCTTTTTTGTTCTGTTTGCATTTGAGGTAAGTGAAGCAGTTGTTTGTTGTATGTATTGAATCTGGAGTTGCTCGTTGGAATAGTTTGGTATTTTGTTAATTGCCCAATTATTTGCAGCAGTCAAATATACTTTGGTGTCGATCGATATTTCTCACGGAGGACAATGGGAACCTCGTACAGTTTGGATGTTTTGGAGTGAAATTGTCTCCGATTTGTTGCAATTGTGTGCCTATATGTCATTCTTTACATATATACATATGGTCTATGCGTTGCCATTGCATATTGTCCGAGATATGTATGTGACTATTCGACGTCTCCAAAAACACTATACCGAATACTTAAGATATAAGCAAGTAATGGCAACTATGAATGAACGGTTTCCAGATGCCACTTGGGATGAAATCAATCGCGTGGATAAAACTTGTATTATTTGTAGAGAGGAAATGCATCATGCTAAAAAACTTTCATGTGGTCATTTATTTCATCCTAAATGTTTGTTAAGTTGGTTGAAAAGACAGGTATTGTGGAATTTCATTGTATGGTTACCAAACTCAACTTTGCATAATCTAGTTGTCCTGTCCTACTTGTAGAGCCTCTGTAGATCTGTCAAATGACAATCAGAATGGTACAGTCTCTCGTGGAAGTCCAAGAGATGCAAGACAGATGGAAAATCCAGTAGGGAGAAGACTAGTGGAGAATCAAGATATTAATGGTCAAAGAGGACGTACTTTAAGGATTGGTCTCCGCTTCAATATTGGAAGCCAAGCTACGGAATGGAATCCATTCAATGAAGGTCTTCTCCATGCATTGCATGAAGGAAGACATTCCATTTCTATGCATTCTTATCCTTCCACTCTTCCTCGTTTCGAACCCGTTTTGAGGAATGGAGAACAAAATGTTTTGAACGACAATACAACTTCCTATCAAAGACGAAATGTCCATTTTGAAGATATAGCACTGAAATTGCAGAGAATTCAAGACCATATGAATAACTCGAGATTACAATAGGCATCTTGTATCCATCTGTCTAGTTAGCTCATATTACCAAGGCATATTGCGAAGACTAAATGGGAGACAAAGTTGGAATAGAAAACCAAAATGAACGAGACTCACCTGTTGGATGAGTTTTCTCGCCTCAATAATAGACTGCGTTCATAATGAGTATATTTGCAAGTAGAAATAGAGTTTGGTGATGAAGTCGCTATTGCCATAAGTTTCTGCTTATAAAATTCGTCACTGAGTATATGTTATTACATTGAATGGCTTCTTACCGGTGACTGACTGCAGAATAGACTATAAGTAACGGACTTGCGTTTTTTTGTTATGAATTTGTTCAATTTCGTCAATAAGCGTCCGATTTCAATGGAACATTTATAAACCTTATCTCGTATTCTCCAATGAATTTTGATGACGTCATTCAATAGCTTTTGACTTGAGATACAACCAAATTGAGACCAGAAGTATTTGCGATTCTCACAAATTGCACAGTACAGTTTTTTGGGACGGATCTTAGTGACTACAAACCACTATTTTTCCACCAATTGTTAAACAATGTATTCTTTCGATCCAGTTGAAAGGCATACCTTTTGAAAGTTTTGATGAAAATTCCAACTTGCCAAGGGTAGAAAATCTACTGTAATAAAGTACAAAATTGAACAATAAATAAGATAGATACTCCCAATAGCTGCCAAAGGATCTAAAAAGTTGATTCATAGAATAGACAATCATATTTTGTTAGGTGCTACTACCTACCATCCATCAAGGCTGGTTTCAGTATACACCCATAAAAATGAAACATAATGGATCCAATTCCAAATAAGGAAGACAAAGCATTCTGATAACGTTGTCTCCAGTAAAGAATACAAAAACAACCTCCAAGCACTAGTAGAGACATCATCGTAGTCATCACAAAAATGCCAAGAACATTTTCATAATGGCGCTGTATTAAAACAAGTGGATCCATTCCAGATACCAAAGAAAACAAATAAAACATGATACAAGTAGATATCTGATAACTAGAAATGCATAAGATGAGAGTTTTGCAGGAAATCTGAGATTTAGCCATTTGTGTAAAATGAAGTAAGAATCGAACAAAACAAATGATTGGTATCAAAATGAGTAGATAAAACAACACTCCGGTTTCCATTGATTTTTCACGCACATGAAAGTATCTGTCAAACTCAGAAGCAACATGATCCGTCAATATCTTGTTGGCTTGAAAACAAACGTTAGCACTCATTATTCGACGCACAGTCTACAGAACATTACCATCGACGGCACTAAGCAGATTCTGCCAAGTCTTTCTTGCCATATCTCGAGATTTCTTCACAAGCTTCTGAGCAGTAGGATTCAAGGTTTCTACCTAAAACAGATGAGTAAGAAGTTTCATGTAAAATATTTCCTACATACTTGATAGTCAAACCACTGATTCAATTCAGAAGAATATTGACCTGTAGTTTGTTGAAGAAAACGCACTTCTTTGGACAAAATCTAATACATAATAGATCATGTCATAAATAACAAATTGGGCAGTAAATGCGCTTCATACCTCAACATTCTCTTCCAGTTTCTTTCTCCTTTGAAAAAGAGTATCGATTATAGGTTGTAGCTCTGCAATTCTCTTATCCAATTCCGTTTCCAAATCCAAAAGATAGGACTCTTCAGCTTCTTTTTCGTGCTTCCTTTGTATGTCAAAAGATCTTTCCATCTTTATCAATTGTAAATTCGAGCGTTGTTTATCGAGTTTGTGTAGTAGTTCCTTTCTTTCTCTTTGCAACTGACGAATAATCTGTGGACTGCTCATATCCATATTTATTATTTTCGATGTCGAAAAGCTATCAAAGGCAGATTCTTCACTATTTATCAGTTCATTGGAATGGGCAACTTGGATTCCTGAAAACAAAAACACAGTTAAGAGAACTATCAACCACTTGAAGAAGACCAGGCACGTCAACCCACAAAGACTCATTTGAATGAGGGGCCAATTCACAAAGAGTGGGACATTCCCCAAAGAAAAATGATTCATTCAAGTTTTGGCGCCATTTTATTTACTTTCCATCCATTTTCAAACTTTGTTAAAAACATAGATTGCTCATACATTCAAGCAATTCTAACTACCTGTTTTGCCAGCTTCTATCAATCGTTTCAATGCAATGATCCATGAACTATTTCCTTCCCAATGTTGTTGAGTTAATACAACTTGAAGCTTTGAAGCACCATCATAGTTGCCTTGTCCAAGCATTTTACAAAGTTCTATCAGCTTGCTTCCTATTTCTTCATTTACTTCACCGTTGTTTAATTTGGTCACAAGATGACCCAATTTTCTATTCACATCATCCAGTTTCCTTTTATATATAGGTTGTTGATTCAGAGTTTGGCAATGGGAATAGAATGCACGCAATGTATCAACAACTAGTTTGTAATTGGAAGGAACTAGAGATATATCTGCAGCAGTTAATGTAGCTATTGAAGTAGGCTGAACTCTTCCATCTTTTCCTGAAGGAGATTCTGTCATCGTGGGTTGCAAAGATGCATTCGTAGCAGATTTACTGGCAATGCTTGTTTGAGATGGATAACTGGAAAAACTATTACTTGATGGCCCTGACATTGGTATACTGGGAATGGTGGTTTGCTCAACTTGTTGCCTCTGCATCGGTGATATGGATGCTGCATTTGGTTCAACACCACTTCTATCGTGAGTTGCCGTTTGGGTTGGACTCCTAATGGATGATGCTACTTCCTTCGGCAATTGAACATTAGCGTTTCCTGAAACTGGATACTTATTTGCTTGACTCGGGATACTTCTATGCGTTCCAGCTGTCTCGCCAGAAGGAACTGATTGGGGAGGTATAGACCAATTCTGCATATTTGGATTAGTAGATAAAGGTTGTGTTCTTGTAGGTGGTGGTGGTTGTGGTGATTGAAGATGGCTATTGGTTTCCATACCCTTAGTACCCCTTTGTGTTGAAACATTTAGGGGTTGAACTTGAGACTGATCAAACATCGATGTATTCAATGTAGTTGAAGGCGGAGGTGGAGGAATAGAAGATGAGGAAGAAAATGATGATGACGTGACTGCCGTTGAAGGAGAAAAAGTTCCTTGATTTCCAGGTAACCAATTTCCTGAAACAACTGATTGATTGAGTGAATGAGAAGTTTCCAGAGAAGCTCTAGTTGCTGTGGTTGGTGGAGGTGGAGCAGTCAATGTTGTAGGTTGTTGATTGTAAGTTGTTTGAGATCCTGCCATCTGATCAGAAAGGTCGAAGAACTTGTAGTTTCCAACATGCGGCCTTGGGAGGTTGGTAGCTTCACCAGAAGTTGCAATATTTGGATGATTCTGGCCCTGACGATGTGCCAATTCTTGATAAGAAGGCGGCGCTTCAATAGAATGTGAATATCCAGATGCGGCTGCTGTATTCACTCTCGAGGAAACGTCTGTCTGTGGAACACTTCCAGGAGCAGCATTTACACTTTCCTTATAAAAAGAAGGTTGTGAAACGTATCCACCAGTGTCAGAAGTTGATCCGATCAAGGAATGAAATGCTTGTGGTGGAACTGTTCTTCCACTAACTGAATGAAATGAAGCAGTCATAGGTGGAACGGTAGAAGGAAACTGATTTTGTGGCAAAGGTTCAAAAGGTTTTGACAAATTTCTCGTCTCTTGTAAATTTCTCTCATCAGAAGCCAATGCTGTATTATCCAAAACAGGAGGCCTTCCAAACTGTGACATGTATTCCTCTGTATTCAAGTTCATGTTGTTTCTTGATGATGATGATGGAGGAGGAATGTTTGTCTGTTGTTTGTTTTCTATAAATGTTCTTTTTGGTTCTACTAAAGTGAAAGGAAGTGGAGGCGCCTCTGTGAAACCCAACTGACTAGCAATCGATTGTCCAAGTTTCCAATATGTGCGATACAATAATTCTCCTGCAATACCGAAGGTACCTTGTGTTTGAGGATTTAATGGTGCTAAATAGGAAAGTGCTGAATGACATTCCCCTTCAGCAAGAAGCAACGTTGCATAATCACAAAATGCCTTCGATGCTTCCTCATCAATAGTGTTCAATTCTTCGCTATATAATGACGCGCTTTCACTCATTGAAATGCAACCACGGAGGACCATCAAACGTTGTATGTATTCTAACAACTCTTCGATATTCGACCACTTCCAATTCCGATACCTGCGGTGTGGATGAGGAACTTGTTTGGCTTCACAGGCCCAAGAATAGGACAGCTTTGACATATTCCCAGCACATAAGAAACACAGATTCGCACCTTTCGAATTACAAATTTCGTCTTGTAACTTAATTCCCAATTGATTGCATAACGATAGAAAGATGGGACCTGGAGGTGCATAACTCAATATCAAAGATAAAGCTTCCTGCCATGTCAATATTGAATGATGAGAAGACATCGATTTCGAATCCGACAAGTTAATCCTCTTCAATATATCCACTGCCTCATTTTGTTCTTCTACACATGCAACAATAAACGCTAGAGTAGCATTGTCTTGATATTCCAAATATTTGATTCGGGTATTTCGAAAAAGCTCCACACCGCCGACTGAAGCAAGAATCAAAGCATCGGCTGGTCGGTCATCAGAAAAAGCTGCATCGACAGCACTTGAAAGGCTGCCTTGCAACAAATACTCAACAAGTTTGACAGATAAAGACTTTCCAGTTCCATCTTGCGCTGACTTGGTTTCTAAATCTAGTGAACTCAATTGGGAAGAGATGATATCTCCTTGTGGACTTTGAATATTCGTCTCATCATCTTGCCTATCTAATTCCCAGGGAGCTGGTCCGGAAGGTTGCTGCTGAACAGGGTCATTCATTTGACCTTTTGCCACGTTATAGGATGCGTCTAAGAATGGCTTTGGAACAATATCGGACAATGAGCAAATAGATGGACACATGGCATATCCAATCAACCTTCGACCTGGAGTCTCTTCTACAAAGACAGGCGAAGTGGATGACTTTTGAAGATGGGATAATAACTCTTGTCTAGGATGCGAACTACACCAAAGTGTAATGGCTTCCCATATATCCAAATTTACTTCCAAACCAAAACTTGTACGCCAATCTTTTTTGGACGATCTTTCACGTACTTTCTCCATACAAAAAGACTGAAGTCTTCCTTCACTCAACATTTCTTGGATACGATGATTGGTAGACAACACGTCAGGATTGGTATGAATCTGTTGGAGTTCTACAAAGCTCGGTGACGTTTGTGATGGTTGTGCAGCAGAAACACCGAAATAAAGCAAACTTCCATCAAAACCAAACGAAGCACTACTACGTCGTCTCATCCATGAAGGTGCGTAATTTCCTAATATTGGTAACGATCTTTTTGAGTCATGTGGAGAATTCAAAGCTATTTCTGGAGGCAATCCTGAAGCGAATTCTTCTCCAAATGAATCTTTCAAGGCACTTGAGGTTGCCTGCATATTGTTAGTGGAATCATTCGATCCTGTCACGACATTCCAAATGGAAACTTTGCTTTCCAAGGAACAAACAGAAATCAAACCTGGCAAAGTGTTTGACCATTGGACATCAAAATTCCAACCAGATTCAGCAGGTACTTCTCCCAACAACTCTCCTGTTTGTGAATGAAGAATAATGCAACGGCCATCCTTTGTACAGCAAATGATTAGATTCGAATCATGAGAACACCATGAAACCGATGTTATGCCGCGAGCATGCATACTAAGGTCTTTCATGGGCACTTTTGTTGCTCTCAAATCCCATATGAATAAAGAGGAGCCTTTGTCATCGTCTGAGCCTGTAACTATTTGAACTGGAACAACAGGACTCCACGAGAGACAAGATATTCTCTTTTTGGTATCGCTATCACGAAAACTAACAACGGATCGTTTCTGACTAAGATCCCAAATAACACACAAACCCGATACGTGACCAGTAGCCAAAATTCTCTGGTTACCCTTATTCCAAGTTAAAGTGGTCAGCTCTGCACTAGCCACATTAGAAGCTCCAGTAGCACCTCTAAAAAGGTTTGAACTATCTAAAGAATATCCTTTTACTTGTCTCTCTTCCATAGGCTTTGACAAAGACAAGTCCCAAATATAAAATTCCGAATCAGAGCCACTACTTGCCAATAACCCGCTAATAAAGGGACTAAACTCCAAGGCAGAAATAGGACCTTTGCTAGCCTTTGTTTCCTTTCGATCACTTGAAAATAAAGGAGTATTTGAAGTTCTGGAAGTCAACTTGTCCACATCCCAAATCTTTACAACACCACTAGAGAAACCTCCAGCAACTAAACCAAGCTCTTCATTATTGGGTTTTCTACCCCATGAAAGTTTCAAAAACTTTTCTTCACAACTTAGCGAACACAACTTTTGCAGAGCCCCTTGTGACGTATACTCGGCAACCTTTCTTGAGTTGCTTTGTGAACCCAAGGAATGGAGTTCTAAAAAAGAACCGGAGTCAAAACCAGGGTCTACAGAACCACCATAGCTTGCTACAACAAATAAGTCTCCTTGTCTTATTTGGGTTGGACACCAACTTAATATGGCAGTACGCTCTATCGTTCCAACCAAACCCATATATAAAACTATAGAAAATTGAAAAGTTATATTTCCACAACGAATCTTCTCCAATTGAAAACTCAAGTTGTGCTCTATACAAAAAGAATTTACTTTTTAAAAAATTCTATTTTATGAATCAGCAGCAACTTGTATGAGATTCAAAGCTTGTTTAATAGCTGACACGATATCGGTTCTGTTTACTTCCCTTTGTTCGTTTGTCGCAAGAATCTTTAGATTGACCATTCCTTTTTTCAGTTCATCCTCTCCAATGATAACTAGCAACGGTATCTCTTCTTCCAAAGCATGTTGTAGTTGTTTATTTAATTTCGGTTTCTCTGCATAAGAAAACTCTGCTGCAATATTCCCTTTCCATAATTCATTCGCTAGTTTCATTCGTTCTCCTATCATTTGTTCTCCAATAGAAGCAACCAATACTTGAGTCTTGTTAGCTTTTATTTTTCGACCCAATGAAGTGGCCCATTCTTTCTCAGCAGCTTCAAATATCGTCAATATTCTTTCAATACCAAGTGAACAGCCAACACAAGGAACTGAACGACTCGAAAACATATCCACCAAGTTATCGTAACGACCACCGGCACCAATAGAACCTAATGAAGTGTTGCTATCTGTTGTCAAAACTGCCTCAAATATCAATCCAGTATAATAGTCCAATCCTCTTGCCAATGAAAGATCAAATATAAGACAATCACCTACTCCCAAGTCTCCAAGATACTTGAATAAAAGTTCCATATCTTCTAAAGATGAACGTGCCATGGAAGAAAGTTGAGAATCTTCATATAAGGATGATAGCATCCTTTGTGGATTATCTCGGCGAAGTACATAACTTCCAATTTTATCTGCTATAAAAGGATCCAATCCCTTCCTTTCTACTATCTCAGACCGAACACTGCTCCAAGATTCCTTGTCCAATTTGTCCACTGCAGAGCTAATTGCCCTCATTTTCTCTTTTGGAACACCACACAACTCAAATATGGAATCCAATATACCGCGATGGTTCACTTTGATTTTATAACTAGAAAGAACCTTTGCATGAAAGGACGATACTACTGCCAATTCATCCAACACTTCACAAAGCACTTTAATGACCTATCACAAGTGTAAGACAAATATTTTGCATATTCCAATAGACCAACCTCTGCATCAGGAACCATTCTAGCAAAGGTACCAGCAATATCAAAGTCACATTGATAAAACTCTCTAAAGCGTCCTCTTTGAATAGCTGGATTATCTCGTCGATATACTCTACTTATATGATATCTTTTCAAGTTGTTTATCTTATGGGTGGCTAAAAATCGAGCCAAAGGCACTGTCAAGTCGTATCTCAGTGATAACAGTTCACCACCCTGGTCTGCCAAATCATAAATAAGTTTGGAGTCTTCTCCATATTTTCCTGTCAAAGTTTCCTTCAACTCAAATACTGGAGTATCAATAGCAACCGCTCCGTGACGATCAAATACTTTGGTGACTATTCGAAACGCCTTTTCACGAATAGCCATTTGTTCAGGAAGGAAGTCTCTTGCACCTTTAGGAACTTTTGCTTTCATTGTACGCTTCATATTGGACAATTCTTCACAAGCAACCTCCAACTCGTTTCTATCTATCGCTTCCATCTTCATAGAGTTTTCACCAGTAGATTGGGTAGAGCAAAAGAGCCTTTGGGTCAAACTTATGGACGACGTTTGTCGCTTCGGAGCAATTGACAAAGCTTTCAAAAGCAACCAACTTTTGGATAAATAACCACAACAATATAGTATTTTGGAATGATTCAGGGAGTTGTTATGAACAATATGCGAACAAAAAGATCGCAAAAAGTGTCTATCCACCGCTACCAAAAAGGTCAAACGATCCGAATACAAACCACATCGTCTCATCATTTCTTTATTAGTGTATTTTGAAAAAGAAATGAAAAAGTGTAACAAGATACAATAATCAACCATATCAAGTTAGTTTATCTTCCATAAATATCAACTAATAAAATTCTTCACAATGATAGAATAGTTCATTCTCAATGAAATATCCAAAAACTTCTTTCCATAGTTAACTTGCTCTATGGCAACCAAACCAACATATGAAATGGCTTCTAGTCAAAATGATAACTTGGAGAATAATGACAAATAGGGAAAGTGTTTGTGAATTTGTAGAGAAACAGAAAACTTTACTTTCTTGGGAAGCGGAAGAAGAACAGAGACGAATAGAAATTGCGCTACAAAATGTAGAAGAAAAGAAGCACTGGAAAAAGTTACAACTCACTGGGCTAGCAGTATACAATTTGCGCATAACTTCTGTTTCCAAGAGTTCCATCGATGAAACAGTACAAGTCGTTTTAGAGAAGAATTCGAGTCAAGCTATTGTTACTTCAACAAAACTTCACAAAGGTGATCCTATTCTCTTTCGTTTCCAAGTCCATTCCACTTTTCATACTTGCCCAGTTTATCGAGGAGTCTTGAACCAATTGACTGGAGATAAGATGATATTATCCTTAAGGGAACAAAACATTGTAGAAAAGCTTCAAGAATATAACGAACGTGTTGTGGTAGTGAAGGACTTTGAAAATATTACAATGAAGCGCTGCCTTAAAGCCTTAGAGGAACTCGAGAGTATGGACTCCAATCACCGAGCATATTCCATAAGACAAACGTTATTTATGGAGAACAACTATGAAAAGTTATTTGTAAGACCGGAAAATGTAGAGTTTCAACCAGATCCAGAGTTGAATAGTTCACAAAACCAGGCCTGTTTTATGGGAACTTGGAAATATCCAATAACTGTTATTCATGGCCCACCAGGAACTGGCAAAACAACAACTCTAGTTGCTCTCATTAGAAAGTTGTTGCAAAGAGGAGAAACATTACTTGTATGTGCTCCATCGAATGTTGCAGTGGATAATGTGATGGAAATGTTGATAAAGAAAGAGCCGCATATTTCGGCATTGCGTATTGGACACCCTGCGAGATACAATTCTGAACTATATAAATACTCAATGGCATACCAAATGAAAGAGAATGTAAGAATATCCAAGTTTGTTGAGGTCATATAATTTGCATCAATTAGGATCAAGGAAAGTTGTTGAAAGATATTGAAATGGAAATGGTCTCTGTGGAGCGCTCATTGGAACACGCAAAGGATCGTCATCAACAATATGAATGGAAAAAAGTAAGAAAATCTTTGCAAAAGGAATGGAAGGAAAGAAAGTCTTTAGCAATGTGTCAATCTTTTCAACAAACTCAAATTATTTTTTGTACCTGTGCAGGAGCTGGAGATTGGACTATGGAGTCTTTGTTTTCTAACCATTCGAGACTCGGAAGAAATGGATTGGATACAATTATTATAGATGAAGCTGGACAAGCATTAGAGTCATTGTGTTGGATACCGCTGTTAAAAGGAAAGAGAGCTATTTTGGCTGGCGATCCTTTTCAGTTGCCACCAACTGTACTATCCCAAAGAGCTATAGAGAATGGATTGGCAAAGTCCATTTTGGATCGCATTTTTCAACACAAACAACTCGAGCAATCGATCGTCTCTGTCTTACAAATACAATATCGTATGCATCTTTGTATATCGGAATGGAGTAGCCATACTTTTTATCGAGGTATACTTTTTATTCTTTTCATATAAGATAGAATTCTAAAACTGATTGGATTGACTTAGGACTGCTTTCTCCAGATAAAGATGTTGAGTGTCATCTTTTGTGTGACTTGCCTGGAGTTCGAAGAGATCGTAATACGGAGATTCCTTTATTGTGGATTGACACTGCAGGTTGTGATTGTATAGAAGAAACCGAGTCATCGTTTGCTGATGAACAAACAGACAGTTTTGCATTCTTATTGGGTTATGAATCCAAAAGAAATCGGAATGAAGTTCAGCTCTGTTTTCAACATCTTGAAGAATTGTTGGATGCAAAAGTTGAACCTAAACAAATTGGTATTATTTCTCCTTATGCAGCACAAATAAGAGAATTGCGTCAAAGAATAGCTAAGCTTTCAGGTAGGCAAAGTCACGTATGAAATAGAAAATACTCATTATGCTTTATCACAGAAGAGATAGAAATTTCTACTGTAGATGGATTTCAAGGTCGAGAAAAGGAGGCTATTATTTTATCTCTTGTTCGTTCCAACGATATTCAAGAGTTGGGATTCTTAACTGATTACAGAAGAATCAATGTGGCTATCACTAGAGCTAGGAGACATATTTGTATCATAGGAAACTCGGATATGATGGAAAAGGATTCCGTTCTCTCACAACTGGTATCTTATTGTTTTGAAAATGGAGAAATTCGATATGCAACAGAGTATGATCCAACTTTACAAGGGGAGGAAATATTGAAACAACCTCAACTACCTACTCAAAAAATAGAAAGAGACCGAAGCAAGTCATTTACACATTTGGATATTGCGAAGAAAAATCAACAACAACAAGCTAAAACAAGCCGTACTGTAATGCTTTCTCAAGTGAAGATGAATAAGAGAAAGGAAGAAGACTTGGAGACGAACGTCATTGAAAAGCAATTGATGAAATTCATTCATTCTGACTCGAAAATGATCGAATTCTCCTCTACACTATCCAAAAATGAACGGCGATTATTGCATGAGCTTGCTGAGAAATATAATTTAGGACATAAGAGTGTAGATAGTGTCGAAGGACGTTACATAAAGCTATGGAAATGGACTGAAGAAGAAGTAGTGTCGTCTTGTAAAGACTCTCCTCATTCGAATCACAATACTTCTCATCAGGTATAGTATAGATAATCCTTTCAGAATGGCAACTTATGTGCTCTGAGAATAGGAAATCAAGCAAAATACTACTGGAAATCCCACGAGTAAAGCCACTTCTCGTCCAAAGAAAAAGAAGAAAAAGCAAAAGACTAGCAAAGATACTCAAAAAGATGATGAAAAAGAAGATATTAACGAATTGATAGACTCTTTTCGTAAAATGGATGCAAAGAAACTTGTAGAAAGTGGCTATCCAGCATTCTTTCAAAAAGAGCCTTATTATTCTGCCATCCAAAGGGCCAAAACTCTTCCATCGATTCCGCCTAAATAAGAATCGAATGTATTGAGTTTTGGAAGAACGTTATATGGAATCAGTATCCTCTTCTCCAACTAAAGATAACTCGTGGCATAGTGAAAGTGACGAATGTAGTTTTCAAGAAGCGTTATCGAAGCGAGAAAATGTTGACAAAGATACCTTTCGAAGGAAGGTTATGAATGCAACCCTACTGCCTTATCGACTGGCTTGGAAAGGTTTTAGTTGGTCTACTTATCCTGTTAGGAAAGTTTGGGGTTGGAGAAAAGACCAATACAGTCAACAAAAAACAAGAAACAATTTGGACGAAGCAGACCACTTGTTTGCAGAGTTAGTTCCGCGACCTCCGGAAGACGTTTATGAAGCACAAAGACAAAGTGCTGTTGACAGGTGGCTTTTTGGGCAGTCAGCCTATAAATGCGGTACAGTAGAAAGTGCACTAGAAGACAATAATTCTTCTTCAATGGAGGGTAAAGATGACACACGAAAAGTAGCACTTGGTATGTTTATCTTATTTACTTTCAAATAGACTAATATTTCCTTAACAGTTTCGTCTTTTTCCAAGTTTTGTGGCTATTCACCTCTTCTGTTATTCTTGAACTGGTGGCGGAATCGAAATAATCGTCACGCTATTTATGAGTTGTATAAAGTTTTAAACAACGCTTCAACATACATGGAATGGTACAACTCGGCACAGTTGCTCGATAGATTGGAAGGAAACGACGAATGGAAGCATCATGATATTGAGTCCATCAACTTTTGCTGCGATTTACAGTTACTTCGGAATCGACTTGTTGAGTTGGGAATGCTTTATAGAGAAAACGACATAAGGCGACTGGTATTTGTGGTTAGAGCAGGATTGCAGCGTCGCTTTGCTGGCTTATGTCATCCAGACTTGCATAAATATTCGCATGTTGGAACCAAAAGTGTAGTTGAAGATTATGTGCATGTAATTGCTTGGTTGTTGGAGTATTTGAGTACTGTAGATTTTGCAAACGTTTCAGAGACTGTAGAAACTAAGGAAATCAGTGAAGGTGAATTTCGAAACAGTCCAAGTAACCCATTATTAGATTCGATTCGAAAAGGTTTTCCTACAGATGAAAGGAATCAGAAGAAGAAGGAAGAAGTTGCTCTTCAACAAAAACTTTCAGTTTTTAATGAAATGCGACATTCTTATGGCAGGACTGCGTTGTTATTATCTGGTGGAGCGAAGATGGGATTGTATCATTTAGGAGTAGCCAAAGCCTTGTTAGACCAACGTCTTTTACCACGAGTTATTTCAGGCTCTTCTGCTGGTGCTATTATAGCGTCCTTTATTGGTATATTTAGAGATGAAGAGTTGAGAATTTTACTAAACACTCTTGTGAATCCACGAACAAAAGAAAAGATTCGGTTGGAGTTTTTTGATAATGGAGTTTCTTTGAAAAGAAGATTGAAACGGCTATGGAAAAAGGGTATTTTATATGATATTCGTCATTTGACTAGTTGTATGCGTAACAACTTGGGCGATATTACATTTGCTGAAGCCTATGAATGCACGAGACGAATAATTAACATTACAGTGGCTCCTATTCGAGGAACTGAATCCATTTTGCTAAATTATTTGACAGCTCCAAATGTTTTAATATGGAGTGCCGTTGGTGCAAGTTGTGCGCTTCCCGTGATATTTTCTCCAGTCCAGTTGGTTGCAAAAGATAGTGACGGACAGTTAGTTCCTTATTATTTGGAAGGTGTGAAGTGGATGGATGGTAGTATCAATGCCGATGTTCCGTTACAACGAATAGGGGAATTGTTCAACGTCAATCACTTTATAGTTAGTCAAACCAACCCTCATGTAATACCTAGAGGTAGTCGATTGATGAAGAGTCGTTTTGCCAAAATGATTAAAGCGGAATTGAAGTTTCGATATTGGCAATTGAATGAACTTGGTCTTGTGCCTTGGATTGTATCCTCGATTTTTCCAGTTTTGACTCAAGTAAGCGCCATTTATTGACTTTCGGATGATATAACTAAATGATTGTTTGTGTAGCCATTTGAAGGAGATGTAACTATTATGCCAGGGTTGGGACTATCAGATATTATTCATTTATTTTCCAACCCGACCGAAGAAGAAATTCAGGAATATATTCGCTTAGGAGAATATTATACGTTTCCAAAGATTGACGTGGTTAGACATCACACTTTGATAGAACTTACTTTAGATGCTTGTGTGGAAAGAGTAGGAAAGCAACTTTTTGATCTGTCTTTTAGTTCTTCACATAGAAGTGGAGGAGATAGTCGTACAGGTTGGACTAGAAGAGCTCCATCCTGGCTATGGTTGGATACCTTTTTAAGTCCAAACAGTACTATTTCGACACCTTCACAGACTCCCAGATTGTCTCATCACAGTAGTTTTGTGCGAAATAATTCTCAGTTGGAACGTCAATTATCAAAGAAAAGAGAAGGAAAGAGTACGAGTTCAAGTTTTACAATATCTCGTGAGAATAGTGTGGAATTTGAAGAGAATGATCAACATCATTGAGAAGAAGAGCGGATAAGAATTGGAAGTTGGTTAATAATCATTTGTAGATAGAGAAGGATAAGAGTGGGCTGATGATAGATTGCAATAGACAAATGCCACATCTTATTATATGAAATATTGAAATAGATAAAGAGAGCAAGACTTTGGATAATACGTGTGTTTTTTAAAGTTCCATCTTCACGTAACTGTCTATTGCTCTTTTCTGAGAAGCAGAAGAGAAAGTTTGACACTTGTCACTATACTAGTCGTTGTAAGAAATCTATGGAAAGTTCTTCTTTCAAACAATCAGGCTTTTTAAGGAATCATCAAGGTGCAGTTCACGTAGTGCGTCTCTCATCCAGTGGAAAATATTGTTTGTCGGCAGGAGCTGATAAGAGTGTTCGACTTTGGAATGTCGAAAAACAAACCCTCATAAAGACCTATACCGGTGGTCACGGGTATCCAATCTTTGACTTGGATCTTTCGTCTTCTAACAGTCAGTTTATTTCAGTGGGTGAGGAAAAGTTTGCAGTTGTATGGGATGTACAGTCTGGGAGAATTGTACGCAAATTGGGAGGTAGTTCAAGTGGACATACTCAGCGAATCAATGCAGTTTGTTATGCACATTTTATCACTGAAGACTCCATCGTCTGTACAGCCTCCTACGACCGTACAGTTCGTTGCTTTGATTTGCGTGCGTCCAATCGTTCCTCAGATCCTATTCAAGTTTTGGACCAAGCAGCAGATAGTGTAACCGATGTTTGTTGTTTTCAATACGAAATCCTGACAGCAAGTGTAGATGGATATCTTCGTCTGTATGATATTCGAACAGGCTATATTTTGATGGACTATTTGGGACCGCCTGTAGGAAAGTGTTGCTTTTCACATGATGGAAATTGTATTTTGGCAAGTTGTTTGGATTCTTGTCTTCGACTCATAGATAAGAGCAATGGTGATTGTCTGGCACAATACAAAGGACATGTTAACGAAGAATTTGCACTCCATTGTGAGCTGACCCTGGATGATGCCTTTGTAGTATGTGGTTCAGAAGATGGAAGTATTTATTATTGGGATTTGACAGACTCGGTAATTGTACAAAGTTTCTATAAAGCGCATAAGAGTACTGTTAGTTGTGTTGCTACTCATTCAAACTTTTTGGTGAGTGCTTCGCATGACTCGACTATCCAACTGTGGACTAGGAATATGAAAACATCATGAACATATCAAGAGGGCAGACATTAAAAGAATAGAGATGGATAGAATATATATATATATATATAATACAAAAGGCATTGAGAAGTATGAGAAATAAATGAAGAAGAGGAATAACAATTCATCAGTCCATCATCACTTGGATGAAAAAAGAGAATGCCAAAGTGGATGACAAAGTTGGCATCGTTTCATGTCTCATCTTCTCCTCTGCAGCTTTCTTTCATAGGCATTCTTATTCTATGTGTTACTAGTCTTGTACGTATTCTGTTTAGGCTGCTTAAAGGAAAGCTATTTTATCGTGTAAACAATAACAACTTGGCACTGGACCCCTTAGAATTTCGTTCTTTTCGACTCATCGAAAAGGCTGTCGTCACTCCGAATGTGAGACTCTTTCGTTTTGCAGCCTCCCATCCAGAACAACTTGTCAATGTACCTCTAGGCAAACACATATATGCCAGAGCTTGGATCAACGGAAAGGAAGTAAGAAGACCTTATAATCCCATCAATAAACCCAATCAAGTGGGTGGTTGTTTTGATATTTTGGTCAAGGTGAAAGAGTTTTTTCCAATATATTTCATTGATGGGTTGAACGATAACTTATAGATTTATCCAGCTCCGTACGGTCTCTTTTCTAGATATTTAGACTCATTAAAGGATGGTGATTGTGTCGAATTCCGTGGTCCGAAAGGCAAATTCGAGTATCAAAGAAATATGAAGAAACGTCTTGGAATGATAGCTGGAGGAACTGGAATAACTCCTATGTATCAGGTTTGTAAAATAGATTGGGTTGTGAACAATATTTCCCATATTTTGTAACTATCTCAGTTGATAGAGACGATACTGAATGATCCATTGGAACGAACACAAATAAGTTTGATATATGCTAATCATACGGAACAAGATATTATCTTTAGAAACAAATTGGAATCTTTTGCATCTCAATTCCCCAATCGACTGAAGCTCTATTTTGTGTTGAATCAAGTAAGCAATACATATAGAGTGGTTGATATAGATTATTCAGACTCTTTTTTGCTCATAGCCGCCTAATTCATGGTCTCAAGGGATAGGTCTTATCAATGAAAAGCATATACAACATCACATAGGTTATGCATCTCCTTCTACTAGGGTAAGTATAATGATTGGATAAAATTCTCAATTCTAAAATTTTACAGATTTTGGTTTGTGGTCCACCTGCAATGACCAAAGCTATGATGATATTGTTGAACAAATTGGGCTACAAAGGAGAAGATATTTTCAAGTTTTAAAATTTATTCTTCTGTAGAATGATTGTCTTCGTCCATTGTGGATATTCTTTCCGGTTCTTGTCCATCAAAATATCTTTCTTCGATATCATTCTGTATCCATTCCATCCCATCATAATCTTCATTGTTGTCTATAGAAGAGTAATCAAAGAATGTTGCATCATGTCCATTTAGAAACCGTTGTCTCATAATAACCAAAAGTTCTTCTCTGCTTTGTTGAAAATCATCCAACGTCCAATTGGAAATATCACTTTCATTCTCTTCATCACTTGTTCCTCAATATAATTCCTTTCGCTTGACCGATATTACTCAAAGGATAAAGACGTTTTCTTTGAATTTGCACATCAAACTACCTCTCTTCTCCTCCCTTCGTTTTGCATTTTCCTGTACAGTCCAAAATGGGATAGGAGGAGATTCGACTCAAGCATCAAAAGTTAATAAAGGAACTGTGAAAGGCACAATAGTTAGAATCGGAAATTTAAACGTTCGCGTTTTCATCCTTCATAAGACGTGTTGAACCTAAGCTGATACGAATATCTCTTTGTAAAGCGGCCTTTTCATTGAGATCCTTTGCTTTTGCTCTCGTCATGTTCGGTTACACTGTTGCTTCCAAACAAGTTTTTTATGACCATAAGAGTTTGCTAGTAAGTTTTATGACAAAATCAACTACACCACTTGCAAATTTATATCTAAACCTAAAAACGGTAAAAAAGCTATTGTGGATATGAACAAAGTTCTGTGTGATTATCATAGAATATATATCCATGTCTGTAATATCTTTCCATCTTTCCTTCATTCCCTTTTACCCAATTATTGTGTAAAATGTACAAATGCGGAAACAATTCCTGTATCCTTCCAGCGGGACTGTCCCAGATGCCTTCCGTGATTCCATTTGGAAACAGTTTTCGATCTAAGAGCAGCACGTGAAACTTGCCTTTATAGATGCAACGTTCTTTGCCTTGAGCATTTTCTCCCTCTTTGCCACACCACAAATCGTAAAAACAAGGTTGCTCAGTCATTCTAGACTTTGCAGCAAATTGAATTACATCTTCAAAGGCTTCAATTGTGTGAGGGTTACTTCTGGCTAAATAGAAACCACTATTGATACGACGACGATCATTGGAGTTCTCGTTGTCCGGAGCATTCGACTGAATAATAAGATCGGCATCTTGTGACTGTAAATAAGGAATGGGGTTCCGAAACCATACTATGTCACAGTCTGTCCAAATAACATCATAACCTAACTTTAAAATGCGAAGTACTACACGACTCTTCATTTTTGTCAGTTTCTTGAATGAGTCCGAACCATACGAAGCCGCAACAACGGAAGTAGCATCTTCTTTGCTATATACTGTGTTCTCAAAATATACAGGCAATCCTCTCGTGAAGGCAAAGCGATACATATCCTCATCTAGCGCTGCAACAATCAGATTACCGGGAAAGAGATTAAGCTGTCGAAGATTGCAAACAAAATTCATCAAAAATGATCGATATCCATAGTTCATTGCAACAAGAATAACAGTATTGTTAATAGCTACTCGTTCCAAGAGATGTTCCAGTAATAAGGGCAATCCAAATATCACTGGTTGGTTTGGTTTCGGAAGCACTGGAATTTCAAAACTTTCCTTCGTCTCTACTGAAATTCTGCCACATTGAATAACTCTAGAACCATTCTTCACGATGGGGTCCGTCTGTGTTGCTGGAACAAAGGAACTTTGTTCACAAGGACATACTCCTGGGCGTCGTCTTCTAAGCAAACACATACCAGATGGTTCCAAGCACAGACTTGTTTTCCAAGGAGCAAAAATGACTGTCCCAACTTGGTTGACGTATGAACCCGTGCTCAATGCAAGATATATGTTAAGAAAGAGTTCCCATTTTTGCCGCTTCCCTTCCGACCAGAATGCACCCATAGGTTTCTTTCTGGAATCTGACATCTCCTCTTGTACTGTCTCAGAAGAGGTCTGTCTGACAGCTGAAACTAGGTGATAATCGTGTTTGATATGCACCATAAGTGATGTCTCGGAAATGTCAATAACTTCACGTCTTCCGGCTTGAATAGTTTCGTGAGTGAGCCAATTATCATATTTTCCTCTTCCAAACACGAAGTGCGGCATAACTCCATCAAACAAAGGGGGACCATTGGTATTCCAAGCCCAAACATCCATCCCTCCATAAGTATGAAGTCTTCCATGAGAAAGTACGTGTTCTCTAACAAGGCGACTATACTGTGGATGTTTCTCATGAAGGCCCTCTGGTAATCCATCAATATCCCATCTTGCTCCAATTATAAACCAATGACGAAAGTTCAACATCATTTTTTTGATTGTCTGAATGAAGTCATCAAAGAGCATAATGTCACCATTAATAATCACTGTCACAGTGGCTTCTGATCTGTTGGCACGATCGACCATGCTATTAAAGAGAGGTACTCCCATGAAATTTCTATCTAATCTCTTCTCTTGTCGCAATCCAAGCTCTCTGCATATCTCTTCATATCCTATTTCATCCCCTAACAACGTAATTTCGGGTTTTGGTTTCAACCGAAGCCAAGACTTTATCGCTCGAATATTAATATCACGGTCTTGTCCAACAAAAGGCTTTGGAGCTGCGAAAATCTCAAGACTAAACTTTTCCAACTTCCACGAATAGTCCGCTTTGGAAACAGAACGTATAGTGAGAGACTCCATGTGTTTCATCTGATAAATAGAAAGAAGAAGCAAGACGGTCGACCAAAAGAATATCCAACCAGAGCTTTTCATTGCAATATTTCTTACGTTACGTGTAATATTTAGCTCATAGATATCTGCCTTTTGCCAATACTTTTTCTTCCCAAGGTGTGCAACAACGAAACAAAAGACTTCCTTGTCGTTAGGCGCCAAAAATATTTAAATGATAGACAGAAGAAGGGCTTTCAAGTCCAATTGGCTCCACGAATTGCAATTTTGTAGTATTCTGCCAAAATTTCAAAGTCGAATAACGAAGGTGCTCAAAGAAAATTATGAAGAGTCCAAGTAAGCCGCTAAAAGCTGAAACAATTAAAGGAGACACGTTTTGTTTCATATGAGGCTGTATACGAGCTCTTACCAAGTTCACTTTTATTGATATTTTATTTGACTGTGCTATTTCCCCTTCCCTCTTTTCCCTAAAAGAGTTATAAGACTGTCACAGTTTTGCTCCTGTATCGTTTAGACCTTTTTCCAATATATTGCTTTAGGTTTACGCAACTTAGATGTTCTCGTCTCTGTTATGCTTAGATTTCTGGAATGGGGGTTTTTCTTTTGAATTCTGATTGGATACAATGTTGCAGCAACTTGAATCATAAAAGAACTCATCTTCTCTGAGCGGACTTCGAGCTAGTATCTGTAGAGAAACTTGGTAAAGTTCGGCCTGACGAGAAAATTTTCCTATTTACAGTGCTTGCTGGGGGAACTATTGCACCTCATCATATGATGTCTCAGTAGTGATAGGCATTTTAATTTACTTTAAAGAGAGTCAAGGTCTCAAATTTCAAGCTTATCTAGTTTAAATTCTGTTCGGTAAATACAAAGTACCATAATTCCATTCTTTCTTTGCCGACATTGTCCAATGCTCAGCCGTGAGAATTCTGACGTAGAATATTTTACGCACACAAGTGATACAGAGTCGTTGACCAAAAAATTTTTTGAAGAGAAAAAACGTTCAGAGTTAAGGTTGAAGGATAAAGCTCTAACTGCTACCGTGGAAAATGCGATAGATAGAAGAACTCGCCTGCTACTATTCAAGTTCCTCTCAGCCGGTATTTTGGATAGCATATTTGGCTGCGTTTCTACTGGGAAAGAAGCCAATGTCTATTCCTCAGTAGCAGGTTGCAACTTTCTTGAAAACTTGGAAGTGCCTCCTAATATGCTTCCCTCAGTTTATCAGCAAGATTGCAAAGACCGTGTTCTGGCTTTGAAAGTCTTCAAAACTGTAGCACTATCCTTTCGAGATCGAGATCGATATATTGATGGGGATATTCGTTTTAAGAACGGGTACAGAAAAGGAAGCAGTAGAGATATGGTGATATTGTGGACAGAAAAAGAGTTTAGAAACCTTCGCCGTCTAGCAAAAGTTGGCTTGCCAGTGCCATTTCCGTACTATTTAAAGAAGAATGTCATTATTATGGAATTTATTGGAAGAAATCATCAAACAGCACCACTTTTGAAAGACGTTGTTCTTCCTTCCAATGAATGGCTTCAGCTATATCTTCAGGTTTGTAGAATGATGAGAATTATGTACCGCGACGCCAACCTTGTGCACGCTGACCTTTCAGAGTACAATCTTATGTACTATGAGAGTAAATTATTTGTTATTGATGTTTCTCAAGCTGTTGAAAACGATCATCCGAGTATGGGTTATTTTCTTTATCGTGACTGTAAAAACGTTTGCATTTTCTTCAAAAGTAGAGTCGAAGAGGATGCTGTTTCTGCAAAAGTTGCCACTGAGAGAAAGAATGAAGAAGGTTTGTTCAGTTTCAGTGCATCAGAAGTCTTTCGCTATGTACTTCAAGACGAAAAAAAATTAGGAACGAATTTCGAAGATTTGATTGGTATGTGAAGTGTTTTCTGAGACGCTATGCATTCAATTTGATATATTATTGTAAGGTACCTTTGAAGATATTCATTTAGAATGTGATTCCGGTTATCAAAAATTCTATGACTCAGAAACGGCTTCCCTTTCGTCGACAAGTTATAGTGAGCGCTCAAGCTCCCTCGACTATCTCTCAGAATATTCAAGTCCAGATGAAGCTTTGAGAGAGGTTGTTCCAGATGGGGTTCAAGATACTCCACAAGATTGCAAGAAAGCACAAAGAAAGCAGTGGAAGAAATATGTAAAAGAGATCGCCAGGCAAAAAAGACAAGAGAAAATCCCGAAAAAAGTCAAACGTCGAAAGGAGAAACAGAAGAAGAAGTAATTTAACGAGGAATGCTGTAAGACAAAGTACATATCAAATTTGTGTTCGAGGAGACAATAAGGCTTCAAGAGATAGGGACGACCTACGTTTCACATGTTTGTCTGCATGTTGTTGTTGAATGGAGTATTTTCTTGTTGTTTTTTGATTGTTCTTCGGTCTCATTGGTGTGTAGCCACCTTGAGGAACACAGAGTTCGGGAAACTCAATGTAGAATTCTCTGTATCCTTTCGATATAATATATAAATGAGGATATGATAAGAAGGGGTAACTGTGAAAGTGAGCATTCCTATCAAGACTTCTTAAATTCTGTGACATTTTTGGAGCACGATGAGATGAATACTCGCAGTAAAATATGATGGCGTCCGCCACAGGTTGAGTCTCCCATCCAGGAGGACAAAGAAGGTCTTCTATCTTGAAATTTGTGAATTTTAATGAACAACGATCTCTTAGGGTATTGACTCACTTGCTTAGGAATGTAGCAATTATATGCATTCCTTATATGACCACCCTCATATTCGTAAGGAAATCGACAGTCAATAATAATGATATTTAAACTGGAAGTAGTTGTATTGAGAATTGCCTGTGCAGCCTAATTTGGATGAAAGCAGCTTTAAAGGCTAACTTAGAGCACGTACCGTTCTAGCACTTATAAAGAAAATACTATCTTTGTCAGTTTGAGTGGAAGGTTTATTTCCAGCAAGGTCCGTCTGAACTTCTATAAGAGGCTTTGCTGTTGTTCTTGTCACCAATGCAAATTCTATATTTTGTATTACTGTGTTTCTGTTATCGCTACTTATCACTTCAAGTGGCAGTTTTTCAAACTGTGGTCGCAAATTTGATGCATCAGTAGAGTTTCCATGGTGTTCTGTTATACTTGATGTATGAAGGTTACCTTTTCTTTGACAACTGGCTTGTGAGTCATTATATACACCTTAAGAATGATGCCAGACTTACTCTCGTGAACTACCGCTCTGTCTTTGTAGAAACCAGTTGTTGATTAAATTCCATAGAAAGCTTCGTAAGTACATAGACAAAATACTTGTGTATTTGTTATTCATATTAACTAAAATACAAGGTAGCGTCTCAGACCAACTCTAAGACTACGGTTTCCATCAATCTAAGATACTCTTTACGAGTCCAAAATCATCGTAAATCGAATTGCAGTTAGTGATGTAGGACAAAATAAAATTTTCAAAAATGGCGGGTTCCTCAGAACCTTTATATCCAACAAAAGCTCAATGATGATCTGCTTAGAGTACCACTTCAAGAATTTCCAATCAAAATGTCTGTGTGAAGTGTTCATATTTGCAATCTCAACTATATGATACCGTGTTCATGGAAACCACAATAAACTCCATCACTAAAAATTCCGATTCCTGCATTTTGCATTTGTCCGTTTTGAAATTTGTCCTTTACAATGGCACTCAACCGCAACAAGGAGAATGTCGCAAGTTACATTCAAGAACCGCTCACAAATATAAAAGCAAGTCAAATCCACACAAAGTTCAGCGCCAGACAGATTCAGGGGAAGACAATACAGGGTTCCAATATTTCTCATAATGATGAAAATAATGACTATTCTTTGAAACAGAGATGGCCAACAAAGACCGGTAATTCAGAACAGACCAATATGCGACCTCATCAACAAAGACGAGCACTTGGAGATATAACCAACCGAGAGAAACAACAGTCTACACAAATTTATTCTCGAGAAAACCTCAAAGAAAGTACAAATAACCCCCCTGTACAAAAGAACCCTGGAGCAGATAGGGTGCCTTCAGTCAACTCTGAAGAAATTGAATATATGCCAAAGGAGAATATTCAAGATCTTGTTTCTCCTGAACTCGAAATTGATATGGACGATCTTAAGCAATCTATTCAAAAAAGAAAGACAAAACCTTTCTGTTACGTCACAAGCAACAAGAGGGAGTCATCTTTTCTGGAAACTGAAGAAATTTCTATCCAACTCGAGGAATATGAAAAACCTGATGGACAGCAAGCCTGGCCTATCCATTCGGGAGAAGATCCTCTTCCACTCTTCAATCTTCCACATATTGAAGTCAGTGACCTATCTGAACACAACATTAATTAAATAAAGTCTTCATCTTCTAATTTTTTCGCGTCCAATTCTTTGTTTATGCTCATCATTTATGATTCTTTCCTGTTGCCTTTGAACGAAGAAGCAAATCCCTCTCATAAGAGGCATCGAAAGTAACTGAAGTAAGGACACTTGAGGACCAAAACCACTGCATACATTTGCCAGCATTTTGCCTTGAAAACCGACAGATATAAGGAACTTGCGAGATATAATGTCGTTCAAAGCTTCCTTAGCAACTTGCTCAGCTGAAAAGAGGCCTGCTCCTTGGGAAAGTAACGAGGTCTCTCTAGGTTTATGTTTGTTTTCGTTATCAAAACCTGGCGTCTTTGTATCTGGAGGACACACGAGAGAAACGCCAACGCCAAAAGGAAGACACTCCTGATACAAAACTTCGGCAAGACCTCGAACGGCAAATTTGGATGGGCTGTAAGCAGAATAGCCAAATACTCCCAGAAGACCTCCAATTGATGAAGTCAAAACGATATGGCCTCTTCTTAATTCTTTCATTCTCTTAAAGGCGCTCTGCACAGGATAAACTGCTGAAAGATAGTTTGAACGCATTTGACTCTCAAACACGTTCGGATCCATTTCTTCGAAATATCCTGGTACGCAAGATCCTGCGCAGCAAATAAGTAAAAATATTGGCCCTTGTTTCTGTTCAGCTTGAGCAAGCAGACTCTCACAGCTGTTGGCTTCTGCGACATCAAAAAGGTAACCGATGGGCTCTTTTCCTTTCAGTCTTTTTGACAAGTCTCTCAAAACCTTGAGAGCTTCTTCAAGTCTTGTTGCACTCCTTCCAACGACAGTCACGTAACATCCGTGAAGTAAACAAAGCTTGGCAAATTCGAGGCCGATTCCACTGGTTCCACCAGTTATTAGAACGTGTTCACCTATGTATGTGAGTAAATTTTTTTCAATATTGATCTGTGACATACCCTTCAATAATAATTTTGACTTTCGACTCACTTTCCTAAGCAACCCAAAAAGTGCCAAACACAGCAACACAACAACTAACGGGACGTAAAAATTCATAGCCCAATTCAAGTTTTGATATGTAATGGAACGAAAGTACGAGCTACCCAGAAACGAGCTTGTAAGCGTTCAAGTTCCAGTGTACCTCCAAGAAGGAAACCCTGCGGAAGTAATCAGTTCATTGGGAGGGCTTGATAGTATTTACTCTGCATATAAGGTTTCAAAACAAGAGAGCAAGACACGTTGTTCAGCAGCGAGCACAAAGCAGGAACGTGGCAACCAACGTGAGCTTGACAGACTTAAACTCCATCTTAGAAGACACGATGCTTATTCTATTCCTTTGGTTTCCGACACACCTATCCCTTCAAGAGACCTTTTATTGAAGGTAAAGTACAAAGTTTCTCGTTCCTCTGGTAACGTCGTTCGTGGTGATTTTCTAGTGAAGAGATGGTCACATTGCAAAATTGTGGATATTGAAGCGTTGGGCATAGTAAAGACAACATTTTGTTTCACAAAGTTGGCAGATTTCCAGTTTCTGCCACCTCTCAAGGAAACAGGAGGACGTTTGTCTGGTTTGGATTCGTCTTTTGGTCTCTTTGAAAGGGATGATTTGAATGGTGCAGATGTCAATTTGACAGTTGCAGACTCTCTATACCGTTTGTCACCTTTGCAATTCTCAAGATATCACTTGTCTCGAGTTCCATATGATTATCGACAACATATCGATAGCGCATTTCAACATTTAAAATCGGATAGGGAGGAGCAGAATATTTCAGACCCGAAAGAGAATGTGGAAGATGAAGACGGAATAGATCAACAGCAGATACGGGAAAAGAGACGAGCTGTTTGGAGGTCATCAGTTGGAGTTGATCGCCGTTCAGATCCATTAAGAAACTCACTGCTTTCTCACCGAGTTTCGATAGACTTGGAACAAGTACCTCAGTTCCCAGAAAAACAAAAACTGGAAGAAATAAGAAACATTCCTAACGAAGTATTTGAGCTTCTTCGTACTGCTTTCGAATTACGTCCTATTTGGACTCGTCGAGCTATTCACCTCCATATAGGAAACGTCGATCTTTTACATATCAAGATAGGGTTACCAATATTAGCATACTCTTTTGATGGTCCTGGACCTTTCCGGACTTGCTGGATTAAGTACGGATATGATCCGCGAAGAGATCCGGAGAGTAGAAAATTGCAAGTTCTTGAATGTCGTCTGAATGGCTCTTTGGCGGATGTCATAAAGTCGTACAGAGGAGAACAAAAGTTTGCGCTGGAAGCCTCTTCAGAAAGATGTAACGTTACTTTGTGTGGTTTGCCCACTTGTCAACACTTATTTTTACAATTGTGCGATATCGAATCGAGAGAAATTCAAGAATTATTACAAACTTGTAAATCTTCAGCGTCTTTTAGTAAGGAAAAGGTTCGAATTTGTTTCTAATCTGTTTGTTGGCTTTGTTTCAATTTCCTTTTAGTACGGTTGGTTTCCAGATGGAGTGTGGAATAGCTTTAGAAGCTTTCTTCGTGACCATATTCTATATTTAATTAAGACAGAATTAGGAGACGAGGCTTTTCAGAAAGTTTTGTCTTCTGGAAAGAAAATTCGAGATAGAAGTGCTCAAAGGAAACGTTTACGTAGACTAAGAAGTCTTAAGGAACGGTTGCAGGACACAGAACAATTTCAATCTGTTTCAAGCACAGTCGATCCACAGCATATGGAAGAGGTTAATACTTTTGAAAACATGTCACAATCTGAAGAACTTTACTCCAGCACTGTAGAGCAGCCAGACCTTAAAAGTTCCTTGGAGAGGAGTCCATCCGAATTCGATGAATTCCAATTATTGGATGAGGAGGATTGAGAAATGTAACAAGTCGGTTTGATAAATGAAATTGTTAGATGTGGAATCGACTCCTGTGCTGTCTTTGGAGTTGCATAGTGATTATTTGCTGTTTGGAAATCTATTTTATTTGTTCTCATGCAGAATTCGAGAAATGAAGGAAAGTTGTGAAAGCAATGTATGAAAGAATGAAGGACCTTTTGGATTCAACTTGGCGAATAGCAAGCAAAGAAAATTATCCCGCAAACGTCTGAAGCTGTTTTACTACTTGGATGTCATATTTTTTTAGTTCTCGATACATAACTGTCCAAAAGTTGAGCGTTTTCTGTATTTATTCCATTTGATGTTTATACTCCTGCAAACAGTTAGGTTGTTCATAGCAAACTACGTCACTACCCTTCACCGTTGCCATTTTGTAATGACTATAGTTGGCTATCGGAACTGTGTGAATAGCTTTTTCTTCCTTATAAACAATTGTTTATAGTTGTAAAGTTCATATGTATTTAAAAAGAGTTCTACAAGTTGAAATCTTCGTTGTGATGGTGCTGTATATTTGTTAACAGCTACCAACAGTTCTAACTTGTTAGGTACTATGGTCAACTTTAGGGCACTAGACAAGATCAGTTCGCAGCTCCAAACTCCGTTTTGTGTCAATCCGATTTTGGGAATAAAATGCTTTGCCATTCTTTTTCTTTTTGAAAGTTGGATGAATGCGTTTATTGTGAATTGGCATTGGCTATCGGTGGCAGCCCTAACAAGTGCCTCGTTTGGATATTTATCTGCAACAACCAAATTGCTTTATATGGGAGTTAGACGCTACAAGACAGCTAAAGATATACCAAATTCAATGGTATTTTTTGAAATATTTTTGTAACTGAAGTAGTCGATGTAAAGATCCCACTCTTTAGTTTCAAAGAGGAAGCAAAATAAAAGGGGTTGTAGTCAGCGTTGGTGACGGTGATAACATAAGAATATTTCATAGACCTTTTTTATTCCGATTTTTCGGGATAGGGCGTCATCCAGTATTGAAGAAACGTTTAAGTGAAGAAACTATTAGCGTACGTCTTAGTTGTTCTTTCATTTAATCCGCTTTTCAAATACTATAGGTTCGTCTTGCTGGGGTTGATGCACCAGAATGTGCCCATTTTGGAGCGCCTGGACAGGAAGGAGGAGAGCAAGCAAAGAAGTGGCTTCGAAACTATTTGAAGGACCGTGCTGTAACGGTACAACTTCATAGTTTGGACCAGTATTCCCGAGCAGTTTGCACTGTTCATGTGAGAAAGGGAATTTTAAGGCTGAAGAAAAATGTATCATATGAGTTGGTTAAAGTTGGTCACGCAGTCGTGTATCGGGGTTTTGGAGCTGAATATAATGGAATATTGAGAAAGCTAGAGAATGCTGAAACTGAGGCTCGCAAACGAAAGAGAGGTATGTGGAGTGTTAGAAACAAGCCTGTTATATCGCCACAAGAGTACAAAAGAGCCTTGAAAGAAGGCAAAGGTCCAGAAAGTTTAACAGAGAAAGACTTCTTTTCTCGAAAACCTGAAAGTTTATTTTCTTTTCTCTTCGGTTCAGACAAGTCTTAGTTTTTTGAAACGTTGATTAGTTTGCCAATGATATTATATAGTAATGAAGTCGGCTTCTGTTGTAGAGATATTGAAACCACTTTTTAACCTTTCCAACTAAACGAATTCGTTTAAACTTACTTCAATAAAGTTAAACTTTTTCAAGTTGATAAGTCAGTCGAATATTGGAAGATCTTATTACATTTGTATTGCTACTCCCATGCTTTGGGGCTCAAGAGGATTTCTATCGGCAGCATATTTCATTAGTAGTTTTGGCTGAATAGTGGCTGAATGTTGTGTATAAAGCAAGCCGAAGTATTGCCGTTCCAGTCTGAAGTTTTTGCTCCTTTTAAGCTTATTTTATCTTTAGATAACCAAGTGGTTTGAACCTTGCTGCTTTTTCAAAAGCTAGTTTCACTTAACTTTTGTGGTAGGACGGTTTGCTTACTGATTTGGTTGTTCGATATGTTAGAGATTGTTCTCAACGAGCCGATTCGAGAGAAGTTTTTGTGAAGAAACGGATACTTATGAATAAAGGTCCTCAGGAAATTGTGTGTGAAAATATTTCGTTGTGTTTCTTGAAGGAATTCCGTGATTGGGAATATTGTAACGTCGGTTATTTGGAAGTCATGCTCTTATCGGAAGAGGAAAAGAAAGTGCTGATTTCTTTGAACCTTGTCATACAAATATTTACAGACAGGCAATATTCAGGAGCCCTCAAACAAGTATATTCCTATTTTTCTACTTTTGAAGAAGTACATACTACTGAGCTACTCCGTAGTTGAGCAATTTCCTTGTCCTTGAAGACCTATCCACAAATTATGGCCTTGAAAGTATTTCATTCTATACTCGCTGTAAGAATGGAGAGTTCTTTCCTCGAATTATGATTACAGGAAGTTCGAGCTCTATTTTACTTCTTTTGTCGTCAAGAATCACTTCGATCTGAACAAAATTGGTGAATTGAATGGATCTACCTTCTACAGTTGGTCCAAGAGAAACAGCAAGTGGCAGCATTGACTGTATCGGTCCCAACATGGTATTGTTTTTACGCAAAGCAATGCAGTTGAGGTTTACGTATAATGCAGGACCATTTGCGATAGTTTCAATACTGTGACCATTCTCACATACGATTTTCCTTCGTTGAATTTGTCTGAGAATGAGACTAGAAACCTTCTTCATGCTCTTATTTACCAATGCAAGAGTTACTGGTATTAAAGTGCCGAGTGTTTCTTCGTACAGTACTGTCGGGATTCCTGTAAAGAGTGTTTAGAATATCTTATGTTGTCCCAATTGTGTCTTACCCGCTTTAAGTATTACTTCTTGTGCTATATTTTTAGAAAACCACTTCTTTTTCGTCTTTGGAATCAAGCTAGCCTTTTGATAGTATGGCTTGATAAATACACTATTCTTGTAAAGGATTTGGCCATCATTAGCTACAAGTAGCTTGTAACTCTTTTCTCTTATAGCATTCTTTTCACCATCCGACTTTGAAGAGTCATTAAGTTCCACTCTCAAACAAAGGTCGTATTCTATACAAATATCACCTCCATCAGCACGTACTGTAGGAGGTAATCCATTAGGAATTTGAAACTCAAATGGAAGCAACAGTACTCCTTGCACTTGATTGATTTCCTCATCAACTTGTGCGCGTCTTCGAACGATATTGTTATCGGTCTTTCTCTTGGACTCTCTTTGCTTTACGTAATCCTTTATATCCCACAATATCAACTCATTCTGTAAAATACAAAAAGAAGTAGACTGGACATGCTGTTGGATGAGCTGCTTCGAGAATTGCGAATGACAACTTTTGTCTTTGTAATGATTTTCCTTTTCAAGTTCTTCTTTTGGAATATCACAAAAAGATTTCAAGTTTTCATAACCTCTTAATTGCAGAATTATGTGCTTCAGAGGAGTTCTTTCCGCAAATCTTATAATAGCATTTCCTTTTAAGTTTTCTCCTGGACAGAGAATATCACGCCTAGACTCCTTCGAAGATGTCAATAGAATATCAAGTTCCATGGTCAATTATTTGATGAACAATCAATGCCAAAAACGTTTGACAAGGATTCCACTCATATAAAACGAAAGGATTAGGAACAACATGTCATTTGAATCGTAGGATGACCTTTGGCCAACGCAATAGGGCAAAGTTGTCATTTGTGGTGGAATTGTAATATGACACTCAGAAAACACACCCTAGCAACGCTTCCCTCCAGTTCCTCCAGTTAACTTGGATCATATCATTGAAGTGGGAGTTGAACCAACAAAGAATATTATTCTTCAAGTATAAAAACTATTTCCCTTGAATATTTGGACAGCTGTCCTTGGAGTTTGTGAAAGAGATAAGGGCAAAATTGCATTTACTTTTCTATATTAGACACGACATCACTCCTCGTACTACTACTATATCAATTTCCTGATAAGCACGTAATTTAGACGAATGATAGCAATTAATACGCACTCTTTCAAGCAACCTGTGCACGCAAGACATCCTAGCAACACGTATACTTTATTCAGAATTACCTTATATATTATCGTCATAGTAAAGTTATCAGGAGCGACCAGGCTTCCTCCTAGAGATTTCGTAATGAATACAAAGGCAGATATAGAACTTGCAATGTGGAAAGCCAACTCCATAGAGGCAACTAAACCACTATATAAGATTTCAAACAATATTGGTCAGCGACTTACTTCAAATGGCTACGTGTTCAATCATACGTTCTGTACATGCACCAGAGTATTTTCTGATTCTTGCCTAACTGCAGTTATGACGGTTGCGGATGGAGAAGCTGTCGCCGAAGAAAGTTTCTCCAGTATGCTCTGTGTTAGAAGCCCTTGTATCAAATATACGTGTGATCTGACTGGACCTTTCTTATGCAGAAGGAAAGCCACGCATATTTTTGAGTATGATGTTGCAAATACACCCGGAAACAAGCCTGCCCCTTGTAAAAAGATGTTGGCAGAGAGAGAGTTTTATTATTCAGACGTTTAACAAGAAAAATCTTCCAAGTCTTTACAAACCCGTACCTGATTGGAAGACCTGTATGGTTTTCAAAAGTTGCTGACTTCAGCTTCCTAAGTATACAAATATGAACCAATCATTTACTTTTAAGAACTTAAAAATCATAATTCTCAATCATTTCTTTGAATTGTTTGGATAGTTTGTCTATTAAACAGTGATAAATAACCATCGTTCCTCTTCTAGGTTCGAAGAAACTCGAGTTTAGTGGAACCATCTGCAAAGCGCATGAATATTCCCTACAAACTTTTCAAGTTGTCCTTGAAGGTTTTGCGCCCCCCAAGACTTCGTCTGCGTTTGAGCTTACCTTCGGTTCCTTCCTGGCTGATTTTTGTTTTTATTCTTGTTTCCTACATCTTAGTCATATCTGGGATTATATATGATGTAATAGTCGGTCCACCAGCCATGGGGACCACCATAGATCCACTGACTCAAACATTGAAGCCCGTAGCTTTTGCACAGGGTAGAATCAACGCGCAGTACGTCATCGAAGGTCTTTCGGTTGGTTTCTTTTATGCTTTGGGAACAGCGGGAATCATTCTGTTGGACGTTTCCTCAAAATCAGCCTTGTTGAAAGACTACAAGGTTTCTTGTTGGATTCTGGCTATTCTCTTGTTACTGGGTTTTTATCGAATGATGATCGTTTTTGTTCGAATCAAGTTGCCAGGTATATGTTGAAGTTTTATATAGTGTACCTTTGATATAGTTGTCTGTGTAGGATATCTTGAGTTTTATTATCAATGAAGTTACAGTTTACAATATAGCAGTTTTTCATGTTTACATACGTTGGCTGATTTTGGCATTACATAATGACAACTTGCAGTTTTGTTGTTTCATGTGCCTCTAATACCTTGAGGTTTTGTAAAAGTTTTCAACACAAAAATCTTTATACTTCTCCTGCACTGCTACATTGTTGGAGCAAGGCGCACTTGGAGCTTTTCCGTTCCTTGCTTGTTGTCAAACCAAGTGCACGTCAACGGTACCGCCCCTCCCGTACCTTGTCTTCGTCTAGCACAATCTTCAGCGGAGAAAGAAATTGTAAGTGTTGTACCACCACAGAAGAAGAACACAAAGTGCAAGAACCCCCGTTCTCTGGTAAAAGTGAAAGCTTCAACGATTGGACCACGAGAGATTCAGCAAAGGTTCGGATCAAAACAATATTAGAGCAAGGCGAAAAATTGGTAGACAAGAATGTAACTATTCAGGGTTGGATTCGTTCCATTCGTGATCAAAAGAAGTTTGCTTTTTTAGTAGTAAACGATGGTTCGTGCTTGAGTGGGCTCCAGATCTTTGTCGAGAGCACGTTGCAGTCATATGAGGAAGTAAAATCACTGTTAACAGGCAGTTCTGTTTCTGTTAGTGGAAAGCTAGTTCACAGGTGAGTATTAACGTTAATATTTTCATAACATTTATTTTACATATGACGCTAGTATCGGTAAAGGACAGTTTTACGAGTTACAAGCGGAAGAAGTTCGTATACTTGGAGATTGTGATGCATCCTATCCGCTCCAGAAGAAGCGTCATTCTTTTGAATACTTAAGGAGAATAGCTCATCTGAGACCTCGTACAAATACGTAAGATGTGTATTACTGTTTGTGGTCTTTTCTTCACTTTATTGTGTCAGTTTTGGAGCAGTAATGAGAGTCAGGTCTATGTTAGCCTTTGCAACACATTGTTTTTTTCAAGAAAATGGTTTTGTTTATATTCATTCTCCTATCATTACTTCTTCAGATTGTGAAGGCGCTGGTGAAATGTTCCGAGTTCTTACTGAACCAGGAAAGAGTTTAAACGACGCGCGACGTGAAGATGCAAAGAATTTCTTTGGCATTCCTACATTTTTAACTGTTTCGGGACAATTGTCTGCTGAAGCTTATTCATGTGCTTTAAGGGACGTTTATACGTTTGGTCCGGCGTTTCGAGCCGAATATAGCAATACAACGAAGCATTTATCCGAATTTTGGATGGTTGAACCCGAAATGGCTTTTGCAAATTTACAAGATGATATGAACAATGCCGAATCTTATGTGAAATTCGTCATTCAGTATGTTCTTGAAAAGTGTAAAGAAGACATCGATTTTTTCGATCGTTTCATACAAAATGGTTTAAAGTCCAGATTGCACAAATATATAGAAAAACCTTTCGCCAGAATCTCATATTCGGAAGCAGTTGAAATCCTCCAGAATAGTGGAAATCCCTTTCAGTTTCCAGTGAGTTGGGGTGAAGATCTGGCTACAGAGCATGAGCGTTATTTAGCGGAAGAATATTTTGATCATCCGGTGTTCGTTTACAACTATCCAGCTGCAATAAAAGCATTTTACATGAAAAATAATGACCATGATTCTGGTAAGACTGTTGCTGCTATGGATCTTTTGGTACCAAGAATAGGAGAACTTATTGGTGGTAGTGAGCGAGAGGATAGGTTAGATGTATTGGAGCAGAAAATGCATCAACTCGGATTAAAGGCAGAGAACTACTGGTGGTATTTGGATTTACGACGTTTTGGAAGCGTCCCACATGCTGGATATGGTCTGGGTTTTGAGCGACTAGTCTTATTTGTTACTGGTATGGAAAACATTCGTGATGTTATTCCATTTCCGAGATTTCCTGGAAGTGCGGAATTTTAGATAAACGTTTTCTATTTTGATTTCTGCGTGTCATATGCTCCATTTTCGCGAATTGAGGATGAGCCTTTATATGGAACGGAAGCTATTTTCATGCTCTTCAATGTGCCACAATTGAACTGAACCTATACAGCATTACTATAGCTTTTTTGTGATAGTTCAAGTAGAACTTTACAACACACCATGTCTTCATGGTCAGAGTTTGACGAAGCTGATAAATACCTGACCGTTGTACCCTATTTGATTTCGGTTTCAATGTTGGAAAGAAGAACTTTTGACTCTGAAAGAATTCGACAAGTTGTGTGATAGGTAAAGAAAGCAGCTATCCACTGCTTAAATGGAACCGGGTTGTCTTCCTTTATTTCGACCCTCCTGTCGTCCGAGGCGGGTTTGAGAGGGAGCCCGCCAGTGCAAATTTCCAAACTTGAAATTTGAATTCAAGTTACTTCTCAGAATTAGTCAATTGGTTTCAGAAAAACGCGTTGAGGGACTAGTGGGTGCTATATTTCATAATGATACATAAAAGACCTTGCTACTGGGACTTGAAAGATATTCTATGCAGTTCAGAAGTAAGGTTTAGCTTCTCTTTTTACAACTTGGTTGCTAAGTTTTATTCAAATAGAAAATAATATCAGTGTTACAAACAGATTTGGAAAACTTAGGATATCTGAGCGAACTTACCAAGACAGAGTATCCAGAAGATATTCAGTGGGAAAGATTCAGAAAACTAGCAACTTCTGAAAAGAAGAAATTACAGAATCAAGGCGATGAAGAAGTGAACAGCTTGCATTCTGCTACGAATAGTATATCTGAAGCAGAGTATCATGAAGAAATAAGCTCCGAGAACTACCCAACAGAGAATGATGAAGAAACAGATAATGAAAAGCTACCTAGTGGGACACGAGTCGAGTTACCATTTTGGATGGCGGAAACATTGGCTGTCCGAAATTTTGTGATTTTACAGGCTCCACATTCATATGGATCTCGAACTAGAAAGGATATTGTTGCAGACGCTACGTTTGTGAACTTCAAGTCCAAAGCTGCCTTCTATTATCGATATGGAAATCAACTCGCACATTGTTTGGGAGATCAGGATCTGAGAGAACGCTTACTTTATGCCTTTTCTAGTCGCTTCAGGAAAGTTTTACAAGTTTCTCATAGTATTATGACTATTCAAAACCAACAATGTACAAATGGTGAATCTCAACAGTTAGGATTGACTTCAGTACCTAGCCATTTGTCCGAAATCATTCAAAAATTTGACGAATCTGAAAGACAGCTGTTGAACTTTGCAATAGAGAGCAGCGTACGACTACGTGAGTGGAGAACGAGAAGATTAGGAAAACACGACAAAGGACTCAAGAATGTCTCAAAACGATTCAGAGATATTGAGACCAGTAACTTGAAATCATCTGAAAAGCTTGCTAAAATCCAACAAAGAGGATCCGCACTTACAGAATTATCACTTAACCAACAGAATATAAGATTCAGTGAAGTAACTGGACTGACTTTTTGAAATAGTAAAAAATGACAAGACTTCAACGACAACTTAGATGTTTATAATTTTCTGAAATGCTGGAAGTTCTCCAATGTTTTGGGAATTAATAAAACTTTGTCTGGAGCAAGTTTTAAAGTGATATCACAAATGTCTTTACAAGGTGAACCACAATATAATGAGGGATACACACCATTCTCCAGCAGATATACTTAATTACAGACAACGAGAACTAGTTTAGCCAAACAAAATGTTACTTTATAAAATAATACTTTTCATCAGGATAATAGAACAAGGCACTAAGGAGATGTTAAAGCGAAACTCCTATTTAGACAGCCGCCTAATATCAAAAGTTAGTCACATTAAATACAGAGTCATCTCTGGCTCAAAAACAATACTCAGATCTCATAATCCATTTCACCCTCATTGACTCGTCTCCAATAGAAGGAACGAATCTGGGTATAAGATAAAATATCCTCCTTGTACTGGATAATTTTAAGGTATAAATCATACTTACCAGTGACTAAAAATGGAAAGGCTACAAGTAATAAGTTTGATTACTCTTTGGCCTCCTTTCGTCTCCTATTTATTGAAAAAGAATATAGAAATGAACCAAGAAACGTCATAAGGGCTCCAATCCAATAGCTTCTAGTCAAACGATGATTGAAAACATAATAACTCAGTAACAAGCTTAGTAACTTCCTCACACTAAGTGCCATTTGTAGAGCAACTGCATTAATTTGAGCACTCATAGCAAAAACTGAGCGTATGCAAAATACTTGTGTTAGGACGTTTAATAAAAGAATGGTCAAGTGTTGGCTTCTTTCTTGCCGCTGTGACAGCAGCCAACCTCTCGTTAAGGAAAAAAGTTGCTTCGCTTGAAGTACATAGCCCGTTAACGAGAACAACTGCATATAGAACAACAGTTCCTCTGAGGCTTCTGCTTTGTCCTCTTGGCGGTTCAAAACTTCTTCCTGAACTATACTCAGCAGAGGACTCAGAAAAGAACCCAATAAAATACAAAAAAGACCTTTCACCGAATCAAGTTTTCTCAGATTCAGGGTTTCCTGAACAGAATTAGCGCCTGCTGCCCACGAAACTAAAAATAGGCCACAGGAAGTAAAAAGGACAAAAAGAGTTTCCCAAAAGTAAACAGGCTTTCTTTGAAAAACTAGAGAGCACAAGAAAGTTGTTAAAAGCGAGGAAGAACGGAAAACTATATAAAGCGGTACAGAAATTCCGTACTGAAGACTCCACGTATTCAAAGACTACAACAGCCTTTCAAAAAAAGGAAAAACTTTATAAAGAAAAGACTTACACTACTCATATAATATAAAAACGAACAAAATAGTGTTGCAGCTAGCGGGATCTTCCTCCTCCATCTAAAGCGCTTGCGAAGGGACAACAATACTACAGTCGAGACTTGTAAGAAAGTAATCCAGTCTCCCAAACCAGAGTCTTTGCTTCAAGTTCTTAGTAAAACGAATCAAGTGAAAAAAATTGTTACATACTTCAACAAAATTTCCAAAGTCAGCATATTTGTTGAGCAACTTGTCCATAGACCAACAAGCAAAAAAGAAAGCTTCAACATAGCTCATCCAATTAAACTCTAGGTTCCCTTTAGAGGCAAAATATCTCCGCGTTTTGGAGGTCTTCGCTCCAGTTTCCTTTTTTGACTCTTTGAAGGAGCAGGAAGACTAAATATCCAATCTGGCAATCGCGAACCACACGCGGCAATAAAATTGGCAATGGGTCGTATCATTGCCTTGTCTTCTTCACCAAAGAAACTGATAGCAACTCCTCTCCTTCCGGCGCGTCCAGTCCTCCCAATGCGGTGAATATATGTACTTAAGGAAGTTGGAAAGTCATAGTTGATCACTGTCTGTATGCACCGAAAATCCATTCCACGACATAACAAGTCACTGGTAACGAGAACTGTAACGAAACCTCTTTTGAAGTCTTCTACTGCACGACTTCGGTGTTCTTGAGAACAATCCGAGTGAATAAAGGCAGTAGAAATCTTCATTCTAGAAAGTAATCGAAATAAGTCTTCGACTCTCTTCTTGTTCTGCACAAATATTAAGACTGGAGCAGCAACGCCGTTAATAAAGAGTTCCTCCAAGGCAAACCGTTTACCAGATTCGTTGCCTGTGAACTTTAACTGTTGATCTATTGTATCAATACAACTGAAGGAACCGTTCCCACTCCCTCTTCCGACAATTACACGAACAGGATCGTCAATAAAACTTCGCGACATGGTCTCGATAGCGTCAGGCAAAGTTGCAGAGAAGAGATGTTTGCCAACCAAGGCTGAAGGGCAATATGAAAGAATCTCGTCAATCTTCTTCAAGTCAGTAGCTTTTATAGGGAAAAAAAGTATAGTACCTGTTCCAGAAACTGCACCTCAAACATTTTATCAGCCTCATCAAATACAATATCCGATAAGCCAGAAAGATCTACCTTGCCTTCCCTTAGCTCATTTAAAAACGAATAGGGCGTTGCAACTATAATATCAAAAGTTAGTTGGTTACTGCTGGTTGCTCTTGTGCTCATCAAACTGCAGCTCTGAATACTTAAATTATGTGCAACGTTTCTAACCACGCGTTCCGTTTGAAGGACCATTTCTTTTGTTGGTTCCAAAATAACTGCTTGCGGCAACCTCTTTTCTCCAAAATCACGACTCTTTAGCAGCTTGGATATTATAGGAATGACAAAAGCGAGAGTCTTGCCGCTTCCTGTTGCAGAACACGCTAATACTTGCATTTCGCTGAGCATACAAGGAATAACCTGGCGTTGTATAGGTGTAGGCTGGTGATAACCTAAAGAATCCAAACGCTTCAACAGCTGCTCGGAAACGCCAAATATTGTATGTAGCTCGTGAAACTGAAGCAACAAACTAGGCGAACGCAGTTCCTTGTTCAGACGTATATGGAGGTGTTTCCGCATATATCTTTCTAAGTTGGCCCTAGAGTTTGAGTCTGATTCGAAGCGAGCAATATCTGACGGGAAATGCGACTCTCCTCCTAGTGCGCCTTTCAACCATAGAGAGAAAAAAAGAAAGAAATCATTTACCCATGTCTGAGTCTGGTTGCTTTCTCTTGAGATTTTCTGTCTTATTGCTTACTCTACCATCTTTTTTCCCAATAGAAGTACACGAAGTGCCTGCAAACAAAGTCCGCATTATTTGGTCCATGATATCAGCGTTCCGCTCCAAACAACGCGACGATTACAGCTTTGGGGGGAAGATCGTTCAGCTTTGAATCATTTGAAACCGAAAAGGAAAACAAAGTATACCTTTGACAAGTATCAGGTGTAAATGATAGGTTTATTTCAAGTTCTTAGAATTGAAAGAGTACAATATTCTGTAGTCATAGAGAAAATGGCTACATGAAGATAGAAGATAGTTTAAAGGCTTGAGAAGAACTGCATTTCAGAAATTAGCATTTATGAAAACAGATAGGAAACGTGAGCAACTAACTATCACCGCTAGTTTCCATCAAGGTAAATTTCAATCTATTGCAAACTAAAGTTGACGAAAGTAGTTGTACGAACTGCTGCTAATCGTTGGAAGATCTTTGTTATAAATGGGATGGGCACGAGAAGACTGTAAACAAATGGCATCGGAAGCTGACTAATGACTTGAGTCCGTGGTTTGAATATCAAAAGATTGATTCACCAAACTTTTCATGTTCTTGAATCAAACTTATCACAAGCTGATAGCGTGAGACCAATGCAAAGTAAAAGTCGTAGCAAACTTTGTACAAAATTCTGTCGCATTAAATAACGTTGTATTATAGGAAATTAGAATCCACAGAATGAGAATACAGCAAATTTCGTAGGGGGAGAAAAGTTGTTAGAATATACAATTTTCTTCTTCAGATATGAAGTGAAAATTGGGCAAATATATATTCTGTTCCCTTTCTAAGAGAGGATTCTAAAGGTTTTCCCTTTCATCTTCGACTTCTTTGTTTCTCTCATTGTGTTACGCGGAATAGTGAATTTTTTCGACACTCTTTCGTGTAAACAAACAAAATTTTAACATTTATTCACGATGAATCACAAGTCCATCGATCTGCGACTTTGCGCTTTAAGTGGTACAGCCTCTAATAGTAGTAGCTGCTGCTAGAAGGAGCTTCACCATAATAGGAAATTTCGGAAGGCGAAACTTCCTCAGAAACTTCCTGACATTCTTCTCCATATTCCACACAATATGATTCTTGCACATACTGGCACTGTTGTTGACTCTCTTGCTTATACTTTTCGCATTTGTATGTCTCCTAAAAGTCACTGATTAAGATAACTTCGTTGCCTGTAAGGGAAAGCTTACCTGTTGGCTTTGGTACTGACCACATTGGTACGTGGTAGAAACTTTTTCGTAGGTTTGACAAGGATAGCTATACGACTGCTTCTTTTGCTGAGAGCATTGATATGATTCGTACGTCTGAACAGGGACCCAGCAGTATGATGTACATTCTTCCTGATACCATCTACGAGGTTCGGCAGCACGATAGTAGTAACTAGAAGAGGAACTGCCATAATATGATGTATACTGGGCAGAAACAGTCTCTTGGACGTATTGTTCAGTGGAGACTGCAGATGTCTGTTGAGCATAGGCACAGCAAGTTTGTGTGTAAGTTGTCACTGACTTGCTGCATTGTGACGGAACACTGGTAGACGTGTAGGTACTGCAATAGGTCCAGGTAGGCGACTGCGTATAAGTGCTGCACTGGCTTGGAACAAAGGTCTGCACAGTTTTCTGGCACTGAGTCCAATATGGCACCTAAACTTCACGTGAGTCTTCACAGGATCAAACTCTAAAAGATACTACCTGTGTAGTCACTGAGGTGCAAACAGGGCTTTGAGTGTAACCATACTGCTTGCATACTTTTTGGCACTGTTGTTGTTCTTGCTGCTCGACTTCCTGAGTGGCTTGCACTTGTTGAGTTGCCTGCTCATACTCGGAGCTAGAATAGGACCAACGTTGCTCAGATGCAACTGCGACAGCAATGACAAGGGAGAGAAACACACATCCCAACACAGTTTTGGACATCATTCTAAAACTACCACAAGTAAAAATGTTGGAAAATGCATGCTATTTAAAGACTACAGTGTCGTTTCTAGAATCGGCAGAAAGAATACCATCTTTTCTATGATTGGCCGTGAGAAATCGTTTCTGCAGTGAAACGACAGAAGCCGACATCATTTGGTGGTCCATTTCCCTCTAGAGAATTTTAACCACATCCATTGATTAATAAATGGGCGTGTACAATGGACAATGTGTTGCTTGATCTGTCAAGCGATACAAACAAAAATAGCAATTGAACAAGATGCTGCCATTTGGCATTAAGAAATCGCTAATTACAATCACACCGTCCTACCATTACTAACCCTCAAAATTTTTATTGGGTTTGTGATGAAACGAACTTTGCGTCTCACGTTAAACTTGTACTTCTTTTTAATAGTAATATCCACTAGTGGAATCCGAGCTGTAATAATTTTGGGCTGAGGAATAATACGGAGTTTCTGAGGGATACTCTGAGTTCCACCCCGAACACTGTTCTTCGTACTTCAGACAAACCTGACACGGCTCGTAAGTCCAAGTGGGTACCTGTACCTTCCGATATTTTTCGCAGGGTTTTTGTTCCTAGGATTAAACCTTAATAAAACGGTTTTATCATTATCTTGGTGTATCTTACCGTTTCCGATTGATATGTTCCGCAACTGAAAGTTTCGGTAACATTTTTATATTTTTCACAAGCAACGTCGCAAGTAACATTTTTAGTCTCCCAACAACTGTACGTCTGCGTTGTAGGAATAGGAGTCCAGCAGTACTCTGCACAACTACTCTCGCCATAATAATATGACCAACCCTGTGTTTGTGCAGCGCGATAGTAATAGTCGTCCGACGACGAACTGTAGTAGCTTGAAGTACTTACGGCGTACGCTGTTTCTTGAACATAGGAAGTTTCTTGAACATACTGGCAACAATATTGACTATATGTTGTGGTTGCGAAAGTACATTGAGAAGGCACGCTTGTGGGAGAGACAGTTGTACAATAGGTCCAGTATGGCACCTGCGACTGGGTTGTACATGTTTTTGGAACATAAGTCCATGTAGTTGTTGTACAGTATGTCCAATATGGAGACTGCCAAAAGGTTGGATTAAGTTGTCACACATATACTGTAAGTACTGTACTCACCTCAGTAACAACAGTGGTCCAAACTGGGCTTTGTGTAACACCGTACTTCACACAAACGTTGGAGCAACTAACAGAATTTCCGACGGAACTCCATCCTTGAGAAGAAGAAGAAGAAGATGATGATGATGATGCAGATGAAGATGATGATGAAGATGATGATGATGATGTGGAGGAGCCATAACCTTCAACTGAAGAAGCACTGGAGGAACCTGATGCGGAGGACTCTCCTCCTGCTGCAGCATAGCTGGATGAACTCGAACTGGTTTCATCCCATCGTTTTGTTTCGTACAGCTCGATCTCTGAAGCTACAGTTAACGAGACGATAGCTAAGACAAATAGCAATGAAAGCAGGATTGTACTCTTCATTTCTGTTTACAAAATACTAGTGAGAAGCTAGTAATAACTCCGATGTGTCTTTAGTAAAGTTATCGCTCAGCTTTTAAAGCCTTCGATTCCTTCTAGACTTTTAAAGAAAGCGACGATTTGCGTCATTTTGAACTTTTATCGTGTCGTTTGATTACTGAATCAGAGCATTTACCAGGCTATTTCTGTTAGGCAGGCACAGGACCGATCGAAAGGTCACAATACTTTCTAAAAATAGAACAACACAGTTGTTGAGGGCGGCGGGTGGTTCCCATTGCCTATTGGACACACGTGTCTTCTTGAATCAATTTATTCCAACTGTTTAAATGCTGTTCTTTCTTTTTCCTTTTTTTGGTAACTCATTAGCATTTCTTTGCAAAGTTGACTATCTCAAAATTAGTTCTACATGAATAGCCTGCGAATATTCGACACCTTTCGCGCAACTCAGGGTCTGCAACAGTCAATAGTTCTAAATTTCTGGAAACCACCCACGGCTTTTCTAACTTTGTAGGATAAACAAGATAGTTTGAAACACATAATGTTTTTCCTTCTGTTATGTGGACGAAACTATTAATATGTATTATCGGAAAAGAGCTGACAATCTGCCAGGGTATAGAAGTTTCTCAAACCACTTGCACATTCCATAAGCTAACTGTATATCTGCTCTTCAACTATTTACTACATAAAGTTCCTTCGTTCCATTATTTATTTTTCCTCGTCCTGTAAGAATCATCAGTTATAAGATTTGACGCAAGCGTTCCCATTCTATAGCAGTACCTGTAGTATTAGAAAAGCACCACGTTGGAATAAACAACGAGTCTTTATTTACATGGAAACTTGAAAAAGATTTTGATTCCACATAGAATGCGTCAAAGATCTTTTCTAGAGGAAAACTACACGTATTCTTTGAATATGACGACACTGCGACTGACAAGATTTTTACGAATCGATCCATAGGGAAGAAGAAAGTCGCCGCTTCTAATATAACGCTATAAAGCCTTTCTTATAAGCGAAGATACACTCTGCTCGCTCAGCAAAAGTTCATTCTCACGGGCGACTGCTGCTCGTACTGCATACCTAAGAGTGTCTCTCTCACTGCTAGAACATTAACAAATTCAGACCGAGAGCAATTCTTGACACAGGAATTGGCATTTTTTGCTAGTTCGAGAGGAAAAGGGGAATACTGTACTTCCTTAATATGGAAAAGATATTGCAGGTTGCTCCCAAAGAGCTTTCTTTTCACCTGGAACTGAATAAGCCCCTTGTACAAACTCTGAAACTGAAGAACATCTCCGAAGAAACGCTTTCCTTTAAAGTTAAGACGACGCAACCTAAAAGATATTTCGTTAAGCCGAATGCAGCAATAATTGGAGCTGGAAAGGAGATTCAAGTTTCTATTGTTCTACAGCCGTTACAGGAGTTACCTCCAGATACAAACAGTTGCCGTGACAAGTTTTTATTGCAGGTGATCAAAGTAGACAAGGGGGTAGAGTCAGATGTTCAGAGTTTGTGGAAAAATGTGTCTCCGGAATCCTTATACCAGCAAAAGTTTCGCGTAAGCTTTGTGGCAGGGGATAGTCCTTCTCAAGACGACTTGAAGACCAAGAAAAGTGACACGAGCATAGCTTCGACCAGTTCAAACCCTGAAGACAACTTCGAAAGCCTGAAAGCCGAAAACATAGGAAATTTAAGAGAGCTTAGCAGTAACGCAACACATATGGAGAAGGACTCAAAAGGGGTTACAGATGCTTTTCCTGGCAACGAAGTGCAAAACAAGTTGGCGGAAACTGGAACAATTTCGAAGTAATTACTCTCACTCTTTTTCTAGTGGTTACACAAATAACGTTTCGTATTAGGACAACGTCTCCTGTATCAGGAAGTGTTGATGAATTGAACATAGAAGAAAGGTACCAGTTGGCCTTAGATCGTATTGGTAACCTTTTGAAAGAAAAGCAAACTTACGAGGCAGAGTTGGCCAAACTTCGTTCTTCACTGGACGAACAAATGAACAAAGACTCAGAACCGACCTTTCGTATGTATTTCATATTCCTTACATTTTGTTTAAAACTGATGTTTATAACACAGAGCGGAAAAATTCTAAGAACAAGTTGTCTCTTTCTTATTTGCAGATATTCATTCTCTTGGTGGTCAGTTTTCTAGTAGGAAAAATATTTTGATGAACTACTGCTTTATTATTCTCAAAAATCTCCAAATATCTTTCCTATAATTATTATGAATAGTTTGTATGAGCTCCAAATACTTTTCAAGATAGAAGCTTGAATTCTGCTGACAACATCGCTTTCGTTTTATATTACAACCGATGACTTGTTTTGGTTCCCAGTTACTCAAGTCCACTTTATCTGCGAATATGATTCAACCTGATACGAAAGTCTCTTGTTTTTCACCTTCTACAGGAACGTAAGTTGGTGAAGGAGGTACCTTTTCTGGTTCAAAAGGCTTCTTTTTAGCGTCTCGCACTCTTACCCAGCTTCCTCGATGTCCAGGAACTGCACCATGTAAATATAAGAGGTTTCTCTCAGCATCTACACGAAGAACTTCCAAGCTTTGTATCGTAACTCTCTTTCTTCCCATCTTTCCCGCCATCTTTTTACCTTTTGGAGTCTCTTGAGGTCTGGACCTTCCACCTCCTACTGAGCCTATTTTTCGATGGGCTTTACTAACACCGTGAGACGCATTTTGACCAGCAAAGCCCCATCTCCTCATAGCTCCTTGAGTACCCTTTCCTTTAGAGGTTCCTATGACATCTACGTATTGTCCAACAACAAAATGATTAGCCGAAAGCTCAGTTCCTATTGGAACTATTGCGTCCTCCGTCACACGAAATTCAGCCAGTTTCTTCTTAGGCTCTACTCCATTATATGCAAAATGCATCCTCAGGAACTTACGCATTTGATATGGACGTTCAAGCCCTGCTCCCACTTGAAGACCTACTCTTCCCTTGCTGTCCTTTACAGGATTTATATAAACTACTTGACATCTGTCAATAACAACTACTGTACACGGGTGCATGATCCCTTTTTCATCCCAGTATTGCATCATTCCTGCCTTCCTAGCCAATACTCCCGTTCGAACTGTCGAACGGAAGCACGCCGAGATCTTGGGGTCAGCAGCAAGTTCTCCAGGTACTAGCTTTCCATATGCTAGTTCCTTAATCCTTAATAGATCTGCAACTTCTTTTGGTCTATTTATATTGAAACTGTGCAAGTTTTGCTTGAAGAGACTTGTTGGCGCGACTAAGACCCTACCATAACGAGAAAACGAAAGTCTTAAAAGAGTCTGTAGTGTTGTGAAATTGAATTTCCCAGCTAACATCGTCCAAACCCAAGTAAACCGAGGTAAAAAATTCGTCGCAAAGGAATACAAATAGAAGACTCAAAGTTGCCTTTCTACGGAATCACCGCACATGTAACATATATATTCCGCCCGGTAAATTCTACGAAGCCACGAGTTTGCAATCAAATCTATGGAAAGGCATCGGTTTCCTTTTCATGGACCCTTCAATAGTCTCTCAGCTAGTTTAGAATTTGTAAAAAGTTGTGTGTAAACCTATACCAAACTCATATAAGCGGTGGTTCAACGACTCCTTCAATAAATTTGAGCCTAATTTTTTATGAAAAGCAACATTTTCTATTGGGCATTCGTAGCACAAAGCTATTCGTTTCTAAAGCTACAAAAATGTTACATACATCTTAGAACAATACGTCGAAAGTAATTTTTTATTCCAAAAAATTTGTAACATCTAAAAAATCGAATTTAACTATCGGCTAGACTCACAACAGCAGGGTAAAAGAATTGCGACGTTGCTATTCAACAACAAGTAAACTAGTTTATATGAATTTCCGCCTTTTCTAAGAGTTTGGCGAGAGTTCCGTTTTCAAACAGCTCAAGAGTCTCACTACAACCTCCAACGTGCTGCTTCAAAATGAACACGTTGGGTACTGTTCTTTGACCAGTCTTCTTCAATAGTGCGGCCTGAATTTGTTCTCCAGTACTCAACTATAAAAATGATAAAGCCTATTAAAGTACAGCAACAGTCTTACTTACCTTGTCCAAGTCATATGTCTTGAAAGGAACTTGAAGACTTTGAAACAGTCCCTTGACTTTGGCACAGTACGGACACCATGACTTGGAAAAAACGACGACAGAATCCTTTTCAACCGCTTCTTCAACAAAACCTAATGCCTCTTCAGAAATAGGCGAATCCGTAGAAAGAGCTCGAAATTGGAGAGAGCTTCCTTTCCTCTGTATTCCTTCCCATTTTTCAGGAGACAAAAAAACAGTTACACCTTTCCCGGTGAAAGCTGTAGTTTCCAGGAAGGTGCCACGAAATGTTTCCAGTTTGTTCCACAAGCTTCGATTGCATATTAGTTTACCACTAATAAGACGACGACAGGGAGAATAACTCGTCACAAAATGGTGCAGAAATGCCATAACCAAAAGAACTATTACGATTGCTAGAGCTTGGTATTATGTTGCGATTTGGTTTACTTTTCGTGCGAACATGTGGTATTTGCGGAAGAATAGAACACGGGACAACTCAAAGCTATCATATGAGTTCAAGCTTTAAGAACAGTTTGCGAGCCCTTCATGTTACTCATCTTGCACACTTTAAAGTGAATTATTTTGGCAGAACTTTTCGGAATCTGTACAAGCGGAAAAGTTACTCTCGACCTCTTTTTGTCGGTACTTTGGCTGGCACTGCCTGTCTGACGCTGAAGGCAATACTGAAAAAGGATACGGTCGGATCAAATGATGTTTCCAAGCTTGAAACTGACAATGAGCATTCTGAAGGCCCGGATCAGTTACATATGTCGACGACTAAGGTTAAGAAGCATCGAGAGACAAGGGTTCTCTTGTCCGGACTGGTTTTTGAAATAGGTTTAGGGTTGACGGGTTCACTGTTTGCCTGGAAACTAGGCTTACCAGTACTCGGAAAAGGTTTCCATATATCTCCTTTTACTTTATTACAAGGAGCACTTGCGTCTATTCCCTTGTTAGGATTCGTCTATTTTATAGAACAGCTACCATTTCAGTTTTTGAAGGAAACGGCCTCTGAAACGCAACGCATCATAGCAGAAGTTTTTCTTTATAGACGTAGTTCTGAAATTGGCCTGCTTTGTATGTGTACGGGTATAGCAGAGGAGATAGCTTTTCGTAGTTTCCTTTACAGCTGGTTGGTTTCAATAGTTCACTTGTCGACCTGTCAAGGCTTGTTACTGTCTAGTTTCCTGTTTGGTCTTTTTCATCCAGTTTCGCCAGCATATGTATATATTGCCTCACTTGCAGGTTCCTATTTTGGTTTTTTGTATATTATGACGGGTAACAATGTTTTCGTTCCCGCTGTTGCACATGCAGTTTATGATTACGTTATCCTTGAGATATCTCGATACCAAATGCTCCGAAACAAAAGCATTTCTTCACACAAGGACAAGATAGACTGACGTTTGCAACTTTGCTATGTACATTACCATAAAAATGAGTCGTTTTGGTTTCCTTTGGTTTCCTATGTTTTTCGTTTCAAAAGGGAAGAGCAGATAGAATGCTGCTTGTCAAGAAAGTAAGATGGCGAAGCACAAATTGAAACCGAAAGTTGTCTCTCGATAAGGTAGCAGAAGACTATGTTATTTATTTGGAAAGCAACACCATAGCTCTCAAAGAACGTTTGAAGGAATGATTGTGTTATTTTAGAAGAGGAGAGAAATAAGGAATGTTGAACAGTCAACAAGTTGAGTCGATTGGAGAAGAGTCCTTTACTCGAATAGTCTTATCAAAGCAAAGTAAACTGCCTATTTTATATATCATAGGTTTGTTTCTCTTATCGGAAAGTTGGATGTCATATGACAATTTATCCAATCCGTTTCCCACACGTCGGAGAAGTACTTTATGGAAATGGAATTTTTGGAAGAAGACGACCCAGCAACTTGTGAAGATGAACAGGAAGAAGATGTAGGAAGTTCAAGTATACAAATAGGAACAAAAACAGAACCCATTCCACTTCCGAGTAGCTCTAGAGTTGCTTCTTCTCTTCCTACACAGTCAGCTCCCAGTGATTATGTACGTGTTCTTAGTGAATCTTTTCAGGCTATGGGAACGGCTTCTGTGCCGTCATCTTCCTTTCGTTGGAATTTACGTAGAGGAAATCAGGCTCTTCAGTATCGGCGTCCTGGCCGAATACTAGAAATTGCGCTTCCCATCCAAGAACCAGGACCTTATGAAGTTGTTATCCAAGTGACTCATGCAGGTGTTTCAGATTATGATTTAAAGGTTGTTTCAGACGCATTTCCCTTTGTGTCAAAAATTGTTCCAGGCAGAGAAGTTACGGGGAAGATCGTAGATATAGGAAAGAACGTAACACACGCAGCTCTGGGAGACACAGTAGTGGTCGATCCAGAATATACCTCTGTTGCTGATGGAGGTTCGAAATCTTTATCGTTTCAGGAACGTAAGGCTATCGGAATGACACATAATGGTGGTTGGGCACAGTATCTTTTAGTAACTGGCATTCAGGTACACAGGATTCCCAACGATCTCCCTGGTCCCTGGGCTACAATGATTTATGAAGTAGCTTGTATTGTCAGTGCCTGGAAGAAGATTCAACCAGTCTCAGAAGCCGATAGGATTTTGATTCTGTGTAATGGCATCGCGGGTTTCTTATGGGGTCTGTATTTACGACTAAAGAATTTTGACGTTGAGCTTTGTCAATGTCAGACGAGTTACTCACTGTCGATACATCAGTTGGACTTTACAGTTGTTCATAGAGAATCTTTGGAAACAGGTGCCGGAATTGCTTTGCTTGATTACGATATCATCGTGGATACTACTGGAAATTACGAGTTGATGGACTTAGCTTTTCAGTGGCTGAAACCCATGGGAAAATTCTTACTATATGGTTTGCCTTCGGGTGCTAGTCATTCAAACAAGTGGTGTCTTCGTGATATACTGGATAAGGAAGCTACAATATGTGGCTCTATTTCACACAGCAGAGGAGGTTTCGCTGAGGCCGTTCATGCTGCTAGAAAATTATCCAAGTATTCATTGGAGAGTTTAGGTGTCAACTTGTACTCTATATCAGATTATCAAAATGCACTTTCAGATTTGAAAAGCGGGCGTTGTACGAAAGTAATTTTCACTGTACAGGATCCTAGTAGGCGAAGTTTTTTGTCATCCCCCAGTTCTCCTATTTTGTCACCTTTTGATGCTCCAAAATTTCGAGTTCCTCATTTGTACTTGTGAGAAAACATATGTAACAAAGTGAATATTTAATGGAATTCGGGTTATGACGGAAATGGCTTAATAACAATCTTCTTAGGTAAAACGCGTAAATCAACTTCCCATTTGACACGTAACATAATGCAAATCAAAGTTATGTGAATTTACGAGAATAAAAATTACAAGTGTTTAAACACCAAAATTGCTACATTACGAACAAGCAGAAAAATAGTTGAACAAAATGATCGTATTTGCTTTCTACTCTTGTTCACAACATTCGAGTGAAAATCGACGTCGTCCATCCATACGAAACTTGTCAAAGTTAAGTTCCATAACCAGTGAACTCTTTTCTACATCACATACACCTTCTGTGGGTGTAACTGGACTGGAAGGGATCTTTGACTAAAAGCAGATTCTAAGTCATAATAGGAAAATGAAAGCTGCGAGAAAATGTAATACCATAGCTGCTTCTGCTAAAGTGGCAAGTGGATTATTCATAGAGCGTTTGCGTCTCCGCATAGAAGAATTCCAATGATTTTTAACTGCGTTATCCGTTCGTCCAGGCAACAGCTTGGAAATTTCTGCCCACTGTGTACCGATTAAGCAAAGAGAGATAGAGCCAAACAGCTACTTACCTTATTGCCAAATTTTGCATGAGCTTCGTACAGTATCTTTTCCTCTTCTTCAGTCCAATTACTCCGACGAATGTCAGGCTTCAACTGGTTGGTCCACCTTTCACACAGCTTCAACAAGAAAGGACCAACAAGCTGATATTCACCTACCTTTCTCTACACTGCTTTCCACTTCTTTGACCTATTTTGGAAGCAATCAAACTCCACTGTTTGCTGCTACCAAATTGTTTCACCAACTCTTCCAACTTCTGATCTTCTTCTGCCGACCACGGTCTCTTTGTTTGTTTTCGGCAACTTTTCGAAATATTCATAACACTCCGCTGTTCACTACACTACAACTAAATATTATTTCCAACACAAAAACTTGTTAACACAAACTGTTTCAACCTCTCTCCCGCAGATACTGTCTTGTATGGCTGCGTCAGCTTACTCTCAACTTTAGCAGGAGAGTCTCCATTAAAACTATGCACGCTCACTTCCTCCAATTCCGGGTGAGTTCTTCCAAAATAAATACAGCTATCCTTTGAACGAAGCCGCTTTTCCATTTGACGGAAAACCAATTGCGGTCTCCCTATACAACTGATTGACAGAAGCCCATTGCATTAACACACAATGTTTGGGACATCCAATAACTACTTCCCAAAAATCTTGGCGCCATTTTCCGATCATTTTTCTAAATTGAAAATTGATTGAATGGAGCAAATAAGAAATTCCACTCCGTCAAACATCATAAAAATATTGCACTCAGGCATGACACAGTGCCACGGAGAGACATTGAGCTTTCTTATTGTTTTATCCCATCTGTAACAGTTCACTCACAAGTTAAATGATAGAAAGGAGCACGACTATGTGGTTAGGCAATAGGCGGCAGACTGGTCAGGAGAGTCAAAAAGGAACTGTAAAGCTGTGCTTGGTACCAGGCAACTTGCATTCATTTTTGACAAAGAAGAACTGCCATTTCGTCTGCTGACAGCTTGTTCACCCATATTTCGAAGTCGATATAAAATAGTTCAAAAGTGAAACAATGTTAACCGAAGCGAAAATACAGCTTTCCGAATACTTTCAACAGTTTTTCCTTTACTTAATAACTGCGTTGATAGAAATGTAAATACTGTTCTATTTCACTAGTACATATCTATATTTTGTCGGACTTGCGAAATAGCATTCCTCCCCAAGTTAGCTTTCCTGCTCTTCCCCCTTCAATCCAGTGTTCCAAACCCCGCTTCATATTCGCCTGGAACTCAGGACTGCAGAAAGAAGCGATTTCACTGGACCTCTTGATAAGCTCAGCTTTCACTTTAGAGTAATGATGAACAAGAGAGTCAGGTCTGCTGAAAGTTCTAAGAGTGACAAGGCCACATTCCTTCGCCAAACTGCGATAGAGTCCCAAGCTGCCCATATCATGAAGTTTAATGCGGTCAAGAATGGGCTGAATTGAACTTTTATCAATACCATCCTCCTTCATCGGGTCCGTTATGGCCATGACTCCTCCAGGCTTCAGGACCCTTGCGCACTCTTGAAATACCTTCAACTTATCAGGGGAATGTAAGAACGCATCTTGACTCCAGATAAAGTCATAGGAATTGTCTTCACAAGGAATCTCCAAGAAACTTCCATACTTGACGGTGATATTATCCGCCAGTCCTGCTTGACTATTATATTCTTCGTTCCTCTTATTTTGGACAGGTGCGATGTTAAGGCAGTCAATGGAAACTCCAAATTTTCTTACAAGAAACCTGGCCGCACCTCCGTATCCTGCTCCCAAGTCAAGACCTTTCGCTTGACGCTGCAACACTCCAGTCATCGCAAGTTCCGATGCGAGCCATTCGTCTGTACGCAAACTGGCTTCTCTTATCTCATCCTGGTCAACTGGTTCCTTATAAAGTCCGACATGGATGTCTTCGCCACCCCACACGTGGAAGTAGAACCGATCACTATCGTCATTGTCGTAATAGATCTCAGCGTTATCCTTCACTGTTTTCGAAGTTGCGGCTGGTTGCGACTGTCCGTTGCTATTTTCCACTCTCATGGTCCACTCTAGAAAATACAGAAATGGTGTGAAGAAATCATATCAAATATGCATCGAATATAGGACAGCTGTCTTTGAGGTGCTGGAAGATGCGGCCCAATCAAATTGCAAGAGTTGTTCTGTGAGTCGTGTTCGACCAATGATTTGTCCTGTTTCTTGCGAAGGACAAGTGTCCTTCCACTGTGTTCGATTTGGCTCCACTCGAAGCTACCTTATTGGCTTTTATGGATTAGGGTGGAAGTGACTAGCCAGTCATTGAACACAACGTCAAATTCTACAGAAAGGCCCATTTTTCTATAAAAGAGCTGCTCTGACTGAAATTATTCATTTATTATTTGTATCTTTGATCGTAGCAGTTATGACTGGAGTTGCAAGAGGAGAATCAAAACAAGTATCTCAAGAAATGGAACTTCGAAAGTCAGGAAATAGTTCACCAACAACTATACAACAACTACCGAAGGAGAAAGTTTCAGAGAAGTTTGACACCAATGAGAAGGTAGCTGAAAGCTATTATGATGATATGGATGCAGACACATTTTACTATCATATATGGGGTGGCCAAGATATTCACGTTGGTCTTTATAATGATCCAGTGGAAAAAGATATCATTCGTGACGCGTCACGTCGTACCGTTTATTATATGACCGGTCTTCTTGAAAAGAGTGGTTTATTGAAACCTGGTGCTATCGGGATGGACCTGGGTGCCGGTTATGGTGGAACTGCACGGTACCTCGCAGAGAAGTTCGGTGTGAGAGTTGATTGTCTTAATATTTCAGATTCCCAAAATGCGAGGAATCGTCAGATGACAGAAGCCGCTGGTCTTACACAGCTGGTCTCTGTCGTATATGGCTCGTTCCAAGATATTCCAGCGCCTGATAATTCGTATGACTTCCTTTGGAGTTCTGATGCCATTGATCATGCTCCGGATAAAGCTCAGGTATTCCGTGAGGTTGCAAGAGTTTTGAAACCCGGAGGTATATTTATTTTTACTGACTTGATGAAAGCTGATGATGTTCCTGCGTCCGAGCTTGGTCCTGTTTTAGAGAGAATTAAATTGCCTGATATGGGCTCTGTGAAACTTTACAGATCGTTAGCTGCCAACAATGGCCTGAAAGAGTATGCAGTTTACCAGAAGCCAGAAGCTCTCGTGAATCATTACTGGAGAGTGAAGTTAGAACTCGAGAAGCAGAAAGACGAAATTTCAAAATTCTGTTCAGTTGCATTTCAAGAACGTATGAAGCAAGGTTTGGATCACTGGGTGAATGCAGGAAAAGCCGGCAAATTGAATTGGGCCATTATGATGTTTCAAAAACCATAAACTTTTCCGATTATAACAATTTCGTTGCCGTAGTCTTAGTTATATTTGTTCGTAGTTGGATTTCAACTAGATATAGAAATATAACAACATGTATAAAATCCAAGTAGTTCATCTCTTTTAAATTGTTGTTTTATTCAGAAACTTTCTCAGTGTCTAACAAGTCAATTCCTCCAAGAGCCCTTTGGAGTTGATATAACTGAACAGTCTCATTGGAACAGTGACAGGCAAACAACAGATAGTTCCTCGGTTGAACTCTCCACGCAAAACGCATAAATAGACCACTGCCCAGCAAGAATTTCAGAACAGAACGGAAGTCGTAAAATAATAGTACCTGTAAAGACAAAGAGCGCTAGTCATCGGAACGGAGACATATTCTGTGGGTTTATACATATCCACCAATCCGGCGAGGACAAAACCCCTAAAAACGTGAGCCAGGAAAACACAGATAAACTACAAAGCAGTTACCAATTAGCAACAGGACCCCAGAAGTGCGTAGTTTTTGGACCAGTAGGCGAGTTCCTTTTTACGAATAAATGACAATACTAACACTCATAACACTAACTTACCAAAGTCGCTTCCAAAACCCAGTCGCGGAAGCAGCACTCATACCTAATAATCGAATTCCAAAATGATTTTTGCAGTAATTAGTAAACGCTACAAAATAATCATTCTTTAGATTTACAAATGGCTTCTATTCCAAAATTAACAAAAAGACATCAACAGTTACTATTCTTTATAGTGAACTTTATCTACAAGCACATAAAAGTTGGAAAAAGATAAATAAGTGCAATAGTAGTAAGCTTCCTATTTCTGTTACTGAACAACACAAAAAGTATCTTCTCTTTTCGATTTTTCGCTTTTCTTTGAGAACGATGGCTGTTCCTTATTTGCAAAAGTTTCCTGTCGGTCATTCATTTTTTTACAAACAGCAACTTGCACTATTCGGTCCGCGTCCACTTGAACTTGGGAACTTCTTGGAATTCCTGGAAGAAGGACTCGAAGTCTCGCACAAGCTTCTTCTGAAATGGAATGATCAGGAGGAAAGACTACTTTAAACTGCACAGTTAGATCTCCTCTTTCATTCGGACTTGCTTTGAAAGGCATGCCTTCATGAATAATTCTCTTTTGCATATTAGGATGAATGATCTATATAAATGTTTTAATTGTTTTGTTTCAATGCATTTATATCAATGCTCACCGTTCCTGGTTCGTTGCGAATCAACAAAATTCGTCTATCAAGGGTTTCAATAGGGAGTTCAAAGCCTCCAATTGCTTCAGCTAAGCTAATCGATAGTTCTATGTACAAATCTCCCTTTACACGATAAAAATAGGAGTGAGGTTTTTGTTCTAAAACAACTATGAGATCTCCAGGCTTTATGTAAGGACTAGTCTCATCTGCCATTTCTTCAAAGCGTATTTCTTCCTTGTCTTCCATTCCTCTTTCGATGTTGACTTGCAAAACTTTACGTTCTTTTTTGGTTCGAAATAATTGCCCATAGCCACCACAGATCTTGCATCTACTCTTCCAACGCTATTTCAAGTATTAGCGAGTCAGCATAATCTTGCCACTTGTACACTTACTTGGCTCACACCAAATCCTATGTATCGACTTGTTGTTACAAAACCTTTTCCTTCACATTCCAGGCATTTTCTTCCTTTGTTATTATTCCTATCTATGAGAACGGTTCGCTCGATGGATAAATTGACCGTTTTCCCAATGTACAAATCTTCCAAACTGACTGACAAAGTATGCCGAATATCTTCTCCCTACGCATATCAGTAACCGTTACAAGAATATAAAAACCAATAATACTTTTTTAACATCTCTAAAGTTTTCTGCCTTATCTCCATAGCCATCAAAGGAGAAACCAAAAAAAGCTCCAAATAAATCTTCACCTTCAAAGAACTGACCTTCTCCAGCCTTTCCACTTCCATGTAAACCTTCCTCTCCATATTTATTGTACACTTCTCTCTTATGAGGGTCACTCAGTATTTCATATGCGTGGCTGACTTTCTTAAACAAGTCGGGATCAACTCCAGGATTTCTGTCAGGATGGCACTGTTTTGCACATCTTCTGTAAGCTTTTTTTATTTCTGTCTGGTCACAATCAGCTGATACTCCCAATATGTCATACAGTTCTTGATGCACAGCAGGCATTTCACTACAACTTAATAAGACATCTTCCAACAATGAGAATTCTCCCGTCACTATCGAGCGTCGAAGTTGGCATTTAGCGGCGTTGGGATATTATGGCCCGTGTGAAAGCTTACGAAATACGTGGAAAAAGTAAAGCAGAGTTGGAGAAACAGTTGGTATGTTACCAAGTTGGTTTTGAGTGGAGAGTTTATTGTGTTTTTCTGACTTTCATAGGTCGAGTTGAAGACCGAGCTTTCCCAGTTGAGAGTTGCCCAAGTGACGGGAGGTGCTGCTTCTAAACTTGCCAAAATGTAAGATTATTTGTCCTCAAAGACATTGTTTCATACTTTGAAATAGAAAGGAAGTTCGTAAATCTATTGCCCGAGTATTGACCGTTATTACTCAGAATCAAAGACAGAGTTTGAAAGAGGCCTATCGTGGAAAGAAATACAAGCCGTTGGATCTTCGTCCCAAAAAGACTCGAGCTATTCGCAGAAGATTGACGAAAGACGAAGCTAGCAGGAAAACGCTTAGAGAACAAAAGAAAAGGCAACATTTTCCTATGCGAAAGTATGCTGTCAAGGTATAAAATAAAGTCGCCGCATTAAAACTGGCAAGTTTATTGTCAGCTATTTGATTCCAATCGTTGGAAACCTTGTTTCAAGTCTTCTATTAAATCCTGAACGTCTTCCAGTCCAGCATGAACTCTCAGAGTAATTCCTTCTAATAGACAGATATATCATGCACTTTCAAAATACGATGACTTAAATACCTTGTGTGCTCCATTTCTTAATCGTTCGAACCGACTGAATATTGGTCTGTAAAATGAGACTTTCAAAGCCACCCCACGAAAATCCCATAGAAAACAACTTGAAATGGTTTAGCATATTATCCACTGCTCTTTGTGAATAGTGTCTTTTCAACTGAAATCCGAACAAGCCAGAAGAACCGGAAAAGTCTCGTTTCCATAATTCATGTTGAGGATGACTAGGAAGTGCTGGATGCATAACTTTGGCAACTTGAGGTTGCTGTTCTAACCACTGGGCAATGGCTAAAGCGTTTTTCTAATCCACTTAAGGCAATTCTTTTGATTGTTATTCCATTTACTAACCTCATGTTGCTTTAAACGTACAGAAAGTGTTCGAATTCCTCGAAGTGCTAAATAACAATCATCTGGTCCAGGTGGACAACCCAACGACTTCACACTTAACTTTACAGGACGATATGTCTCTTTGGAACAAGCAATCAAACCCAACATGAGGTCTGAATGGCCTCCGATATATTTTGTAGCTGCATTGATTGAAACATCGACTCCATGTTCAAAAGGTTGAAATAAAGTAGGTCCCTATTCAAATAATCACATTCGTTATTCTATATGCAATATATATATATATATATATATATATATATATATAAGAAACACTGCATACCCAAGTGTTATCCATCATGACGATAGCTCCATGTTGATGAGCCACTTTAGAAAGCATCGAAATGTTTTGTATTTCAAAGGATAATGATGCTGGACTTTCTACGAATACTATCCTAGTATTGTCCTGCAGGTACTTTTCCAATTCTTCTGCAGAAATGATAGGATCATAATACGTGACTTGTACTCCAAACCTCTTCAAAAATTCCTCACAAAAGGAGCGTGTCGGATCATACACAGCATCTGTCATTAGAACATGATCACCTGATTTTAAGAAAGCCAATAAAGATACATTAATAGCAGCGACACCCGAAGCTACCGCACAGGCTTTATAACCGCCTTCGATAACTGCAAAAGCTTCTTCCAAAGCCCAGGCAGTAGGAGTACCATGTCTTCCATACCATAAACCAGTAAAAGGATAATCCTTTGCTGCTTCTCTATAGGCTTCCACAGTTGGAAACGTTATCGTAGAAGCATGATAGACTGGTGGATTCACAAATGAACGGCCTAAAGGATCAGTAGTCCACTCCTGTGGCTTATGACCAGCCTTTATCACCTTTGTAATTGGCTGAAAAGAGTCTTCAGATAAAGGGCTATGAATATTTGGCGAACAATCACTGGAAGCCATTTCTTTGTTGGGTTCTTGTGAAAGACAGCAGTGCCAACTCTTTCTTGACACACCTTGACTCAAAGAACGATAGCGGATACATTTTAAGACTATTCTCTGTCGGTTACAAAGAGAATAAGACTTGTTGAATGAGAACAGATTTTGGATCCCTTTCTGAGAAGAAAAAACAGGAAAGTCTTGAAAACAAAACAACATAAAAAGCGTCAAGCAATCGTCCTTACAAAATTGTAGTTTCTAACAACCCAATGAGAAACTCAAAAAATGTCGTTTCTCTCTTTACATTCCAGTTAATATGACATACGGAACTTTATCTTTATGGACTTTTCTCCATTCAATGTAAGATGTCTTAAGCACATTGGACAGATAGATTATCCTGCAGAACAACTTGTGTTATTTGGAAATAAATTCTCTTGGGAAATGTCGCATCAGGTCGTTGTCACAATTCCTGACTTGTATGGAAAGCACAACTTAAAACAACCTTATTTTATTTTGATAGGAATTCAAGAAGCAGACAAAGATTATATTTTGGATGCCATTCCTTTATCTCCAAAGGTCGATTCTTCTACTCACCAGGAGCAAATATTTGGCGAGCTGGAAACTACTTTACAGCATCTTTCACGGAGCGTGCCTTGTGGATTGAATATTCTAGGAATTTCTATTTTAAATAATATGGAACAAAATATTCTTACTCTCGAAAGCACTCTCTATATCTTCAAAAGATATTGGGAGAACTATGGACACTTGTACAAGTGGAAACGTGCTCTACTACTAAATGTGGATGAAAGAAAGCCTGTTTGTAAGTTGATAGATTTACAATTTGGAGGGAAAAGTGTTATTTGCAAGTTGAAAGATTCCAATCGAGCCCCTCCTTTATACTGTTTGGAAACTATCATTGACCTTGATTGGACCGTGCCTTGTTTTGGAGAAGAAAGTAGCGTAATAAGTTGGCTATCAGAAGCAAACCAGTCATTTTGTTCACGTTTGGCCGATGGATTTGCTTTTGTTGATGAGTGTTACTTGTGTCACAAGAATCAACCGGACGATTGGTTTCTTCCACAGGACCGAAAACACTATCAAGTGAAAATACTTACTGACCAATGGTTCCCAGGTGGCCAAGAGTCTCACTCCTTTGGAGATTCTGCTATGCGTTTACTTGCACAAGTTCCTTGTAGAGTTTACTCAGTGGGAAAGATTCGTGGCAACCAGATTGTTCCATTATTCCTGCAGGACTGGAAACAATCTTTTGAAGCTATTATTCAGATTGCTTTGGAAGAATTTGGAGCTTCATCCTTTGATCTGTTTCATTCAAAACTGATATGGAATTTACCAAAGCGTATTTTCACAGAGAACTCTCTGCGTACAGTTCCCTATTGTGACTATGTATTATGTGAAGAGACATGTCAAAATATCAAAGAGCGAATGAGTTCTTTGTTAGGGTTTTCCTCAAAAGAGTTGGAACAGACGAAATTATGTTTTTTTCGACAAAAAGGACTTTCCGAATCAGACAGCTTACCTAGTTCAGCTATATGGCAGTTGCACGCTTTGGAATCTTCAATAGCGTCAACACCACATCAGTGGAATAGTATTCCTAATCGACTTTGGATTGGTTGTATTTTGGTTGTCATGTTGGGTATACTATTGGCCACTTTTTGGAGGAACTTTTGAAAGAGCTCTTTATTACATTTTGGGGTTTTTTGTTCAGACTAGTAGTGTAGGTGTAAAAATATGAAATGGTACTGAAGTTCACAAAGGATAAGCGTAAGGATTCAACTTTTACAATGGGATTGAAAGTTGCATTTCGTTAGCTATAAAAGAAATGGCCAGCTTTTATTCAACCTAGTGAGAGTTTGTGACAACTTCAAAAGCAACGTGGTGTAAAGTACAGCAAAGGAATCATATTGCAAACAAATTTCTCCTCGAAAGTAGGGTACCAAGAATGAAACCTATACTATTAGAAACTTGTTCTTACATTTCACCATTCATGGACTACAGCAAGTCTCGATAGATGGTCGTAGACGAATGAATCTTCGTCTTTAATCTTTGTAATTTTCTTTTTAACAGTTCTCAAGAGTTTATGAATGAAGCTCAGAATGCAATAAATCTAAGGAAGCGTTGGATACGATTGGGAAATAGAAGATTCTGTCATCTCTCGTTGTCAAGTTTTGTCGCTCTTAGTATATAATATATATATATATAGATTGATAGACGGGGGTAGGGAAAGAGAAAGAAAACAGTAGAATATCCCTTGTCTCATCGAATAGAAAATCACAGAGTTCCAGGTCAGTATTGACAACCGAAGAAAAATGCTCTTTTAACGAGAATTCGATTGCATGTCTCTGGTTCCATTTCCTGAGAAGAAGAAAAATGCCAAACGATCATTGGCTTCATTTAAAAGAGCAGTAGTTGTGGAGAATCATTTCCATCATTCTTTCTTTTCATTTCGGCTGGTTTGAAAAAGGCCTTGATAGAAATATGAACAAGTGGACTTTAGTATCTGTCCTATTGCTCGGTATTGTCGTATATGCAGTTGCAGAACCTCTCAAAGACTCCAATATAGCCTCAAAAGTCAGAGGATACAGTAGCGCTTATAGTCCAGTCTATTCAACATCAACGTATTCCACTCCTTATGAAACTACTTCTTCTTATCCTACCTATACTACCTATCCTTGGATTCAGCCTTGTGCAGAAGCTTGTGCTGGATGTCTCTATTGCTATCAAGAAGTAAGTATGTCTTGAAAATATTCAATCCTCATGTTACTCACCTATCCTCAAGTACAATTTCTATTACCCATATGGTCTTGATATCCTTTACTGCAATAACTTTGACAAATACTGTCCATCTGGATACGTTCGACCAACTCCCTATGAGTATTCCTCTTATTCTCGTGGAGCATACAACTCGGCATCTTCCTATGCAACTCCGACTTATACGTCTTCCTATTCAACCAATACTTATAAATCTTATGAAACTCCTCCCATGACGTACTACTATCCAGAATGGTATTTGGAATGTTATCAATGGTGCTTCGAATGTCTCTTGTGCAACTTGGAATATGGATTCTACTATATTCAGGAGCCAACTCCAACTCCTTATTATTCAAGTTCGTATCCAATGTACAGCAGCTATTCCAGCTACAGTACTTATCCAACCTACACAACCAGCGCGTACAATTCGTAGAAGAAGGATGCGTTTCAGGCGAAGGATGCCATAGACTCTTGTCTGCTTTGTTTGCCTCTTATCTCAGAATAAAAATTTTTTTTATGATACCGAGTGTACCAGCTCCCTTTTGCATATTCCTTGACAAATCTTTAGGAAGGTCTCAAGAAAGGGGAGGCGGCAATATTTTCTTTACAGCCTTATTGATTTTCTAGAAAAAAGTTTGTACTACTTTCACGGATCTGAGTTGGGGACTTTTGAATAAATCCAACACGATAAAGACTCTCTCCATCATGTCGAGCAAAATTGAGGAAGTACTGTTTGAGTAGTTTTCAGTTGCACAAGTTTAAAGAGACATAAAGGCTCTCTTAGGTTTAAAAAGTATATGAGGGCTAGCTGAAGAGGAAGAACGACTAAATTTGTATTAGAATGTAGGACAGGGACTTTACAATGCGGAAAAGATGAAAATTCTTGGCGTCCTTCAAAAAGCCTCCAACAGTTTCATAGAACTCTTTGTCTTTGGGGAGCTTCTGAAATGATATAACTGAAAGAACACCTAGGTTATTTGCATTTATATTCAAATGCCTCAGTATCTCTATAATTGCCTGAAATAGTTAAAACGTTTAAGCAGGACAGTGTAAAAGCCCGATTCGTATGCTGTTTTCAAATGTAAATAGTAATAAACACGGTCTGTCTCCTGAAAGAGACTGTTTTGGAGATATGACTCCCTATCGAACCGTTTCATAGTATACTATTCTGAAACTTTTGATAGTCGTTTTATTCCACGCCAGTTTTAATAGACTCGGTGGAACCTGGAACGATAGATTCGATTACAATTGTAAAACAAATGCATCAAACGACACTATACAAAAGGTGCGGAGAGATTGGATATTAGAATACATAAGCAAGCCTTTGCATCTGAACGTTTGCAAGGATTTCTGTTACGTCATTCGCTGGAATATATCTGCTCGAAGATGGGTGCTTTACTCTTTCTCGGCTTTATGATGAATGATGGAAATGCTTTTTGTTTTATCGTCTCTAATGTACCGATGTCGTCTTTGGATCCTTACAACAGCATATAAAAGATGATAAATACTCTGTTTAGATAGCGAAATTCCCTATAACATTTGTCACAATACATTTACGAATAAAAGTTCCATGATATGACGATTTCATTCGACGACAACTTGCTGTAATATCTGGAATAATATGTTCGTTTATTTCTAGCACAGCAAAACGCGGGTTTGAGAAAATCGGAACAAACTGAATATTTTTCCTGGTCTTTATTAGAGATATGTAAACAGAATAGTAAAGAGAAAATGTGTCGCTGATTTAGGTTGATAGATTTTCGACTCACAAAATGCAATATGAACGTGTGACCTCGTCACGGCCATTATTTAGAAGCATTTGCATACTTCCATTGAAAAAGTGCCTACTGATAAGTTTGACTAACAATTTATAGCTGTTTAAAATAGAAATGTTGTAAAGCTTGCAGATTGAATATCCGATAATGCTATCAAGAATTGTCTTTGTTCCAAAAAGAATGGAAATTCTACGTCTCAACGTACTGCTGTGTTTCATAGTATTGCATTTCTTTCCCTGGCTTTTTTGAGAAGGAAGCAGAGAGTAACACGAAAGACTTGGTTTGAATATCAACAATATCAAGAATCCATCAACGTTAACCAAGTTGATGAAGTTGGCATTGGAAACGAAACCATAGTATAAAGACGATTCTCGTTCCAAGAGTACCTCGGACCAATTTGCAAATGTTTGAGTGCGTAGTCATTTCTTTGCAACAAACACAATTTACTTCTTTCCACAGTCCTAAAGTTGTTCCTATTTGAACCACGGAATTCCATAGTATAGCTGTGCTGAGAACAACTCACTACTGTGCGAAAAGACAAAATACGTTTAACCTGGCTTTCGATAAGCAGCGATGGGAACATCCACAGTTTCGTTACAGCGAGTAACGGACTGCAACTCTGCATATGTTTCTAGTTCACTTAGACTTGTTCAGAACTTTGAAAAGCAACTCAAAGATAAGAAGACCACCTTTTCAATACAAAGTCGATCTGAACTGGCACCACACAAGTTACGTTTCACTCTTCAGAAATAAACGTTTAGATATAAAAGTCAAAGGATATGTGGAAATATTATGATAAGCCTGTAACGAAGATGTTGAAAAAAATTGTCTTTATCCAGTGTTTGAAAAAGTGTAACGAATGAAACTCAACATGAGGTCTAAAAAAGCGTTCAATAGACTCGAGTCGTATTCCTAGAAGGTCTCTTCTTCCAACTCTATATCAAAGTCATCCTCAGCAGTAGCCTCTTGGTATTGTTGATATTCTGATACTAAATCATTCATGTTACTTTCTGCTTCACTGAATTCCATTTCATCCATGCCTTCACCAGTATACCAGTGAAGGAATGCTTTGCGGCGAAACATGGCAGTGAATTGTTCACCAACTCGTTGAAATAGTTCTTGAATAGATGTAGAGTTGCCGACAAAAGTTGCAGATTTTTTCATTCCTAAAGGCGGAATGTCACACAACGAGCTCTTAATGTTATTAGGAATCCATTCTACAAAATAGGAAGAGTTCTTATTTTGAATATGAAACATTTGATCGTCGATGTCTTGAGTGGACATATTCCCACGGAAATAAGCTGCAGCAGTTAAATAGCGACCATGACGAGGATCACAAGCAGCCATCATATTCTTCGCATCAAACATTTGCTGCGTCAGTTCAGAAACACTGGCAGATCTATACTGTTGAGAACCTGGAGCACTCAAGGGTGCAAATCCAATCATGAAAAAGTGCAGTCGAGGAAATGGAATCAAGTTAGTAGCCAACTTTCGTAAATCTGCGTTAAGTTGTCCAGGGAACCTCAACGAACATGTTATTCCGGACATGACTGCGGATACTAGCTGATTGAGGTCGCTGTAACTGGGACTGCTAAGTTTCAGTGTTCGAAGACAAATATCATACAGTGCTTCATTGTCAATACAAAAAACTTCATCTGCATTTTCTACCAGTTGATGAACAGATAGAGTACAGTTGTAAGGTTCCACAACGGTATCGGATACTTTTGGAGAAGGAACAACAGAATAAGTTCCCATCATTCTGTCAGGATATTCTTCACGGATTTTAGATATTAAAAGAGTTCCTAAGCCAGAGCCAGTACCTCCACCAAGAGAATGTGTAATTTGAAAACCTTGTAAGCAATCACAAGACTCTGCTTCTCGCCTTACTACATCCAGTACATTGTCAATCAACTCAGCACCTTCTGTATAGTGACCTTTAGCCCAATTGTTGCCTGCTCCATTTTGACCATATACGAAGTTATCTGGTCGAAAAAGCTTTCCATAGGTACTAGCTTTCACTGAGTCCATAGTTCCCGGTTCAAGATCCACCAAAACAGCGCGAGGAACGTATCTCGAGCCAGTTGCTTCGTTATAATAGACATTGATACGGTCTAACTGCGTAGGAGAGTTGCCTTCATATGTTCCGTTTGGATTGATGCCGTGTTCTCCAGAAATCACTTCCCAAAATTTTGAACCAATCTGATTACCGCATTGACCTGCTTGTACATGAACAATCTCTCTCATTTTTCTTAATGATTACTGTACAACTATTGCACAAGGACTACAAAGTTCGCTGACAAGTTCACCGCCAATCAAAGGAATAATTTGAAAGGAATTTCGGATGCAAAAGAAAGAGATTTAAATTGGACGTAATGCCAACGTACTTTGGCGGGTTGGATTTTTTTCCACTGGTCCTCCTCTTTTTCAAATATTTGAATTTGAAATCGGAACGTCTGTTGCTCACTCATCACAATCTTCTACAAAGACAATTATTTGTGTTCAGCGATCGATCCACTTCTATATTTTACAACCCCCTTCTCTCATCTTTCCAACTTTCCAAATAGACTCAGTTTTCTAAATGAGAATTTAGCTTCAAATTCTCTACTTTATCTTGCAGGATAACTGTGGAGTCAGATGTTCTATAAAGCGTTTCTTCAATATTTGATCAACTATGAACTCAGTAAAGCCTCAACCTTGTCAGCTTCGTATGATTTACTGTTTGGAAGAGGACGACACTTCAAAAGCAAAGAAAACCTATGTCCACTCTTTAGAAAAAGCTGGCAATACAGACTGAATGTAATAAAGTGAAGGTGGAATATAACATTGGATAGATTGGACGGAGTTGTTATCCTGCAACAGGAAAATTTACTGCTATTCTTGACAGAGTTTTCGGAACCGAACACTATTCAATCCTCCTCTCATGTCTGTCTACGGCTTTTGAAACTCTTGATTTCCCCGTTTGGATTTGACAACCTTTATGCAACAGTAAGAAAGATCTTTTCATTTTATTGGATTCTTGGAGCAGCCGTCATGCAGAATAAGACTAAATAGAATGACGGACAAAGACTGCAATGGTTTACAAGCAAACCTCTCTGGTGAAAAATATATATATAATATGGAGCTTGTCTGTATTTGCAAAGGAGGCGCTGTCGAAGAATGGCTGAGCAATTGAGCACAAAGTGGTTTCTCTCTCTTTTCCAAATGACAATAATGAAGCAAAGAATCCTTCAAATTCTTCTTAAATAAACCTAGTCCAGCAAATTTTCAAACTATTTATATTTTGAACCACCACTATCTAGCTCGTAACAGAAGTTACTGGTGAATTCAAGTCTTCGGTGAATCTTCCTAGAAGAATAAACCATGAGTGCATTTCGGACACTTTCAAATCGATAAATATGCAAAGGCGATACAAAACCACTTATTACGGCAATTTGCTAATGTTAGAAACCCAATCATTGTAGTTTGTTTGTTTCTGAAAACGATCTGATGCTATGATATAAACGTTGAAAAGAAGGGAATAAAACTTATTGAGATTCATTGTAAGGTTTATCCTTCTTGAATCTTACATAAAGTTTCATTTGTAAGGAAATGAAAGTTTCCTTGTCCTCCTCCACCTGCTATTTACCACTCACTTTTCCAGTTATTATTACAAGAAAGAAACTAGTGTTTGTTGGTATTTTTCGTGGAAAAAGTCATAGAAACACTTCAATTGGTTCCACTTGAGAAACTACAAACTTCTGGATAAGAAAGTAGAAATTTCAGTATGGGCTTCTAAGAGTGGCTATTCTACCTAGTAATAAGTACTTCGTATAATATTCCAGAAGAGCTTAAAGCCCTTGGAGTCTCATCAGAGAACGCTGTTACCCAGTAGACCTGGTGTAGTATCAGGGTCTTTTATCCTGTTAACTGGTTTAGACAGAAGGGTACCTTGCTTCCGTTTTATCTGTAAACAGCAAGAAAGAAAACAGTAAGAAGTTGGCTGCCATGTTTCAAAAAATTTCTTCTTTCGGTTCTTACAAAGATTAATTCTCTTCAGAAGCTGGTTTCTGTTGCTTGCAATTTCAGTCAAAAATGAACCAAAACTATTGTATCTATGTTGGAGACTATATAGGTAGCTAGGCACTCTAGGACTCAAATAAAATATACTAATTTACCCGTTTCTCTCTTCACGGAGAATTCATCCCAAATGGTTTATAGCTGGCGTATAGAAGACAAAAGTCAAAGGAAACAGTTCTGACAAGAAAATCTTCGTCGTTTGCTCTTCAAGTTTGAAAGGTTTTACACTCTCAGGATATCGAGTAAAAACGTCTATCTTTTCCTTGGATATGGGAAAATTCGTAACTCTTTAGACACACTTCACTTCCCGGAAATTTGTCTGTCTTAAATACAAAAAAGTTCTTCAAATACAATGAAACGTTACTCTTTAATAGAGAAAAGCTCCCAAGGAAGTCTTTTGCAAGACTTCAACAAAGAAGACGGTGTCTCTATCCCAAATAGAAAGGATACACAAAGACGTAATCTTAGCTCCATTGGGAATTACTGGACAAGCCCAAAAAGCTTTCCCGTAACAAATTTTGGCGCCCTTTCTTCTGCAATTCTTTTGAGTTTAAAATGGCAAAAGAAAACGAGCACTTCCTGAAACCAGACAATCAATCCCCTGAAGAAAGTGAACAACTGGACACAGTGTCTATGGAGCCTTCACAGGAGATATGGAACTCTACAGAGCAAGAAACATCAGAGCTGCAGTCGGATACATTTCTCTCTCCCGCTACAGTGAGAAATTCACAAACAACTGATGGATATGGCCAAGCAGAAATAGTTCCAGCAACACCTTCTTTTATGTCAGCTGCAGGAGATAGTGAAGAAGTTGGAACGCCTGGAAGATCCCTATCGGAAGTTTTCTCTGCGAGCAGTCTCGGTCAACGTTCTACTAGAGCTGCAGACAGGGAATCACTACAAAGACATGAACTAGGAACTAATTCGTTCTCTCTATTTTCTCCTGAAAAAGAAATATCCTTTAGGAATAGGAAAGAACTCGAGGCACCTTCAGGTGCTGCAGAAGAGATCGAAAGAAGGGTCATATGGGGTACCAACGTGAATGTTGACGAATGTGAACAGAAAATTAAAAAGTTCCTGTACGAGTTCACAGCAACTACAGTGCAACAAGATTATGAAGATGGAGATGGTTTACAACAAGCAAAACCAAAGCCGTACTACCTTGAGCTATTGACTCATGCAAACGAAATGCAATACGAAGTAATCAATATCGACCTGCAACATGTATTTGAATTTGATAGTGAACTTTATGCCTATGTTGTGACATATCCAACAGAATTGATAGCTATCTTCGACCAAACGCTTCAAGAGGTGTGCAAGGAAATGTTTGCCACAGATGATTCTTCAGATATCATGAGTTCAGGAACCTCAAACTTTCATGCTGGTAGACTTATAACGAGAATGTACAATATGAAAGATACCGAAATACATAGCATGAGAGAAATTGACCCATCCCATATTCATCAAATGATCGGTGTAAGAGGAATGGTATAATGAAATTTTGTGACAAAAGTGTCTTTTACTAATGATACGAATTTACTACAGGTTGTTCGTTGTTCCTCAGTAATTCCAAACATGAATCGAGCTTTTTACAGTTGCAACAACTGCCACTGGAGTCTATTTGTTGACATTCAACGTGGAAAAATTGAAGAGCCTATTCAATGTGACAAATGTCAAGCACGAAATAGCTTTATGCTGATCCATAATCGATCTGTTTTTAGTGACAAGCAGATGATAAGAATTCAAGAAACACCTGAAACTGTTCCTCAGGGAGAAACACCAGCCACAATGACCATAGTTGCTTACGACTCGCTGGTCGATTCAGCCAGACCTGGCGATCAGATTGAAGTAACAGGAATACTTCGCGCGGTAAGAACAGGTTCCCACGAATGAATTCTCAAAAGAAAGCACTCATTTCTTTGCAGGTCAGTGTGAGGATTAATCCGAAGCAAAGAAGTATCCGTTCTGTATTTCGTACATATATTGACGCCATACATATTCTCAAGGGGAAGCAAGGTCGCCTATCTAATTCAACGGAACATATGGACACTACTAGTGACTATTATCCTATTGGTTCTGATACTTCCGAAAATGCATTGTACTACTTTGAGAGAGAGAGGTTAGCTGCAGACAGTTCCTTTCTTGTCTAGTTGACATTTGTTTAGGTCTATTCGCGAGATATCTCAAGATCCTCTCCTATATGATAAGTTGAGTCGCTCAATAGCACCATCCATATATGGACACGAAGACTTGAAAAAAGGCATTTTGTTACAACTATTTGGAGGAACTCGAAAAGACTTTTCTGCGAGTGGCGGTGGCCACTTTCGCAGTGACATACATGTTCTCTTGGTATGTTTTGTGTTCAAGTAACGTTGTGCCAATAACTGGAAAATGAATAAGGTTGGAGACCCTGGAACCAGTAAAAGCTTGTTTCTTCAATACGTCCACAGAATTGCTCCTCGAGGTCTTTATACTTCGGGAAGAGGCTCTTCCGCTGTTGGTCTCACAGCGTATGTGACTCGAGACCCTGATTCCAATGACATGGTTCTCGAAAGTGGAGCTTTAGTGCTCTCTGACAAGGGCATATGTTGTATTGATGAATTTGACAAAATGACTGATTCAACAAGAAGCATTTTGCATGAAGCGATGGAACAACAAACCGTTTCCATTGCGAAAGCTGGTATAATATGTTCCCTTAATGCAAGGACATCAGTGCTGGCAGCAGCCAATCCTGTTGAATCTCGCTATAACCCTAAGTTATCTGTTGTGGACAATATACAACTTCCTCCTACTCTTTTATCAAGATTTGATCTTATATACCTTATCCTGGATAATGCTAACCCTGAAGAAGATAAAAGATTAGGAAATCACATAACATCTTTGTTCTCTGCAGATACAGCAGTGGTCCATTCAGATGAGGATCCTCTACCTTCTTTGGAGCCGGCGACAATACATATGCCTAACTCTTCTCATTCATTTTTAGATAGCACAACTCTTGCATCTTATATTTCATATGCTCGGGAAAAAGTTCATCCAAAGTTAAATGACGACGCCGTTCAACGACTTACAAAAGGGTAAGTTGTTATATATCACTGTCATTTCTGTTCATTTACGTGTTTAGTTATGTGGAAATGCGGAGAATGGGTAATGCATCTAAAAGCTGGTCAGGAGGGATAAAGACAATCACAGCAACTCCACGACAATTAGAAAGCTTGATTCGACTTTCCGAGGCGCATGCAAAGATGCGACTATCAGACGTAGTGGAAAGCCAAGACGTTGATGAAGCCTTACGTCTTGTTCAAGTAGCTATGCAACAATCAGCCATAGATCCTATCACTGGAACAATCGATATGGTCAGTGCTCAACTGCAAATTGTCTCAGCAATTTACTCTCATATAGGACTTGATAACTACTGGCAAATCGGCAACTAAGAGAAGTCGCATCGCTAAATTGGGCGAGGCTATCTTTCAGTATCTTCAACAAACCAAGACTTCTGATACAGCTGTACGTACGTCGGATGTTCTGATGGAAGTCAAGAGAAGCAGTTCTATGCCATTTACAGAACAGGACTTCGATGACGCGATCCATTACCTTGTTGAAGAAGAGAGAATTTTTCGAGTCGCTGGCGGTCTTCGAGTCGGCACTTCTTGGTAAATTTCAATCTACACTTTCAAATTGTATGATGAATCCCAAAGTTCTATTTTCAAGCACCTTGATCATCTTTCATAAAGTATATCACTCGAACTGGAGTGAGTATTCATGCAATTTCCATTTTCTCAATCATTTCTGTATAATCAACACAAATGATACAAAAATTGAAACTAAACGGACTTACGCACACAAGGAATTTATTATATGTGCAACAACAACAACTCGAATTTCAAGAATATAATACAGAGAGCCAAATATTCAGTAAACATGTAAATATTGGAAATGGTATGACAGACAAGGATGGAGCTTAAAGTTTCTTAAAGAGCCAGTCTTCTATTCTGTTTTGAATGTCATCAAAGCATCAAATGATTGCCACAATGCAATGTTTCTGAACGAAACTACTCCATAAAGATATTTTGAAAATTTGCAACGAGTTGAACCATCATATATGAGTCTGAGGTTTAACAATACTTTTCGTCGTGCTGTTGGGTTATCATTTGACATTCATCTGGTTCAATATAGAGTCTGTTGTGGCAAAATCAACAAAGCCATCGGATGCATCCTTTCTGGAGCTTGATAAAAACTTGCACTCAAAATTCAGTAGTTTGTTGAGAGCTTACCTCTATACTTTGAATCCATGCTTCCTATATTTCCACTAGAACGGAGTTGGGAAGTTCTCTAAAGCTCTCTCTGGCACAAGAAGTGTGAAAGTGATCTTATTCACTGCTTGGACGTCTTCTTCCCCATTGGAGAATAAAAAATACGTTATAAGCACAAAGAATATATTCAATTATTCGCTACGAGCAGCAGTTTTAAGGTTTTTCCTGTTTGTTTTGGTTCCTACATCGATTGAATTCCACTGGAATTTTCCACTGTAGCTACATCTTGCTATCCGATAGAACGTGACAATGTTTCACATCAACTTGTGGTAACTGATACTTCACCTTATATTGCCATAATGTGGTTGTTCAAGTTGCCATTTCCCCAACAGTGGATGGACTTTCTATCTGAGCTCTGTAAAATGTGGGTTTGAATACACAAACTTCGTTTGCATTCATATGGACAAACCTATCTTCAACTCACTGTGACAACTTATCAACCTGGACAAATGCCAACCATACTCTTGTTTCTTAGTTGAGGAGCAGTTTCCATGCCCTAATAAGAAGAAACTATATCGATGACAACACTATGATCACGTAACAAGATTGTAGCAACCGAGTTTGAAAAATAGACGCATTCATTTACACATTTTCACACAAAATGACGAGAACTTTCTAAAAACAGCTATCAACATAATGATTTGTTACATTCCTTTTATCATCTTTACCCAGTCACGGAAGATGGGAAGATCTTTGAGTTCCGGATTAGGAATCACGGTGGTTCCGAAACTATCATTGATAACAATAGTCGCAGACAAAACCCAAGCACTTATCGAACACAACATTCCCAATATTCCACCAGGAACCGAACTAATAGCACCAAAGAAATGCATATCATCCAGAACGAGCTCCAATTCGAGAGTCAAAAACACAATGTACAACTGAATATTGTGCCCCATCGATGCAACGAACATATAAGTATTAAAAATGGTGTAACAAACTAGAATAAAACCTAGCGCCATGTCAAAGTCAGTTGTTGACAATAAATTCGTTCCATATTCTGCTTCTAACGTAATAAGAACGCCAAAGGCTAGCCAAAAGGCACCGTAGCTCGAAAATGCAACTCCACCAAAAGTATTTTGTTTAATGAAAGTCATGATGCCAGCAATCAGCTGTGCCGAACCTCCATACATAAAGCCTAGTGCAATAATACTATTTGTCAAGCCACTAGGTAACAACTTGGCATTGATACAACTCAGCATAAAGTCTGTTGCCGCAAAACCTGCCAACCCTAAGGCCTCTGGATGTCCCAAACTCACAACTTGCTTAGTTGGAGCTATTTTTTACGTTACTTAAAGTCAACTACAGCAAATTCAAACATATACCTTGATATTCAGCAGCTACACCTCCCATATTTCCATAAGAATAGCGCCTTACAAACGAATTGGGAGGAAGATCTTTCAAACCAAAGTTTTCTTCCTCTTCAGACCTATTGGCAGTTTGATTATTCATCTCAGCTACTGCTTGTTCAGGCCTAGCCATTTCCAAATCAATAACCCTGCCTTCCACAGTAAACCAGGAGTACTTCTAAGTGGACTTGACGAACAGCTGTTTCGTCTCATTTGCTTGCTCGTCAGAAGCAGATGACCAATGGACAAAATGGATTGACCGGACAGCTCTCCCGTGCTGTTTGAGAATCAACTCGAATTTCATTTACCTTGAATAAAATTTAGGGTTGTCTTTATGGTGTGTATGGAAACATAACAGCTCTTAAGTTGCAACCAGTAAGTTACTTCACATATCACAAAAGAGAAAGAATGAAACAAAACCTGCTCGATGGGAACGAAATTCGATTGTCCATTCAAGATGATTGGGATTGGCTTCACTTTCTCACAACAGGCTGTAACTTTAAGACGCCCTCTTTGGAAACAGAACTTTCGGCAACAAGAAACAAATAAAGCATTGTTGAGAGAACAACCTTGTAGACATTTTTTGAAAAATAGAGCAACCTATTATGTTTGTAAGCAACAGTCTTCCAAGGATGAGACGAGACCTGGGAAAGGACAGGAAGAGGCAACTCAAGCAGAAAGTAAGAGTTCCAAAATGCCAAGAACAACTCGGATTGTGGGCGATATATTTTTCTTCACTATTACTATGGCACTTTTTGTGATGACGCTTGTAGCCACTCTGTATCGTTTTTATCTCCCTCAGGGCTTATCCCCACCTTTTTCTTAAGTGAAAGTACTGTTAAGAAGGAAGAGTTCTGTGTCGAAAGGTTTCTTAACGTGTAAGGAAGAAACGAAATATGTTTTAGGCCTTGCCGCATTGCAAATAAATACGGACCAAAGTAGACACGTTCGTATTTATAAGAAACACGAAATACTGTCTCATATCAACAGTTTTCTAAATAAGAAGCAAACACACAAAACACTCCATAAAAACTGCACAAGACAAACAGAGTCTCTATATTCCACAACCACCACTCACTATTACTTCTCTCCTTTTATCATCTTTACCCAGTCACGGAAGATGGGAAGATCTTTGAGTTCCGGATTAGGAATCACGGTGGTTCCGAAACTATCATTGATAACAATAGTCGCAGACAAAACCCAAGCACTTATCGAACACAACATTCCCAATATTCCACCAGGAACCGAACTAATAGCACCAAAGAAATGCATGTCTACAAGAACAAGTTGCATTTCTAACGTCAAGAATATAATATAAAGCTGTATATTATGCGCCATCGTTGCAACGAACATATAAGTATTAAAAATGGTGTAACAAACTAGAATAAAACCTAGCGCCATGTCAAAGTCAGTTGTTGACAATAAATTCGTTCCATATTCTGCTTCTAACGTAATAAGAACGCCAAAGGCTAGCCAAAAGGCACCGTAGCTCGAAAATGCAACTCCACCAAAAGTATTTTGTTTAATGAAAGTCATGATGCCAGCAATCAGCTGTGCCGAACCTCCATACATAAAGCCTAGTGCAATAATACTATTTGTCAAGCCACTAGGTAACAACTTGGCATTGATACAACTCAGCATAAAGTCTGTTGCCGCAAAACCTGCCAACCCTAAGGCCTCTGGATGTCCCAAACTCACAACTTGTTTGGTAGGAGCTAAAGAACCAAGTCATTTAATGTTCATAATAACTCCCTTTTTATAAAACTCACGGTGGTATTCCTTTGACATGCCGCCCATATTTCCATACGAATAGCGCCTAACGAAGGAATTGGGTGGAAGGTCCTTCAAACCCAACTCTTCGTCTACAGAGTCATTATTTCTTGTATGTCGCGTTGCCTGTGCAGCTTGTTCTTCTTCAGTCATCGTAGAAACCATGTCCGTAGAAACGTTTGTGTCGCGTCTTCCAACAATACAAAAACAATTTAGTGCTTCAATCTCAAATTAATGCACTTTTGGAGATGGTGTAGAAATTACCCAGTATAAGACAGCTGTTCCTTGGGTCCGTTATGTATGACTTTACCACTAAATTCGTTCATTGTTTAACAATTATCACTCTATTTTTTGAAAAGTGTCTAGCATGGCAAGAGAAAGTCATACGTATTTCCATGTTTCAAAAACACAAGGAAGAAGAGTCCGATGGATCCATCTTCACCGCACATGGCGAACAACACGTGATGGCCGCCCTTAAGGACTGATCCCATGGACAAGGAGAGAAATTGGGGAATTCTAGTTTTTGGGAAGCTGAAGAAACCCTGTGAGCTTTGTTGATTGTTGTACTCGCGTTTGGTTGCCTTCAACTTGGTGACAATGGTTAGCGCCACTTTAAGTAGTATGTCTAGAGCCAGTTTATGGCTCACAAGGTTCTTTCTGTATACAGTTATTCTTGGTAGGATGCAATTAGTCGTTTACCTTATCCGTACTCAAATTATTGTGTGAAGCTTTCTCTATTGCTATAGACGGAGTAATGGGGAAGAAAGGAGACAACGTTTGGAACACAACTCTTTCGTACAATGGTAGCATTATTGATTTTTGTGCTTTTGGTGCCGCTTCAGTAACTTCCGGAGGAAACCCACACACTTGTATGTACGTCATAGCTCTAGCCTCGACAAGCTTTATCGTATATTTCATTCTCTGGGTGCTTACCATAGTGGATGTTTTCTACCGCTTTATGAGCAGATACTGGCCAGCGGAACTGTTTACCAATATATGGATGGTCTGTTGGTGGTAAGTTGTGTTTTCATACTTTGGTTTGTCAACCTTTTGAAATCTATTAAGGCTTATTGGTGCTATCGTCATTACCTCCCAGCGTCCGTCAACTTCCGTTGAAAATACTTTAGGAATCTCCAAAGATATTAAAGCAATAGAGGGTCTCGCCTGGATCAACTTCGTGTTTTGCATCTTTATGGTGATAGTCACTTTTACAAATGGTGCTATTGATACTCGGGACCGAGTTGACGCCACTTTTAGCAAAGCAGAGTATCATCAGCCTGCAGAACAGGCCGATGCGTAATACTGTGAATGACGCTTGTTTATTTGAGTTAGTGTTTAGAGTTTGTTTGTTTTTGATTGAATTGTGCGACGAATTCCTAATGTCCAGTTTCTGGAAACTCGCACGTTTGGAATGAAACAAGTTTCGTTTAAACGAATATCACTTGCCACAAAAAGTTGAGATGCACATTTCTCTTTCCAATTTTTTATTATAGACAAGCAATAGTTGCACAGGACTATACTAGTAAAACGGTCAATTCGAAGTACCCCAGAACCGTCTTGCACCACCTAAGACGTTTGCTGCACTCTCTAACACATCTTTCCTTCTATCTTCCCTCATTTCTTTGCGTTCAATGACCTTAAGGACTCCATGAATAAAAGTTGTATAAAACTCATTATATGCATACCTGTAAGACTTCATAATCCTTGGGTGCATACTGTCGCATTACAAAACTATATAAAACTCTTCAGAACAAATAGTTCAGATAAACGAATAGTAAATCTTACCGAATGACATAGTCAGGTAGCATAGCAAGTGAGACGGTAGCCAAAAGACTAAGCCAATAAGGAGGAGATTGAAATGCCCAACGTACCACACCATACATATTCGCCTGTTGAATGAGGTCGTTGGGTCTATTTTCAAAACGTCAACTGTGGAGCAATATTGAAATCAGCGACAACTTACTGAATATAACTATAAGCAATCATAAGAACAAAAAAGAAAACGACTGATAACCAAATGGCAACATGTGATATCCACACCCAATAGTGAGTATACAAACAGGCTTCTAATAAAATGATAATCACAACGTTGGTGAAGATCATCGTGCTCATGTCCCATAAACCTCCCACCTTTGAAAAAATAAATAAACGTTTATGACAAGAAGAATCTTATACTTACTTGGCCAATTGCTCTCTCTACTCCATTCGAAGAATGATATGCTCCATACGCACAAAAGAAACAAATCAAACTTTGGTAAATTGCCAAAGCACTCCAATACAACATTTTCTTTCCAGAAAAATATCCAGAATCTCTAAGCCCCTGATAAGCAGAGGGATGTCTCATGATTGTGGTTTCCGTAATGTCTTTTTCAAATGTTCCAAGTGCAAGTGGCGGCAACGAAGTTATAAACAGATTGAAAAATTGCAAAATCCACGAATCAATAATAGTTTGGCCTGAGAATTTGTTGAAAAAAGCAAACCATGCCTGAACCAACACCAACATCATGTTCTTATACAATGAATAAAATATCAACTTGACAGCTCGAATGAAATTGTATCTTCCATGGACTCCTAAAAGCCGACTAAGAAGATAGAATTGCCCAATCGCATAGTCAGAAGCCATAACGGCTTGCATTCCTTCGTGTCCTTGGATACCAATTCCCACATCTGCTTCCTGAATCATGGAAACATCATTCGCTCCATCGCCTACTGCACATGTAACCCTTCCTTGGGTTTTCACTAAACGTACAATTACTGCCTTTTGCAATGGTGTCGCTCTACAGCATATTACTGAAACACATTGTTCGGCAACAGTCAAAAATGTTTCTGGAATGTTCTTTAAAGCTAACGTTAAGGAAGTTCCGTCGATGACAAGAGTTGGTCCTCTTAATCTTTTAGAGGTGTCAGAAGTGGTATGAATTGAAGAGAAACCATTCCTTCGTCTTTTCCATTTTCCCTTTGAATGATTAAATTGTCGTGTTCCGGCAAGCGGAGTTGGTTCATCTCCTGATTCATTAGCCTCCTCATCTGTTGTGGTTGTCAGACCACTCCCACTTGAAAACAGCAAATCACTCTTCAAAGCCATTTCCAACTGTTGCATAACCTGCTCTGAAGTGTTTCCCTCTATACTAATCATCTTGTGTGGATCTACAACAATTGACGAACTAACTCCAATGGCCACAGCAGTTTCTCGCAAGTCACCAGTAACCATCCAAATGGTAATACCTGCCTGTTGAAGGAACGAAACAGTCTCTTGAACTTTGTACTGCAAACGATCTTCCACAGCAGAAGCACCCAACAGTGTTAAGTCATGTTCTACAAGCTCCCATGCCTGGGCAATCTTCAAGTCCCTGCTACTATCCATCGATCCCTGCGCACTTTCCAACTCCGAATGAAAATTCTCATATTCTGTTTCCGAAAGGAAGCGAGCTCCAAACACCAAAACACGAAGACCTTCATCAGCAAACGACTGAACATGTTTCTTTGTGACAGAAATCAGGTCCCGTTGGTCAAAAGCAACACTAGTGGCTATCTCTCCTCGATCAATGCTAAGTGAAACGTCTCTCATTTTATCAAACATTACAGATTCCGCTCCCTTTGAATAAAGAACTATCTTTCCTTCCGGCGTGCGTACAATTAACGACATACTCCTACGCGAAGATTCAAACTCAGCAATATCCAAGACTTGAAATATTTCTTCTGTTTTTTCATGTTCATTCAAAATGTGCAGACGTTGTCCTTGTCTCTTTATCAAGCGAAAACCATAATCACGAGCTGCCCTCACAAGAGCCACTTCATCAGGAGATTGAGCTGCATAATCGATTTTCTCGATATCATCAGTCAATTCACTTGTTTCACTAGGTTTCGAAGACTTGTCTGCTTTGTCCGCTTTTGTCTTTTTGAAAAATCGTAGCGCATTTCGTTTCAAGTTCTTCAGGTGCCAAGAATGCTTCTTCTCTTCACCACTTTCAAATTGGTTCGGAACATCAGGCGAGACTGTGTGACATACGCACATTGCTCTAAGAAATTCTAACTTGAAAGGAAAATCCGTATCCACAATGGGTGAAGTATGCTCTATGGGTGTCTCCAAAGTTCGGCCTTGGTTTGAACTTCCATCGTTCTAAAAGGAATCGTGAGTTAAATAATATGCGAGAAAATTGTGTTTTCTTACTGTAACTATATCGGTGCCTCGATAAATCCCAGAGTCTACTGTTTGTTTCTCGGTGAAGGCCAACTCTCCAAGATGATCACCCAAGCTGCTATGCTTTGTATAAAAGAGTTCACCACCAACACTACATTTCGAAAACTCCATTATATTTTCAGTCAAAGTGCCCGTCTTATCCGAGAACAAATGTTGTACAATACCAAGTTCATCATTAATAGCACTGGTTCTTGCCAACATTGGCTTTCGTTGCGGAGGAGACACAGAATTATCATAGCATGTCAGTTCATGATCCCATTCCATGAAGCACTTTTGCCAAAAGCGGGTCAACTCCAAAGAGATGATCAATGATATTGGGATCATATTGTACAATAGAAGAAAAAAGGTTCCCAAATGAGTAATAAATATCAAAGCTCCATTAGTTGGAAGGCCAGTCAAATACCATACAGAGTTGTCTTGGACTGCTGAAGCACATATGGCCCATATAAAACAAAGAATTAATAAGAAGTAAAAGATACTCAGAATGCAAGTATTCAGTTTCTTCTCAACGTGGGAGAACTTTGCTCTTTGATGTTGCTGATTCAACATTAATTTACACTGCTTCCCAGTATATACAACAACTCCATATGTATACTCCGTATTTCGCAAACGACAACCTCTTAATAACAAATTCTTTGCGTCCAACGGAAAGCGTTGCGAACCGTCAACTTCTGTCGAAGATTGGACAGGTGTATCCGCAGTCGAAGTTTTCATATGTCCGTCCACCATTCTTCCTGAACCATCTGCACCATCCATCACATACATTGCCGAATAACTTGTTTCTGGAGACAACTCCAACTGTCCAATAAACTTATACAAAGATGCATTGGGAGCCTCACATTTAATTGCACCATGAAGTGAAGATGTTTTACTTATAATCTCTTGATCCTGCGGTAAACCATTTTCGGAAGAATTCAACACCGCAACAAGACGCTTAAGATTTGTTTCGCCATCCAAGTTACTTGTCTCGACATAGACAGCATTGTCTTCATGAGATGAAAAGAGAGCAACAATATCAGACGGACACATTTGATCCTTTCCAAGGCGCACTATTTCTCCCACTCGCAAGTCATACGAAGGAACCGTTTTCAGTTCACCTTCTCTTATCACTTGATACTTGGTGCTGTTCGAAGAGCGATCCGCTAGATAACGATGATAGTCTTCGAAAGCTTCCTTGATTGCAGACAAAAGGACTACAAACGCCAGAGGAAGAATAGAACTGACTGGAATTCCATTCGGAGTATCAAAAGGAGTTATTCCGGGTATAAATTGAACGACAATAACGAAGAGAAAATAGAGATTTACGTATCTCCTAAACTGTTCGAAGAGATTTTTTGGAATGAAAGTCAACAAGGTATATTTCGTTGTTCTAATGTAATTTTTTGGATAGTTAAGATTGGCTTGGCCAATGTTTACAATTCGAACAGGTGACCCTTCACCTGTATCCAGCTAAAGACACAAAAGCTCTTGAGTCCCATACATTTCAAACTCATAAATTAAACCTACTCTCATAGAAGAAAAAAGGCGCTCTCTTTTTTTTAAAGCTTCCTTCCGTCGATGTTCAAGTCCAAAATCTAGCAAGTTCTTGGCGGGTGTAACTAGCTTCTCTTCGATACTCTTTAAAGCCTTGGTTCCTACACGTCCTGTTGGAGAAGACCAATAGCTTTCCTTCACGGTTTCTTGTCTAACCCCAGAAACACCTGGGACTTTGACACGACTCGAAGCACCATCCACTTGAGAACCTTCGTTCAAAGTTCGGCCGAGAGGTTCTGCTTTTCCTGCTCCGTACTCGAAGGCTCCCCTTGAAGCATCCCTGTCAACTGAAGCTGCAGCTAACTCTTCAGCTGCTGCGTCCAAAAGCTCAGGAAACTCCAAGTCTTCCTCGGAACGAAACAGAATTCGAGACATGTAATGCTTAAGAAAAAATTTGAGGAACGGGAGGAATTTGGATACTATAAAAAAATTTATACGAGAAACCAACAGTTGAGAAAGTTTTTCATATATCCTCACGACTCTCTTAGTAACTGTTCAAATCTTTTGCGTGCCTCTTCTATAACATTCAACTCTTGTTCGTATTTCGCCTATAAAGATATGGTTCTTTACTCATCTTCACCCCCTAATCTTTGTCAGCTACTTACCAGGTATTCCTCATTGCGTTGTTTCACTTCTTGTGGAACTTTTTCATATCCAGTTGCTTGTATTTTTTGCTGATATGCTATTTGGAGGTTAAAAAACTTGGTCGTCTTTTCACATAGACCATATATGCTCACCTTGAACTTGCAAACGTTTCTCTTGAGCCTTAGCTTCCAATTTTTTGAATTCAACGTCAAAGTCCACAAGTCCCTTCAGCAACAAGTATACCTTAAGCGTTATTAAAAAAATGTGACCAAAAGTACTTTTGATATCTGCCCTACTTCGCAACTATCATCCACTACCTGAATTGCACAGCCCGACGGAATCGAATCGTCTCTGAACGCTGCAAGAATATTAAGTGTGCTAGCCAAAGCCAAGGTCTGGATAATATCTTTTGTAGCCTCTCCTAGCTCCAACGATTGGGAGTCACGAACTCTAAGATACATTTCTGGTCGAATCTGTCGCTTCACATCGTAAATGGCTCGTAAATTTCTTAAAGCTTTGACTATCTTTTGAGCAAACGCAACATATTTCTCAGCCAATGCGTTATGCCACTAACTCTCTCAGTCAACCTTATCCATTGACTCTTGAATATAACCTACCACAGACTGAACAACAGGATAAGGAGCAATGGTAATGCTTTCGATATTTTCGTATTCTTTACGTCCAGGAAGTCTTTGATACAACTCTTCGGATACAAAAGGCATCAAAGGATGAATAAGTCGCAGTCCAATATGCAAGCACTGAAACAGCACACATTTGGAAGGGAACTTGTTTGATTCATCTCCAGAATTCATTTTCGGTTTAATTGCTTCCAAATATACATCGCAGAGCTCATATAACCAAAAACAGTAGGTGCTTTGAACTGCATCCGCAAATCGATATTCTTCAAATGCCTATACGCAAATGAACATTGAAAAATCTTACAGTCTAGAAATCAACAAACCTCGTTCGTACGGATAATAGTATCGTTCAACCGGGAGAGTATCCACTTGTCTATTAAATATTCATTCCCTCCATGCAAAACTGAAGAAAGACCGTTTTCATCATAGCGAAAAGATTCTCCTAAATTAAGAATAGCAAAGCGAGTCGCATTCCATAATTTGTTACAAAAATTACGATATGCTGCCACTCGATTGACATCCAAGTTAATGTCTCGACCCTAATAATATACACAAGGATGATTGCAATGAGATGATTCTTGCAAAATGTAAAGGGTGCGTACTTGAATAGTGTAGGCTAAAAGTCCATAACGAAGGGCATCTGAACCACATTCTGGAATGCCATGTGGATATTCTTGTTTCTGGCCTTCCATCGCACGTTTCACTTCTTTGGGATCCAAGTTGCCAGATTCTAACTTTTTATGTAATTGTTCCAGTGTAGCCCCATCGACAACTTCCAAAGGATCAATCACATTACCCAATGACTTGCTCATCTTCCGACCATACTTGTCTCGAATCATAGCATGTAGATAAACGGTTCTAATATCGAATTAGAACAATAACAAAACAAGGAACAAACACATTCTCACCTAAAGGGTAGTTCTCCAGTGAGAGTTAAGCCCAACATGACCATCCTAGCGACCCAAAAGAATAAAATATCATGACCAGTTTCCAACAAGGTAGTAGGATAAAATTGCTAGCAAAGATTGTCAACTTCTCTCATTATTCAAAAGAAAAGAAAATACTTACTTGGAGATCTCGCTCTTCTTTATTGGGCCAACCAAATACAGAAAATGGAAATAGTCCTGAAGAGAACCAAGTATCCAAAACATCCTCATCTTGTTTGAGGATGATAGATTCTAATGGAATGTCTTTCCGATGTTTGGTCAGAAACTCTCAAATGTTCACACAAGTTATGCTTACCAAACTTCTCAGAGGCCTTCTTTTTGGCTTCTTCTTCATTTCGGCCCACTATCCATTGTTGTTCCATTTTTCCGTACGCATTTCCTATTCAACACTTTTGAGTCATTCATGAAGGAATCACTCATTCATCTATAAACGAGTATTACCTGTCTTGCTGAATACTTGATATGCCGGAATACGATGGCCCCACCACAACTGTCTGGAAACGCACCAATCTCGAATGTTATCCAACCAACTACATATCTCATGAGATACACAGACTGACACTTTCAACTTCACTTACTGAAACCAAGTTTGTTGATGAAATTCTGGAATAATCTTCAATTCACCAGATATCGTTTTATCTTTCGCTTTCATGGCCATTTCAGAACAACGAATATACCATTGAGGTTTTAGCATTGGTTCAATAATATCGCCACTTCGAGAACACAACTGACAGGTTACATGAGCATGCCAAATGATTATTGAAAAAGTTGTATTTACGTACTGCTAGACGCATTGGATTTTCTTCCTTTCCGTAAAAAAGGCCTTTCTCTTCCAATGCCTTTTCTATGGCAATTCGAGCATCATATCTCATCATTCCTTTAAAAGGGCCTCCATTTTCGTTGATTCTTCCATCGTCTGTAAAAACTGAAATACTCTGCAGTTGATGGCGTTGTCCACATAAAAAGTCATTGGGATCATGAGCAGGAGTTATCTTGACCACACCAGTACCAAACCTAAAAGTATTGAAAAAATAATGGATATCGATCAACTTCGTCGAAAACACAGACATACTCCATATCTACTAATTCTTCATCTCCGATAATAGGCAATTTGCGAGATAAGAATGGATGAGTTACATATTTACCGATGAAGGATGCATAACGAGGGTCCCGTGGATGGACGGCAACTGCAACATCCCCTAAATGCAATGAATTAGAAATTCACTTACTTTCGTCAACTGTTCTTTCTTATTACCTAACATGGTCTCCAATCTAGTAGTCGCCACTATCAATCTCTCACCACCTTCTCTAGACTCTTCTTCAACAGGATAGGCAAACTTGGTTAACCAACCAAACTCCACTTCCTTATTATGACCAGGTACCTAATTCTTTCATGTAAACACTGCCGCAAATACTCTTCTATTGTTCATACCTTTCTTTTCAAAGGCTTCGTAATGTCCATGTATTCAACTTCAATATCGGATAGTGCCGTACATAAATGACAGCTCCAATTCACCAAACGTGTACCACTGACCAATCAAGCGAACGAAACATTGAATTTACTCTTTCTCTTAAAGTTCTATATACTATTACTTACCGATAGACCAATCCGATTTCATCCAATCGAACAAAAGCTTCCACAACTGCTTGAGAAAGCCTATTGGAAAGGGTGAACTGTTCTCTTTTCCAATCGACAGAGCAACCCATTCTTCTCAGTTGATTACATATTCGATCACCATAATTATGCTTCCATTTCCAAACCTAGACAATAAGTTATTTGCTTATGTCCTTTATCTATATGCTTACTTCTTCTATGAATTTTTCACGACCCAAATCATGTCTCGTTTTACCACTTTCGCGAAATATTTTCTTTTCCACAACAGATTGCGTCGCTATACCTGCATGATCTGTTCCAGGTATCCACACAGTCAGATACCCAGACATACGATACCAACGTGCCAAAGCATCCTAATCAAAAAAGTTCGTGTTCCATAACAGTCCTAAAATGAGTACGATACCTCAATCGCTATCGTTAAGGCATGACCGATATGTAGAGAACCAGTTACGTTGGGCGGTGGAATAACCATAACAAACTTTCCTTTGTACTTGGAAGAGTCTACTGAATTATCGACATGAAAATAATTTTGAGCCTCCCACCATTCATACCAACCACTTTCCACCAACTGACAACAGCAGGTAGTCAACAAAATATTATTTTTCATATGCACGCTTACTTTTGGTTGATAGGCTGGAGGAAAAGGATTGCTAGTATCTTTCTTTTGTCCTGGTATAAAGTGGGCAGTTTTCACTTCTTCTTGAGACACAATCATATTTGGCTGGAAAAGGGAATAAATATTTCTTCAGAAATGACTGCAAAACTCGGTAAGATTGTTCACTACCTTTTTGGTTTGTTTCTTGTTGGTCGTTTCCGTTACGTTATCTGCTGACTTGACTTGAGCTTTGACTGCTTTCTTCTCCTCTTTCAACGCCATCTTTGCAAGCTTTTTTTGTCTTGCTTTTGGAAGTTTTTGTCTCTCCTCTTCTGTCATTTTCAAATATTCATCTAAAGACACAATATTTTCTGTTTGATCGTTATCATCTCTCGTCGCTGGAGTATTCTGCATAGTTGTTTTCCAAAACTCCTTCTTACAAGTTGAACTGTTACTATAACGAAATAATAGTATACGAGTTGACCTGAATGGTTGAGCTTTATTAGAACTGGAAATACTTGAATGAAAGACGTTGACACCCAACGGCAACAGTTTACTGACGCCAACAATGCAACGATTCCACATGTGACATTGGCAAGTAAAATCAATGACTGGTAGATTGAATGCCATAGAAGGATTGAAGAGTGGATACGATCCTTTTTCAAAGCAAGTTATACTATTCTATAGCATTTTGTGTGTGTGTGTGTCATGACTTGTTCGACACAACTTGAACCCTTTTCCCAAAAAAAAGCCTCAAATGAAGAAGGCCTCACCACTGCTTTATAAAACAATTATTTTGGACGCCCCTTTTCGAAAATTTGAAATTGGCACACAATGAGTCGTCATTCACACCACAGTCCTTATCAAGAAGACTTACAGTTAACAGGTGACTGGGACTTGAAGTTTCTACAAGTGGCACAAGACTTTGGTGATATTTCCAACTCCCCTTTGCTCAACATAGAGACCAAAGAAACAACGCCTTTATCATCGGTAAAGTCAAGCACTAAGAAAAATTCTTCCTTGAAAAAACAAATATTCAAAAATCGAACAAGCGAAGAAAAGCCTAATATGGGTTTTCAGTCACCAATGCGTACCACTGGAACGCCTTCTACGCCTTTCAGGAAAAAAGTGGCGTTCGAAAACCCCGAATGTTCTACTCCCTTATCCAATGCTATGTTGGAGGAAAAGTTTTCTGCTGTTGAAAAGGAAAGATTGATAGCTTACAGAAAAAAGTTGGAATCCTCTGAAAAGGAATTGAAAAAAATGAAAAGTACTTTAGCTGATGAACAGAAAAATTCCCAACAGTATCAATCCACTATAGAATCACTAAAAGTAAGAATACAAGAATTAGAAAATAGATCGTTGCAATCGTCCTCCAATCATAGTGCGATAAAAAATAGACCTTCGCCTCAACTGAGTGTAGAATCACCAAATATACTACAGATTGATTCTGAACCTGAAAATCAACATCAAAAAGCAAAAGATGCAAGTGAGTTGATCCAGAAACTAAGTATTAAGGAACACGAATGGGAAGAGTCTGTAGAATATAATCGTAAGCTTGATACTCAAATCAAAGCTTTAAGTGAAGAAAACGAGAAATTAAAGGAGCAGTTGCAGCTTTCTTCTAAACAGATGCAAGAACAAATTGATGAATTGGCGAACCTTTGTGAACAAGCATCTAACGAAAACGAAATTCTTATACAAGAAGTTACATCTTTGAAGTCCACATTGGAAGAGAAGGAAAAGAATGAACAAGAACTACATACTCAATTGAATATGATGAAAGAAAAGATAGAAAGCTCTTCACAACAGGAACAACAGATGCAAGTCAAATTAGAACAAGAAAATAGTGACTTGAAGAGACAACTGGAAGAAACGACAAGAAGGCTTGAGAAAACCTTGGAGGAGATAACTGAATTAAAGACAGAGAAACATAGTTGGGAGGAAAATGGGTCTAATTGGAAGCAGCAACTTGAAAAACTTGAAATGGAAAACGAGGCTTTACAAAATCAAATCCAAGATATTCATCTGACATGGGAAACAGAGAAAGGAGAATATGAAAGCTACAAGCAACGTCAAGAGGAATACATAAAGAATCTTGTTGAACAAAAACAAAACATTCAAGATGAGTTCACCGAGACAAGGGGAAAATATGAAACCTTAAAAAGCACCAAAACTATCTTGGAAGAGAAAATTGAATCCATGAAACAGGAGATGGATGCCATGAAACAAAAGGAATCTAAGTTGAATGAAAGGTGGGAAACTACTTGTCAAGAAAACCAATTCACCAAGAAAAAACTGAATGACAGTCAACAAGAATATGAACGACTCCAGCAAGATTATGAGAAGCTCCAAGATGATATGAAACAGAGAGAAGAAAGTAATGAGAGAACAAGAAAGGAGCTTCAGGAACGAGTTCATGCACTTGGAAATGAGTTGGAAGCTACAACACTAAAAATGCAGAGTCTGAATGAAGACATGCAACTCCAACACGGACAGTTTGATGATCTAAAACAGGAAATGGAGCAACTCACCAAAGAAAAGAAAGAATTGCAAACTCTTCTACAAAAAGAACGAGAGGAAAACGAACAATTAGAGAAGAGTTTGGTGGAAAGACAAAATGAAATAGAAAAGTATCGATCCCAATATGAAGAATTAGTGGAACAGTTCAACAAGAAGATGCAATCTCTTGAATCTGATGACGGTAATGAAAGACTCGAAGATAGAGTTGAAGAATTATCCTTACAAGTAGTTGATCTGACAGAACAGTTGCAAAGACTTGATGAGGAGAATAGCAGACTGATTTCCGGTGATTCTCAAACTAAGCATAAAATACAATTCGTGGCAAAATTGAAAGAAGAAAATCGTCAGTTACGCAATCAATATCTTGAGCTACAAAGTCGTATGCGAGAACTTCAGCGTAAACTTGCGCCAACACCTGCAAAACCAAAATATCGTTTGCCGAACTCTTCCAAGTCTATTGAAGAAGAGAACAGAAGCGGTACCAAAAAGAAAGAAAATTCCACAAGTGGCTCTAAAAAGGAGAGTTTGCAAGAGACTCGTAAGCAACGTCAAAAGGAACACCCTTACTTGACGAGGTCTCGCGTTCCTAACCTAGACAAGGAAAATGAACAGAGCAACTTGTGACAAGTCTCTCGCACTTTGTCTCTAGAAGAGCTTCGCCACGTCTTTTGTTCAACCCACTATTTGTTTCGGATTGTGGATAAAAACTATTCGTACATTCCTCATGAGACTCTATCCTGTCATATGTCCAAATGTACTAAAGACCAACACTTGAGAATTTTCATGGCCACTTGGTTTGTTTCTTGTTGTAACACATGTCTATTTATGTAGAACGATATTGCTATATATTACAATGTTTTTTCAAGTCTATTATGGAAAACGCAATAACTTCTTCATCGACAGCAATATGATGAAAAGATTGACTCTAAACACTCAAAATCTATGCACATTCAATTAAGGAGCTTCTTTGGACACATCCTGTGCTTCTTTCTTTGAAGGACGAATCACTCGCGCAGGCATTCCGGTCCGCCATGACTGAACCAGTGTTTCAGCAACTCGAGTGGCTTCGATTGCATCATGAATATTCGCAAAATGACTAACTGACTCTCCACGAAGCATATCCACAAATGCTTGCATCTCATCTCGAAAGGCAATACGAAAACGTTGAGAAAAACTGGGGCAAATGTCTGTGGATGCCCTACCAGCCTTTAAGGTGACCATAGGCGTATCCTTTACTTCACCAATTTGTATCGTTCCATCTGCTGATACTAATTCGGATGTGACATTATAACCATAACGCAAAGAACGCGATAAATGCATAAAGCAACGAGCTCCCGATTCCATTTCCAAAATACACAAAGCAGTATCCGATTCGCCCATATCCTTCAAGTGTGGATATACCAAAGCATCACAACTAGCAAAGACCCTTGCTACCTCACTTCTTAATAACCAACGGGCAAGGTCTGAAGAAGTGTCATTCAAAATGAAGCACGTTCAAAGATACTTACCGATATCATGTACTGCAAGGTCTAATAAAGTAGAGTTAAAACCCAAGTCACGTTGATATTTATCTGGAAAGTCAGGATCACCACTCGTACACTTCAATACCAAAGATTTCCCCATTGCTGATCTACGAGTTTGTTCCTGAAAGTCAAAGTCATTTTTCCGTTCATAGAGGAAGATAACTACCTACCCATGCACCCCGATAACAAGGATCGAATCTTCTCTGAAAACCTATGACACACTTCACACCAGAAGATTGCACTATTTCTTCTAAATCAGCAACAGCTTCCGTGGAATATCTTATATAACTAAGTAAAAGGATATATAAACTGAATAGAAAAAACGAACCCTAAAGGTTTCTCACAAAATATGGCTTTTCCGTGTTTGGCTGCCAAAGCAACTTGTTTGGCATGATCTCGTGGTTTCGTGGCTAAAACAACTGCTTCTATTTCCTTATCTGTTATTGCTTCTTCGTAATTCTGAAATGTCCTTTTTAGTTGAAAGCAATCAGCAAGAGAAGTGAGAAGACAAGTCAAGACTCTCACCTAGCAGCTCTCAGTTCCTGCCCCAGATTCTGTAAAAGTTCCTTTCTTTTACACGCCAAAGAAAGCTCTACACCAGGAAACTTTACCAAGTTACGAGCGTGAATGATTCCCATCTCTCCTAAACCTAACACACATATTCTTAAACGACGCAAAACACTCGTCATATCTCAAACAATCACTGCCAATTCGATCTTTAAGGAATGAATGTAGGATAGAGTCATTATCAGCTTGTCATCGGTATTTGTCACAAATATATTTGTATCCATAAGTTTATTTCCAAAAGAGTATATTCTCATTGTTTTTATGCATGGAATAGAGAAAGGTGGACATTATGTTTATCTTTAGAATGGCTTTTGAATGAGATACTTTTCTGATATTCAATTGGTTTTACATAGAATAAAAATTCTTATGGGAATTCTTTTCTTAGATAGAAACTGAACGCATCACAACAACATATATCTCATTTCTCCTTGTCTCATAAGAACAACTGTAGAAATGATTTGTTTGGGTTATCCATCGGCCACAAAAGTCGATTCTTTGTCTCAAGCAAATTTGCTTCGGGACAGTATTTGATAGATATATATACATATATGTATATCTACTAATATAGTGTCCTTTTTTTATGTCAACTGGATATTAGCAAAAGATGGTGCACAGTGCAAAGGAGAAACTCAAAAAGCTCCCATATATTCAAGAAGACTTGGAACAAGGTTTTTTGGAGTCTTCTATGTCTAGAAGAAGATTTAGTCGACTGTCTTCTAAAACTCAACTCAACTTCCAAACCACTTTAACGGGATCATCCAACACAAGTAATTGTAAGGGGGAAGCCATGAATAGTAATAATACTTTTTCATACAGTACAAATATTTATCAGTTGTTTTATTCCTTCCTCATTTTCTTGAAAACGTTACACCACAACTACTCTTTGACAAGCAACCAGAACCCTTTTTGCAAGGACAATTACAGCAAACTAAAGTATTTGGTTCTTTTCTTGAGTTTTGAATTCAATATGACTGCCTCCTATTGCGTTTCTTCTGTAGCTTCCAACTATCGACGTACCATGCTTTTAGAATTGTCAACATACCGGATCGTTCAAGGATTGAATATCTCGAGTTTCTTAGTAAGTTTTATCGCCTCCATTATGTTGTTTACTGCTGTTATTTCAATGATACGAGAAAAGCAACAGACCACTACACCACTGCTGCAACTGGAGAAAATGAAGACCTCGACATTTCTTATTGGAGCGGAACAAATGAGTCATGTATTGTTGTTTCTATCCTGCTTTCATTTTACAGTTGAAATGAATCATAACAGAATAGAAAGAAATGATCACTTTGGACTCATTGCTTTCACAGGTGGTTTCGTTATTGCCGCATTATTTGTGCACAAGACAATATCCTCTCTTTTAAGGCATTCGTTTTGGCCTATCATGGAATTTTCTCCTACTTGGCTTTCATTTTTGGTTTCTGTATTCAACATCTTCAGTGACACCAATATTATGTTTCACTCTATTATAGTCTGGGAAGGAAACTTGCAGGAATCTTGGTTACTTCTACCTATCTCCACCTGGTATGATACTCATGATCACTTCAATTATCACTCGATGCTACAGCAGCTGGGCTCCTTGACCTTATCCATGTTAATTGCTTTTCTTTTGGAAGTTATGAAGATTGGGCTACTTGTTCGTTGGCAAGTATGCTTTGTAATGACATCCTACTTATCTCGTTTTGGAGATAAAACGACTTTACGCTCAGAGTGGATTTCTCACCTGTTTTATCGATGTCTTATTGTTGCCTCCTGGATGGGTTGGAGTATGATTCTATCATTGACTTTGGGAACTGCTAGCTTTGTCAGCGTTATAAGTGACTATCCTTTTACAATGTCGTGGTCTTCTTTTTTCTCAATCTTTCTTTCCTATTTATCTCATTGGATTACCATTCTCATCTACGCTGTCATGATATTTGCTCATCAAATCTCCCCAAGAATGAGTTGCTCTAGTGGAGCCACTCAATACAAATGGAGCAAACTCAAATGGCTATTTGTATCATTTTGTATCTTTCTAAGCAGTCATCCCATTACTCGTTATTTTCTAATGAGTTGGTTTCCTGCACTATTTTCTACCTTCAAGGAACTGTTGTGGATAACGACAAAAGTGATTCCCTTTTGCTATTTATCATTCATTCTTTATGATGAAGCTAAGCCATTTATTTATTTATCTTTTACAAGTCGTCAACATTCGTTGTTACTCTAAATTGGCGCCACAAGACGGCATTTTTCTCCTGGAAACCTTGTCTCATTGGGAAGATTTTTTGGGAGGCAGAGTAAGTAGGTGGAAGGAACAATTAAGCTTGGAAAAGAATGGTTTGTATACTTTGCCCTCATGTCACAGAAATAATAAACTACTGTTATCCAGGATTGGTGGAAAACCCCAAGTCAATCATCTTTTGCTTCCTTGTTTGAGGCATTATTTCCTGATACCTTGGCAGTTTGGTTAACTCAACTACCGATGTTTCCGTTTCTCGTGTTTTGTCATGTTCTTCAAGTTATCCTGAAACTCGATCAACTACCTGGATTTGCTCAGCAATATTGGTTGAAAACCTATGTTGTCTCGTTTTGTGTAGCTTTTGGTGGCAGCACTATTGCCCATATCCTTTGTGGGAAAGTGGTTCCTTGGTTATCTTTTCCCAACGACCGACTGGTTGCTACAACCTTTGTTGCTTGGTGGTTGGTTCACTGTCTTCCTTGGTTTCATTTAGTTTCTCGTTGGAGCTTAGTTCGAGCAACTATTGCTGGATTAGCTGCGGTTGCAAAAGCTCGTTCCATCATGCAGTTCATCGATGATGTCCACAAATGGTTTCCTATTGGTGGAGGTGTGTTAGGGAATGTAGTTTTGGGTACTATTGCGGGTTGTGGTGGTAATCTTTTTCTCATTGTCGAAGAAAAGTGGCGAGTTGGTTCAACTTGCAGTGTATCGGAGCTTTCTCGTCCCACCCACAACCTCAAGTCAGCATTCTGTATTTCGTTGATATACACCGTTGCTCGACGGAAAAGATGGCAATACGGTAACTATCTTTCATTACAATGGGAACCGTGGTTACCGTTATCCCGTGTTTACAAGTGTATTTGTTTGTTTATGTTTGTTCACTCGTGGGTGGAAGAATATACTGGCTGTGTTCACTTATTTGGGCTGTTGTTATCACCGATTGAGCAAATGGCTTGTTCATTGTTTCGTATCCGTGTAACCGTTGACCCCCGAACAACAAGTTCTGTGGCAACCGTACATGAGGTCGTGGATTCGACGAGTACTAGTTCAATGAAAACCACCAGTGCTTTGGCATACGTAAAACAGTATTCACCTATGAAAGGGAAGACAAGTTAGATTCTAGAAATTATTCCTAGGAATGAATAATCTGATAGAGAAGATGTGTAGAAGAAATTGACAACAAGAATCCAGTTTGTACAAGGAAGAATCCCCTTTTTTCTCTCTCTCTCTCTCTCTCTTCTCTGTGTGTGTGTGTGTGTGTGTGTTGTATAAGCAATGATGATCCAGAAATATGCTATGTATGTATGCACTATGTTCCGTCGTCCCCAAAAAAAAGGTCCTTGATTTCTGATCGCTTTATTAAAAAAAGACGAAGAGCAGAGGGAAAATATATTTCAAGTCCCATCATATGTTTTCATTATATACTATCTACCGGTACTATCTTCATCCACAATGTCTTCGATATGAAAACCAAAGTTCTCCTTGGCAAACTCTTCCGAAATATCATGATGGTCATTCCCACCAAACAACATATTACTCGATGCAGACGAATGGTTCCATAGACCACTAGTATTCAATGCACGGCCACTACTTATCTCGGTCATATCGGGATAACTAAAGGAAACCGATTGCACAGGTTTGCTACCTGCATAGTAACCACTAAGATGGTCGCTCAATCTAGTGACATTATCCATAAAAGTACCAAAGCTAACCGACTGGTCCGACTTAGTATCCTGTAAACCATTCACGACACCACTGGGATGTTCCACTTCCAATGGAGATGATGTCGTATAGAATTGATCCAATGCAACTGACGTGTGAGCGACATGTCCATATGAAGAGGTAACAGAGGAAAGTTGTTTCTTAAAAGTCAAGGGATTCGGTGACGATGAACTAGATGAAGACGATGAAGAGGAAGAGTGCCTAGGTTCATGCTTGAAACGATGGTTACTTGTAGCTTCAGAAACTGTTTCCTCTTCTCTTCTACTTGGTTTATCCACAAGACGAGTCAAGGCTCCTCTTTCTCGTAATGTTCGCAGTTTCACCCATTCCAACCATTCCATATTTTGGCAAACAACAACATGCTTGCATTTGTTACATATTGCTTCATTTTTATCCAACCAAACATAATGGTGGATACAATTGCATTCCTCACTTGTTTCATCTTGCGCGATATAGCTTGTTTGACCAGTATTCTCTTCACTGGATGAGTAGCTACGCAGCACTTCTAATGGGCTGTTGGATAAATGCAAATGACGTGATAATCTTTTCTTCGACACCTGATTGTTACGGCTTCTCTCATTCACAACTTTTTCGTTATAAGAACCTGAATCTTGCCTTTCCTCTACTTTGGTGGAGTCTTCGGCATCCGGGTAAGACAAACCATTATCCGAATCAATACCTTCATAGGTTTTTGTCATTACATTGCTTGTTTCCAACTTGGAAGAGCTCAACTCCATCCAAACTTGTTCTTGAATACGAGCCTGACTATCCATCAACCGTTGCCTTGCATGTTTCCAGGCTGATTCACATTTCTCTGCATCAAACAAAGAACCAAAAGTAACCGCCTCATCACCATATTGATCTTCAGCCAATGATGCTACAAAATTTTCCACTGCCTGCGATATAACTTTCGGGTCATCACATTCACTTTCTGAGAGTAGTTTGGACCGACACCATTCACCCAAGCGCTGTGCCAACAAGTGACCGCTTTCAATCAACTCTTCTAAGCCGTCATATTTCTTCGCTTTTTTACATAAAACACTCAAACGACGACCATCTGGCCATTTTTCCACCGACTCTGGAGCAGCTTCCAGCAATTCCCTTGTCTCGTCCAAAAAGGTCTCCAACTGAGACTTGAAAAAAGTTTGTCTTCTGAGTTGTTCTATAACAACTCTTGCTTCCTCTGCTTCCTTTATCATACCCAGAGATTCCATTTCCTGTTTCCACTTGTTCATCATTTCCAAGTCATTCGACTCTACTGCACTCTGAAATCGTTCACCTACAGCTTTTGTGGCACGCAACCTTTGTAAATGTCGTTCTACTTGTTGAATATCACGCGCTAATGCATTCAGACCCAATGCACGAATACTATCCAATTCACCTTCAATATATTCTTCGTCTTGTAAGCTACCAAGCTGCCGCAATCTTTTTCGTTCACCTTTCACAATCTTCACAAGTTTCTTCTTCATCGAATCCATGACTGACTTCAGTTCAACTGATACATCTTCCGAATGTTGCGATATAAACTGTTCCATGTCTTTCACCAATTGTTCTACTTCACAATATGAGGAAGTTGTGGTTTCAGCAGTTTCCAAGTAAGGATGTGCTTTTTTAATAAGTTTTTGTTCTTCTACTGCTTTCTTACGTTGTTCTGCCACTGCTTCTTCCTTTTCTTTTTCCTTTTCATGAAACCATATTTCAGCACTTTCCAACACCGAATTCATGTCTCCAAAGATTTTTGTGCATAACAGTGCCGGCAGACAACTAGTCAACTTTCTGCCTTGTTTGATCAACTCCTCCACTTGTTCCATCTGTTTATTTGTTTGAGCACCCTGGAGACATTTCACCACATCCATTGCTTTTTTGATTCTCTCATTCATTTCAAGTGCCTCTTGATACAACGCGTCTTGAGTCATTCCTAACCTTTCCGCTCGTTTCAGCGCTCTTGTCAATGCTTTATGGTCACCAATCTTTTCTACCGAGGACAAAGCTTCCGACAACTGTTTGCGTGCTTGCTCTTGACTAATTTTTCTTTCCATTTCCAATTTCTCTTCTCTCCAACGCCTTTCCTCTTCTTGGATTCTGGAAAGAGTATCACGAGCTTTTTGGATGTTCTTACTCAAATGATATTCAAGTTTCCGCCCGAAGGAAAACGGATGATGAGAATGATGACTCAAGTCATTGACAAGTTCTTGAGGTTTATTCACAGCTTCTGAAGAACCATTACTCGACCAGCCTTCCATAATACTCTGATGAAAAGACCCTGTTTTGTCATCCAACCCCGTAGAAGATGATTTAGATGATTTGTCTTCCTTTGGAACACTAACGGGCTGAGAATCGGGACGTAGCGCTGCAATCTGTAATAACAACTTGTTTGCGTGGGCAATCGATTCCGTCAGTTTCGGAATGGACTTGCAGTTAATTGCGTCATCTAACTTTGTCAAAACTTCGTTAGCTTCAACTTCCTTTCGCTTTCTTTCACGTTTGAAAAAATCTTCACCATTAACATTTCCACCTTTACCAACATCTCGTTGTGGTCGTCTCTTGGTAACCACTGTTGATGACTGACCAGTGGTTCTACTGGAGCTGCTTGGTGTGTTCAAACTAGAGCCTTCTAATGAAGAAGAGCCATTCATTTGCGAAGACTGCTGGAAGGAAAGGGACCGGTCACACGAATTAGGTACTGAATCAACATTCTTATTTTCTTGCTGGGATTTTAGCTGTTCCACTAACACGCGCAACATTTCTCGGTGACCAAATCTAGCAGAGAACTGAACAAGTGTGAAACTCATCTTTCCCAAAGTTTTAAGTTTATCATCCACAGTTGCTCCATAGTTCAACAACTTTTTTACACAAGCGGTGTGCCCATTAAGAACTGCCAAGTCCAATGGTGACCAGCCTTTACTCGTTTTCACATGAACATCCGCATTGTGTTGAATCAACAAGTCAACAATGTCCGCATGCCCTTTTGATGCTGCCAAGGCAAGAGGTTGCAAGCAATCGTTCGTTTCATGATCCTTGTGAATCAAGAGTTTAAGGTTAGCCGTTTGGTGTACGGAACAACCAAAATCGAGAAGAGTGCGTGCACTAATATGCTATATAAGCAAATTTCAACTTGACAAAAAAACCTTCTTACCATTCAAAGTCTCCATTCTCCACAGCAATAAACAACAAAGAACCTCCTTGTGAGGCTCCTCCTCCTAGAGTGCTAACTCCGGTAGAAAGAATTGCGCCATTCTCCATCAAGCACTTGACCACTTCTACATGACCTCCTCTGACTGCATAATGTAAAGGCGTTGTTTCGCTCGAATTCTTTATGTCCACTTGTGCATGTCCTTCATGAATGAGAGTTCGAACACACTCTGACTGACCATAAATAGCTGCAAGATGCAATGATGATAACTGTTGTTCATCTTGAAGATTAGCGTTGGCACCGGCTGATAACAACATTTGAACAACTTGACTGTGACCTTTCTGACAAGCATGGAATAAAGGAGTCTGTCCTTTAGCAGACTTCACATCCACTTGGGCTCCACGTTCTAATAAAAGAGATACAATGCGAGTATAACCAGAAGACGCAGCTAAATGTAGCGCAGTAAGGCCATCCGCACATCGGGCTTGGGGATTAGCACCACTATCCAACAATATTTGACAGCATCGCAAGTAACCTTTGAACGATTATTTCGTCACTCTCTACGAACGAAGCACTTACTTACCTTTGTACGCTGCCCAAGCCAAAGCTGTCAAACGTTTACGACCAAAAGTTGCATCGAGCTCCGGTTTACATTTTCGAACAATCATCTCCACACAGAGAGGTTTTCCCAACTTGGCTGCCAACACAAATGCTGGCAATGACGTTTCCGGCATAGAATTCGAATGATTGGAACGACTATTTGACTTGTTCCCAACCGGTCGAACTGCTGCGGGGGTTTCTATCGCTGCGCTTCGATCACTCCATTTCATACGTGAAAGTATTGCAGCCAAACAATGAGAATGTCCCATGCGAACCGCTCTTCCTAATTTTCCAGCAATATAACTCGAGAAGAAAGTTGCCCAGAAGCAACCCAATCACNAAAATCACAGGCACCTAAAGGTTGCGAGAAGGCTTGTGTCGGGTCTGTTTTGGTTTCAGAGTTAAGTTTCGACTTTTTATCCACTAGAGGATTAATATCTGTGCAAAGGACACACTGGCAAGGTGTCAATGCTGGAGGAAGTAAATCATGATCACTTATGTCGTCATCCAGTTCGGAACAGATAGACTCTTCTGACTCCGAATTTTCGTACTCTGTCGACTCTTGTACTTCTGGTTTGAACGTCGAGATCCGCTTTCGTATATTTACAGAATTTGCTATAGATTCGGAACCAAAAAAGGTTTGAATGATAGACAAAGCTCGTCTAACAAGCTCCATATTCGAGCTTTGTGCTAACATTTCAATTTTTTCTACTCCATTGCATTCGACTACCAGTGCTGCGTAAGGATTATATCGCTTGCCATATGTTCTTGCCAACTGTTCTCCTACAAACAAAACATTTCTCAAACCTTTTAACGCTATGGAAGAAATTGTACTGCAGCACTTCCAGAAGACATCCAGTTCTTTGGTAGAGTCCAACAAATTACAAAAGGAATTGATACCTCCCTTGTCCACAAGATACTGAATCTGACCTTCATCAAAGTTTGCGGTTATATTATATAAAACCCAGGAAGCATCTTCTCGACAAGCCACGTCGCTATTATCTATCAGTTCAATGAGAGTAGGCAATATATCTGCCTCGATGACATCTTCCACTTGATGAGCAGATTCAGTAATATTGGATATAATCCAACAGCACTCCTTTCGAATTCCTTTCTCCGGGCTTGAAAGAAGTGCCTTCAAACAGGGAAGTGCATTACAGTCGATTATGATTTGCGTTTGTCTGTCATCCCCACAGGCAATATTCCCAATTACTTGTAAAGCTGCACTTTGAACAGCAACCGAGACAGGGAATCGAACGCCGTCACTCTTTTGTTGGGGTTGCAATAAAGCAATGAGTTTCGGTACCACGTCTGTCTCTAAAATAGCTTGAATTCTGTCGTTCTGGATACCGTCACCAAAAAGCTGACAAAGTCCCAAGCAAGTTTCCCTCAACACTTGTTCATCCTTGCTTTCCTCCAGTAGTCGCGCGAAAACTGCGGCTGAAGAACGTACCTAGAACGATTCGGTTGTTAGTAGTGTTCCCTCCTATGCAAATACAGAGCACTTACTTTAGCTAGAGGCAGCTCTGCAAAAGTTTCGTCCATGCTTGCCAAGTTTGTAGAACCCAACCCCAACCGGTCTTCCGCCACTGCCCGTGCTTCAGATAAAAGTCGAACAGCGGAGTTGGTGTCCATAGACAAACTACTGAGAGCTTCGTCGAATTCTTCTGCCAAGGAATCCAACGTGAGTGTGCTATTATCTTCAGAGTTTCTTTCCAAGTGCAAGTCTTCTCTAGACAGCAGCTGTTGCAGTTGTGCCCGTGCAGTAATAACCTGAGGTTCCAAATTCGCAAAGTTGTAGTTATCCAACTGTTCCTTTGAAGTAGCCATAATCTTTTCTTGTTTTCTATGAGCAAGAAAAGTAGCTCCAAAATTAACCTGCTGTATCACTCGCGGGTTGTTTCAAGTTGTGGCTATTCGGTTTTGCATGCACACAAAAAGGCCCACGAAAGAGGGAGAGTCAAGAAATGAATGAATGGGAACAGTGAGTGTTTCTTTCCTCTTTCTCACACATAGATGAGTTGGCTATCGTCATTTCAATGCTCTAAAAGTACTCTTATGAATACAATAATCAACTTGTAATTTCATGAGTAGATTATTATGAGGAACCAATGATGAGAACGGAGAGATAGTTGTCTAGAAACTTGCACAAACTCTTTTATTTGAAGCAAATGGAAACTACGAGTTGACAAGTGATGCAGTAATATGTTTAGAATATCCCAAACATTCCATACATTTGATGAATAAAGAACCATCATTCTTTTTTCAATGGATGGCCCAAAAAGTAGTATTCCATAAATATATCGATGCATTGGATGAGGACCATCCGATGAGACTGAGAAAAGTCATCTCACATTGTGAGACAAAGTTGATCAACTCCTAACCCGTCATTATTATATCTCTAGATTTCAATAGGTTAAATGTGACTTTTGAAAACTTTTAGTAGTTGGTTGTTGCTTTCATAAGCTTGTTATCTAAAAAGAAATGCTTTCAGGATGGATTGATTGATTGATTGGACATCTTTGATGAATTCCACGTTGGAGCGAGACTTGAAAGAATATCAAAGACTTCAGTCTATCAAATATTACAAACAGAAATTGGAAAAGCCTCGTCCAGTCACACAGTTTATATTAGGTCGAGCAAACCAACCAGATGTATTACACAAAGGTTTGGAGCCATATATTACGTTGGCGACACAGCGCTGGTTGCAACATAGAAACCAGATTTTAACAGGTAATCAACCACAAGCAAGGCATTATAATTCCTCAAAACTACTATCTGAAAGAAATAAGCTCGGAAGAGTTGGTCTTGAAGAGCAAATAACTGTTACTGCCACCAACAACTGGCTGTGTCAACTTCCTCTAACTATCACTCAAACAGTTTTGCAAAGTGGCCCGTTGTATCGAGAAATGGCTTCTACAAAGTATGATAACTATTTGCAAGCTCTGGAGAGTACTTCTAATCAACTGAAGAAACGTTTCCGCAGTGAATATTGCAGAAATGTCGTTCACACTCAAATACCCATCGGAAACGATAGCAGTCCTCAAGTGTTGCAAACAATACCACAAGAATATGTTGAGTTGGCAACTTGGCGTTATCAACAATCTGTGAAAAGACATAGTTTGGTTTCCTCAGAAAATAAGGAAACTAATCAACACTCCAAGTTGTTCACCTATTCAGGAGGAAGGCTAGGAGGTGGACACGTTCCTTTGTTTCTAGGCGGAGACTATTTCAATATGGATACAATAGAAGATTATCGCCATTCAGCAGCGTATTATTACTGGCTTCGAACGAATATTCCAAGCCTCACCAATCAGAGCGTCACTTGCGGTAATATCTCACCCGAGGAGGAGCAACTATCTATTTATGCAGAATATAGTAAGAAGCCTGACTCTTTGTATCGAAATGAGGCACATAAGAGATATGAACTATATTTACAAAGTAAGCGACCCAAGTTGAAGCGAGAAGAGTCAAATTCATTGTACTCGAATATAAGCAACGACAATCTATTTTTGTCGCAACCAGCAGTACTATTCCAAAGATCCAATCCTGCCGTTCCCTATCATATCCATTATGAGAGTGTAGACCGTTTGCCACTTTTTCACTCCAAAGTGATGGTAAGTTGTTAGATTGAAATTTTCACCTTCCATTGTTAAAGATTTGTAGAATCGTTTTTTTTAAATGTATTTTAGAAAACATTTTTTGAGAACAAACATGATAATCACTGAAATGAGGACAAAATATTTATATTATCAAGTCTTTCTATACAAAATGAGTTATGGGAGAGGAGGATTGGACTGAGAAGGAATGACATTCTTAATGATATGGATGATGGTTTCCATGTACTCTACAAGGGACTGCAACATTGTATTTATCTCTTAGTGGTCTTGTTATGATGGAAGCATAATGGTGTTGTAATGGAGGAATTAGCAGTTGGATATTATGATTTTGTGTAGTTGTGTAACGTAATGAAACCATTGTTAGATTAGTTGTATAAAGGTACCTTGTATGATTCTCAATAGTCTTTGCAGATTCTTTCTCTTTTGAAAATATACAAGTTGAACATTTGTATCCAGGAATTCCTCTACAACATCATATATTAAAGAACTTGGAAAAACTTGACATTCATAGTGTCACTATTTGCGTATTTCTTCAAAGAGATGAACATTTTGCTATATTCAGCATACAATACTTTCTCTTGATTATGAATAATGTCAATACTTTATTTCTCACATTTTTTTTGGACAGAATAACTATGGATTCGCTGTTAGAAATGGATTGTTGTGGTTTTGCAATCTTGAAAAGTGGAGAGAGAAATAAATAACAACAGAATGGTAAGTGTCTCTGTATGTTTGAAAACTTCTTTCATCAGTTTCTTATTCATTAGGACCCTGGTCTTGCTTCTTTGAAGGAAGTGTTTGCACACTCTGGTATATGGCAACGAATCACTTGGGAAGTTCGGAAAAAAGACCAAATCACAGAACAGCTTACTCAACTATTACAAACAGCAAAAGACGATTTGCTTTCTTGGAACTCTCAAGGAATAGATGTCCTGCTTCGTATTCAAAGAAGAGTGACGAAGCAATTCTGTGCTTCTTTGTTTGCAAACGTTACGCAATTGCTTTCCTTGATTGCCTATTATGAACAGACCAAAGAGCAACCTCTCAAGTTTCTCATTGAAAACCGTTGGATTCCTTCAATAGAAAGGGACAAGTTTTGGCTATTTACTCAATATTCTATTGCAGCCAGACAAGAAGCTGAAAGAAGATCTCAACTTGCTACAGAGTTGCTTCAAGCTCTTTTAGAGTCTGCAGGAGTTGTTTACCATCACTTGGAGAGATCCTTTGTTTTACAAAATGATGCCAAGAAGCAGCAATGGTTTTATGAACATCTTCATATGATTTATCAGCGTCTATATGCGATAGAACATTGTCATTCACTTTCCCATTTTTGTGAGATGATAACACACTTTAGTAACCTGGAATCCTTCGTTTCTCAGGATTCATTTCAAGAGTCTGTGGAGAAGGTATTGCAAGTTTATCAAAAAATATCTTTTATGAACTCTGCTTTGAGAAAACTATATGCTCCTTTAGAAAAACCAAGTTTTCTATATAGGAAGATACTATATCCCTTAGTTCACTACACATGGTTTATGTTTCCAATGATTCGGTTATTTCATAGATGGTTGGGGTTAAGAAAGACTTGGATAGAAATATATGAAGATGGAAAAGGGATATGGATGAGTATGATATCTTTTCTCAAACAACATATGATAGACCCATTATCCTCTATTTATCAAGAGTTGTTTCACAATCGTTATATGACTATGGATGCTTCTGTAGTCGAACAAAGTAGAGATGCTGTTTTGAGAATGGTGGAGTCTTTGGTTTCTTATCCAATTCCTAAGAACGTAAGTTATTTTCTTAGTTTATTTTGTTGATGACATATTTATTGTAGAGAGAGACCATTGCCTTGCTACAAATATATGAGAAGAATATCCGTCATCCTTGGTATTCTCTCGCCTTTGGTGACTTGTTGCAAGTCTTGTTGATTCAATTGCAAAAGCTGAAAGTAGATGTGGAAGAACAAATGTTGACTCTGAATCAGTTGGTTCGTTCCAACGAAATCAATTTCCAGTTATTGGCTGCAGTAAGTAGTTTCTTTGTGAATGTTTCATATGATGATAAGATTGGAATAGATTCCTGGTTTCCTCATTCTTTATTTTGGTTATCATATGTTACTTTCACTTTTCAATGCTTGGAGATATCAACAGATTCACGGAATGGGAACACCTGCCAGACAAGTCAAATGGTGGTTGCTTGCCATTCAACAATGTTATGCTCGTTTGAATGAAAGCTCACAAGAGTCTAGTACCTTTTATCAAACATATGGAACTGCTTATTATTATTGTTATGCCATTGAGTGGTTGGTACGAGAACAAAATTGGATATCCTTTTCATCCCTTACCACTCGCAAAGCGTTTCTTCGTGATTTGGAGCAATTGTATTCTGCTGAGTGTTCGATAACATTGAAAGCCACGCTGATTCAACAAATGCTTTCGAGTTATCAGTTTCTACAGGTATTTTTTAACTAGGAATGGGACATGAGGAATCCTTTTTAAAAGAGTCGTTGCATTTCTATTTAAACACTTTTGTATAAAATATGGAAATGCCATAAGAGTGTGGCCGCCATTTCTTGGAACACAATATCATTTGTGTTTCCACTCGTTGACCAAGTCTAGAGACACTCTTCTATATCTCATATATATATATATATCATGGTGGATGATATTCATAATTATTCCACGTTCACTGCACAACACTTATCAGAAGCCTTAAAGTTGAAAGATTACAAGACCAGCATAGTCATATGTGAAGAGTTAGAGTTGCAGGTATTTCCATCCACTTCCTTTTCCTATTTCTTTCATCAATAAAACTTTTCTAGTCATCGTTGCAAGGTCAACCTTTTGAGTATTATACCCTTTATTTCTTCTTGTTGTTGTTGCAAAACGAACGGTAAGCTACAGGTGTTGTCGTGTATTCCATTCGGTCTCAAGTATAGAACAGTAACTTGGCCCACTTTTTGTGGAAGCGTTGTCCTTATGCACAAAGAGAACCCAGAATGTTGACTCTTCGAGAAATAGCGTTGGCGTTATCCAGAGAGGACTATAAGACAGCCTTTTCACTCTGTCAAACTACGGATTGGCAAGAACTGAATGAAGTAGCCCATGACTTTCTAGGTAAGGTGCTTATGGTTCGGTTGTTTAAGAAAGTCTGATGGAGGGTGAAATGTAGAAGTTTGGAAAACTAGACTGATCCAAAAGTTACAGTTGACATATACCTTTATTTCTGTGGACGACTGTTGTCGATATTTGGGTATAAATAGAGAGGAATGGATAGCAATAGCGAAGCCTTATTGGCATATGGAAGGAGAATATGTGTTTCTTAACGAAAAGAGAGTTGAAACAGAAGAAGAAGAAGAAGAAGAAAGCACGACAATTGTTGATCCATTAGAAACATGGACTCGTCAATGGATTGGATTGGCTAAACATGGAGAGTTGTAAACTAGGTTTGAGAGATAGTTGTGAGTGGTTGGATAACATAGGCTATTTTATTCAAATACTTTGTAAACAGGAAGTTACAGTACAAGGTTATCTTTATACTGGAGATCCTCATACCAACAACTTGTTATTGTTGAGTAACTATGACCCAACGACAACAAAGTTTACCCAATTGACTTTGGTTATGGGGTCAGCTATTCAAAAGATAACACGAATAGAACATACTGAAGAGGAGCAACAACTACTTTTCAACAGAAGAAGAATCAGACAAGCTAGTCACTTGGAAGAAATATTGGAGTGCTCTGTTGAAGGTGTAGTGAACACTGTGGATCAACCAGTTGTTGTGAATACAGAAGAACGTCTCCATAAGCTTTTGCAATTATTGGATAAGGTATGGTTGTCTTGAATTTTAGTAGAATAAGTATATCTTTATATTTGTAGCAACAGTGGAAAGCAGATTGGAGTCCTACGACTGGTGTTGTTCAAGTTATGGAAGGACTTGTCAGAATAGAACCCCCGTATACCAAAGAAAGTTGCTTTTCTACCCAACAAAATGTACTTTTACAGATCTATCCTTTACTAGACAACTTATCGTAGTTGTTGGATGCCAAACCCATTTTTTGGGGGGAATGAACATACAAGCACAGGTTTATTCAAAAGCAACATCATACAACTGAACTCGGTCAATTTGTCTCTTTTTGGACGAGTGAAGGAGACTATTTTGGCTCCAGCTTTGTTTCCTTTTGGGTTGAGGATGGGTTCTTTATGTTCCATTCTTGGAAACGTTGGAACAAGTTTAGCGCACCTAAATAGGCAACCATTCCTGCTGCTAGTGCACCAGAATAAAATCCTTGCAAGCTATTCTTTGCAACTTCACTTGTACTGATATCTTTGTGCTGGTCTACAAGAGTGGTTGCTTTGTTATGTAGAAAGTCCACTCCACGATAGACCAATACAAAAGTACTTGATAACCCCACTCCAAGACCTTGAATACTTTGTTGTATCCAATCCTTTAAGGGTTCCTTTTCTTCCTTCAGAGAATATTGTGTTACCACTTGACTATCAACTCCTTCTCGTGTCTTGGGCTCCATCCCAACTGGATCATCAATCATCATCGAGTGAACGAAGAGAAGTTGGTGTGTGACATGGTCAGTCAACTGAAAGATATCAACTTACATAGTCATCATATTTCCATTCACTATGCAATTAGGCTAGTATATTTTTGGCAGGATTGGCAGTTGCTGGTGCTGCAATGGCTGCAAGAGTAGTACTTTCTGCTGCCAAAAGAGTTCCATTGGGTTCTGCTTCTTCTGCTAGTGGTACTAAGGCTTCCCAAAAGTGGGTAAAAGGATTCGAACCTGTGATGACTAGAGAAGAAGCACTGAAAATACTTGGATTGAGAGAAGGAGCTACGAAAGAACAGATAGCTGAAGCACATAGGAAACTTATGCGTGTGAACCATCCCGATAACGGTGGTAGTACACTGATAGCTTCCAAGATTAATGAAGCAAAGGATGTATTACTAGGTAGAAGAACAACATATTATCGTGGTTATTGAATACTATACACAAATCAACTCCAACAACGAGTCTTTTTCAACCTTCCTCTCTAATGAGTATTTAGGAATTCTATTGTCAATAAAGGCATCCTATTTTGAACATCTTCGGAATGTCAATGATGCTTGTCGAAAGAGAAAGATTACGAGTGACCGACGACTGGATCGTCATCGACTCCTTAAATAGTAGTACCACTTCTGCTACTTCACACGCTAGCTTATTTCTTTGTAGAAACACTGGAAGGATTTTTGAAAAACAGGAGAGACCTGCCATAGAGAAATCACCACAAGTGGACTGCATCATCTTTGGTATTGTAGGAATAGTCCAACTATTATGCAATAACTATTTAGTATACATCAAAAACAGAGAATGGATTGGAAAACTTCTTCAACATGATATATACAAAGTAACTCAACTCGAGTGGATACCCATCAAACGTCTCGATGTTGAGGATGACTATGGCGCTTTCAACAAAAACATGAAAAGGAACCAACTCTATCTCTTATCCCTTTTACAAACGGTCTTTTCTCAAACCAACTTTTATTACTCTACTACTTTTATGTTGACTCGAAGACTACAAACTATATATTCCTCCCCCATCGATGACCAAGTAAAACCTCTTTGTTTGAGTGCAGACAAGCGATTTTTTTGGAACCAGCATATAGCAAAGAGTCTCGTGGAAAACAAACTTTATTCTTGGGTGGTTCCTCTCATCTCAGGTTTCGTAAGGTGTGAAGTGTTTTCTATGGGTTCCAATGTGGTTCGATATATCTTAATATCCCGAATATCTTGTGAACGTGCAGGTCCTCGATATCATTGTAGAGGTTCTGATGGAACAGGAAAAGTAGCAAACTTTGTAGAAACAGAGCAAATCATGACTTACTATGATAATGTATTCTCTTTTGTTCAAATTCGAGGTTCTATACCAGTCATTTGGAAGCAAACTCCTAACCTCAAATACAAGCCCAAAATCGAAATCTATTCCAGTAGGACAGCAGAAGAATTCTCTTCCATCAACTTGCAAAAAGAACAAAAGACAGAACCACTATCACCCTTCACAACTATCATTCGTCACTTTGAAGAATTACAAAAGAATTATGGTCCACAAGTGGCAGTATCATTGATAGATCAAAAAGGTTCAGAAGCACAATTGGGAGACCTCTATCAGAGTGGAACGAGAGAAAACTTTCCTTCGACTGTGGTAGATTATATCGCATGGGACTTTCATCGTTTCTGTAAAGGTATGCGATTCGATAGAGTGTATCAACTGGTGCAACAATTGGAACCTTCTTTGGATATCTTTGGATTTTATTATAGGAAGCTCGGAGATCATTCTTCTACTCCGTCGTTACAAAAGGGTTATATTAGGACCAACTGTATAGACTGTTTGGATAGAACCAATGTATTACAAAGTGCCATTGCAGAGGTTATATTGACAAAGCAGTTGCGACAATTGCAGATATTGTCCCAAGAACAAACACTGAAAGACTTTATTTTGGTATATGCCAAGTTTTCCAATATTTGGGCAGATCATGCTGATGCAATATCTGAATATTACGCGGGTACGGGAGCACTGAAAACCGATTATACTAGAACAGGAAAGCGTTCTTATCGAGGCATTGCAGTGGATGGATGGAGGTCATTGTTACGTTACTGGAAAAATAACTTTCTGGACGGTTACAAACAGGATGCTTACAACTTGTTGCTAGGAAAAGTACAAATACAGAGATATCGGTCTAAAACTATCATTCCTTCCTATTGGGATCAATTGAGTTGGAAAGAAAAATGGATTCCATTGCTTTGTTTGACGGCAATCATTTCTTGTATTTGGGGTGTCTTCTCGTTACGAAACGTTTCTTTGAAATATCGAGTCGTGTATTTTTTGACCAGTTTCAGTATTTTATTGAGAGGGTTGTCATTTATGATTTCACATGGAAAGCACTATGCTATACAACCAAGGTTGGCAACTCAGTATTGATATAAAGTCAGTTGGTTCGTCACCATTTCAAGATAAAAAATAACTTTTGGTTTAGAATCTCGTTTTGTTTTGAAAACAAACCTTCCAATGCGGAAAAAAAAATGGGAGGGGAATTAGCCAACACTGAGGGTCGAACTCAGGACCTTTCGCTTACGAAGCGAACGCACTGCCACTGTGCTACGCTGGCTATGCAATGTGATACAGGGAAATCAAGCTCTATTTACCAATTCCTAGAAGAAATCTTATTAGGGTGTCTATTTACAACTTGAGAATCTTTAAAACACCAAGCAAGTTTCAATCAATCAAAGATCAAGCAGCTGTTTATTAGCTATCCAACTACTAGTGAGGAATTTTATCTTTCTCATTAAACGGGCTAAAAACACTAATTGGATGGTCACGAAGCGGCTTCACCAGTTTCAAGAAAGGCCTGTCCTCATAGTCTCGTTGCCTTTCATTACGAGAATACGCTTCCCTCTCAGATTTCAAGGCCACTACGGTGGGATTAAAAAACAAGTTTTCGACGCTGACAAACAAAGCAATGACTCCACAGGCGCCGATGGCCGAAACCAAAGGGAGTATCTAATACCAGGTAAATATTTGAAGCTCTTTTTCCTCTCTTACTTACCTCTGGGTGTCTGTTCGATAACAAAGTTGACTTTAAAAAGTAACCAAAGCCACCCATTCCAATACGAATCAACTAAACCCAATTTTCGATGATACGATGATGGATTCCGTTGCCTTGTTGTAAATTGCTCTGGTTTACATCTCTACTGTTGCTTCTAGCTCGTTACACGTCACTGACTTTTGGAATAGTATACCTTACCTAGCAACAGGATACAAACTTTGTTGGTTGCTTGAAGTTTGTTTCGCACACAGAAGCTCCTTTACCTGCTTTCGTATGGCGTCGTTAACAATCCAACTTTACAGACAAGACCAACAACTATGAAACATAGGTTTTCGTTCCTGTTGCGTTACTCTAAAGAAGATATTTTGAAACTGTTTTTCACAAGTGAAAATGCTATGTGCGATTGGGTTAGGAAACTTTCGGAAAATTCTTGTTATTCAAGTTGTGAGCGCTACTCCAAAAGGTGTATTTCATCAGCGCATGACACTTTTTTTTCTAATTCTACTCCGTTCTTGCAGTATTGTATTCATTAACAAAGTTTTCTACACAAATCTTATAGCAGTACGATCCTTTCGATTTCAACTAGCGACCTCTTAATGAAGGGTTTCTGGAGGACATACTGAGTTCCGAAATTGTGAAAGTAACGTACTTAAACATATGAGGCGAAACTTAAGCTTCCAACAAATTGAAAGATGAAGAGATTTGCCAATTTACATTCACCTAATAAAGATGTCGATCATTTTTTCCATCTAGTTTTTTTATCCACAATGAAATTCTTTTAACAACCTCCTGTAGTATAGTCACAGAGGTATCAATTCTCTTCAATCGTATACAATTTTTAAAAACTAACATTTATAAATTGCTCCTTGACTTCCACTAGAAGCATTAAAAACATGCAACAGCGGTTCTAGAAAATATTTCCAATAAAAGATACGGAATTTTTTGCGGCATGAAAGTGGAAATACAGTGAAACCAACCAAACCAATTTAATTTTATAAAGCTATTGATTTCTTTATGATAAAAGACAACAACAACAAAAATTACTAAAAACAGGTAAGTCCAATAAAAAGGGTCGAACAATCCTTAGAATGATTGCAGTCATAAGCAAACAAACGAAGCGAAACATTTAGCTAAGTATAATAGAAAGCATGCAACTTTTAGAAGTCATATTTCTTTAAATAAAGGCTTCCTTAAAAGAATTGCCCTTGCAATCTAAGAAATAAGGCGTTAAATTCAAATTAAAACAATATTAAAATTTGGAAAGCAATATTATGTTTTCTATTTATCTTTTAATTTTTTGGGAGAACAAAATTTGCTTAAAAATTTTAAGTGTGGATTAGTAAAATAAGAAACGAAGAAATTCCATGATATTAGTTTCGCATATTGTTAGATCGCTAAACTTAATTTTCTTAAAAAGAAATAAAATAAAAATTAATTTCAATTGTTAGTTCTGAGCAGCTTTCATTGATCTACTTTTGGTTCGACCAGTTCAGGTTTAATAGTTTAACTCTCGTCATGAAATTCTACTTCAAGGTCATTTCCATACCCTTCTATATTTCTTTTAAGCATGTCTCCTATTCGAAAATTGTTTTCCTTCAAAATGTTGGATGTAATTTTTCTCATTTCAACGCAGACTTGTTTAGTAATCAACGAGACTTGTTCCTTGACTAAAGATTCCGCATCGCTTCGGATGTGGATGTTACGTTCTACGAACTGTTTGATGGATTCGGTTGTATGCGCCAGATTTTCGAGCTTCTCTAAACTTTGTTCAAGGTCTTTGTCGACTATATCTTGCTTCTCTACTGCATCTTTTGCGTCTCCAAACAAAGTCTCCGTCTTTCCGACAAGCCTATTCAGCTGCTCCTGGTAATTAGCAAAAGATAATACACCTGTTGTTTTCCTCCTTTCTCTGTTTTTGGAGGATTCTTGCAAATTAGTAAAGTTTCGTTCAATCCTTTCAACTCGCTTTTCCCAGTCGTATTCATTCCAATTGTTGTCTTCGACACATACAGGAGCAACCAAAGATTTGTTGCTTTCTTTATCCTGTTTCCGGTTTCTGCTATAAACAATTGCTGCCAGTTCTTCTTCAAGTCGAGCAGACGTATTCATACAAGTTGTCATTTGTTGCTCCAATTTTCTTCTGCGTTTCATTTGTTCTATAATTCGATTATCCAAGCTCTCCAACTTTTTGCCAATAAAGGTTATTACTATTTTCCTTATGTTACAATGAGACTTACCTCAGCTTCAAAGCGTTGCAAATAAAATTCGTAAACCTTTGAAAAGTCTCTAAACCTGTTTTCTACAGCTTGAACCACACGATGTTTCAATACAAGGTCAACTGATCCGATTCCGTCAGACCTGGTAGAGCTGTTGACATTTTCGTCTAGTCCAGCATTTTGAATAATAGCATTTTCCACTCTCCCCTTATTATCTTGGTCTTTGAGCGAGTCATTCTGTTTTTGTGTCGAATCAACCTTCAAGGCTGAACTTGAACCTCGTGGTTTCCAAGTAGTAGCGTTGGACTTCATTTTCCAAATATTCGAAGGATGTACAGTTATTTTGTATAAATTTCTATCGTTATTGTCAACTTTCGTTGCAGTTGGTGTACCTCTTCTGGATTGGGATACAAAGCCATATGGACGTTTTCCTCCAGCCATATTCGAAACAACTCCAATGGCATTCTATCAAATCAAAATGCATTTTGTGGAAGAAGCATTTTTAGAAACTTTTTTCGGCTCGCAGAGTGTCGACTATCGATTGCAAGCTTACCACCAGTCTCTTTTATAGCATAATAGGAAAATTTCGTATATATTCTTTCTCATTTTCGAATTTGATCATGTTGATCCTTACTACTTGCATAAAGAAATATTAACTGTTGTATGAATATAGTTTATTTCCTGAGTTTGAAAGCAGCCCTGTTTGAGTCAAACATGATTGGAAAGATATCGATATTTCTTATACAGACTCCAAAGTCAACTGTTTACTTAACAGATAAGCAATGAAAGAGAAAACCATCATTCTTGTCTTACCATTATCTCTAAGAACTTCTCTTCTTACCAAAACGAATGAACAATTGAAGACGCAGCAATGAAGATTCCTACTTTTATTTGGATTGGTTGAATTTCTTTCCTGTCATGGCAAAGTATTTACCGGATATGAAAAGACTTATGGATAGGAAAGTTTCTGGTATGATCTACTTACTTTCTTAGCGTTTTCTTAACTATTCTACTAGTCCAATTGAACGGAAACCGCAAAGTGGAAGGAGTCCTCCGTGGTTATGACCAGTTTATGAATATCGTGTTGGAAGATTGCGTCGAGAAACTGGGGCCTATGAACGACAAGGAAATTGGCACTGTGGTAAGTTCTCTCTCCTATAAGATATACATACGTATATATTCCTAATCATTATGACGAGGTTGTTCGAGGGAATAGCGTATTTATTCTTGAAGTTCTAGAAAGAGCAACGTGACCCCTACCATTCCCAGAATATATATATATATACTGGTCTTTCTAGGGATTTTAAACCTTGGTTTCAAAAACCCTAT